CCCCTGAGGTTCCAACCTGATGGCCACTATGGAGTATATTGTGAGAAAGTAGAAGACAGTAGGCTCACAGAAGGAAACCTCCAGTACCTTATCAAGTGGAAGGGGTATCCTCCCACTGAGAACACTTGGGAGCCTTTAGGAAATCTAGGCAATGCTAAAAAGGCTATTGCAGATTTCCATAGGCTTTACCCCTCTGCTCCCAGAAGGATTTCAGCCATCACCTTTGATAGGCTTCACTTCCAACCACTCATTAACTATACTATACCACCTAAAAGGGTTCTCTTCGATTGGACATCTGGAAAGAAGAAGGGAAAAGCAGAAGAAGGAGTATCAACATGCTGGGACAGCATGTCTAGAAGAGGGGGTGATGTCAGGGCACCAGCTCATTGCTTGGTCAAGAAACATGACTAAGCCTTTATGACATGGAAGTAGCTGGTATACCTTGGCATGTGCTGGAACCTGCTGGAAGGATTGGATGGTCAGGTGACCTGCTGTGCATGGCTGTGCATGACCTCATATGACCTCATCCTTGGTCATATGACCTGACCACCTGACTAGGCTGAGTAAGCAAGATGTTCTAGCAGGTTCCACCACAGAGGTATAAATATAAGGCCTACTCTGCCTGGGGACTGTCTCTTCAGACTTGGTCTCTTAGGATCATCCACAGGTACCTATACTGTAGATAGGTCTTAGTCATCAGGTCTACTCCACTTCCCTGTTGCCTGCTTAGACTCTTGGCACTCTTAGGTGAGCAGACTTTGTCAGCCTGTGTTGCCCTAACACCATGCCACACAACACTCCTATCACACCTTTCTTTTGCTTGCTGGTGGAGCTTCATCCCTGACCAGAAAGTGGAGCCCCTCTAGTGTTCTTGAAAGAAGAAACAGGGCAAGGCACACTTGTCAATTGTGGCACAAGGCTCAGCTGCAACAAACTTGGTAGTGTCACACTAGAAAAATCATACCAGTCTGTTGGCAACATCAAGGAGGTCCTCACCTGTGCACCTCACACTCTCAGATGCTTCTGCCAATCTCTTGACCTCTCTCATGTGAGCACTGCCCAGCTGTTGAGGGACCTGGCCAAGAAGTCTGATGCCCTCTTTGATTCAAGCTTGGACTGGACTTACACTTTCTTGGTCACCAATATTCATATTGATACTTTGTACAGCCATGTTGAGGGCTCTCCATTGCCAGGAGTGCCCAATGACCAGCCTATCACTAGTGGAACTTGCACTTCTCCAACCAGGGAGGCCAAAGAGATCGACACCAACAAAATTGGCCTTACACCAGCCCCACCTCAGAGGGACTGTGACATTTTCTATGGGGAAATGGGGGGTGACAGAGATGGCCAGGGTATTTGCTATTGAGAAGATCTTGACAAGGAAGATAGAGGGGATGATGAAGCAGATGAAGGAGGAAGAGATGGAGAGGCAGTGGAAGCAAGCACAAGTGACATTGAGGAGGGAGATGCAAAAGGAGAAGAAGATGGAATGCCAGAGCTTGTGAGCACTGGTGCACATTTTCCCAAGCAGCAACACCTGAAAGAGACAAACATCTGGGTTGCCAGCACATCCCAAGATTTCCAGGTGGATCTTGAAGAGATGCAATTGCCCATGTGGGTCTCATCTTTTGGCTTGCTGGATGCGATGCAAGGCTTTACCCCCTCGCCTCCGGTCCTTCACAGCCAAGAGCCGGAAGAAACTCCGCCGCAGGTCCTTGGGAAAAGGGGCCGATCCGACCCCGCAGAGGAGGCACATATCAAGTCTCACCAGAATGCTGGGATACAGGATCTCCACGACATTATTAACCATGAAACCTTTCCCTGAGTGGGAAAATGAACTTCAGCCCTGTTCCCGCTGGCCTCCACAAAGAGAATATATTACATAGGCATGGCCAATAACGACATGTTGCTGTCCCTCTACTGCTCCTCAAACAGATTCCAAAGCAACCATGTCCACCCCTAAGACCTTCGTCTTCAAGAAAGTCGGCGATGTAGATATCAAGGCGGACGTGTACCTTCCCTCCTCACCCAGCGCCCTCCCTGCCCCCATCCTAGTGTGGTTCCACGGTGGCGGCCTGCTTCAAGGTTCCCGTGTAGCCCCCGCTCCCCACCTCAAGCGCGCAGTCGACAAGTACGGCCTGTGCGTCGTCTCGCTCGACTACCGCCTCGCACCCCAGGCCAGCCTGCCCGAAATCTTGGAAGACGTGAGAGATGGGATCAAGTGGACGAGAGACAAGCTTCCGGGGCTGCTGGGAGAGGGGAAGATAGATCCGAGTAGGCTGGCAGTGAGTGGCAGCTCGGCTGGGGGTTATATCTGCCTGCTGGCGGGTCTTCCTATTAGCGGTGTTAGTCCGCCTCCGAAGGCGCTCCTGGCCATTTATCCAATCACGAACCCGTGAGCCATGTTCCTCTCTTTTCGTGGACAAGGGCTGAAAATTTTCAGTCTTGGTCCCTTCTTCGTCACCCCTCAACGCCCGGTCGAGTACTCGGAGGATGGTTACGTCTTCACGGACGAAGGCGCGTCCTCATCCATTCCCCCGCATCACCTTCTAACCCTCACGCACAGACATGTCAGTCCACCATGATCCCAATTCTCCCCTCCTCTCCGAGATCTTCGAACCCCGGATCCCTGGCAAGCCTTTTGCTCGGAACAACAGGATGAACTTCTACACCTACATGGTGCAGGAGGGGAACCTTGCCCAGTTGCTGTTTGCGAAGGCACCGGGGGTGGATCCGAAGGAGTACGCGGTGGCTGCGCTGGTGCATAAGGGAATGCCGCCGGTGGGTATTGGCTCAGTCAACGTTTGGATGTGACTGATCGAATCGTAGACGTTTATTACACATGGTGATGCCGACCAGCACGTTGGCCTAGAGCAGGCTCACGAGGTAGGTCCGCTATCTCACTTGCTCAGCCTAGCTCATCGTGCCTAGGTTGTGAACGCAATGAAGAAAGAAGGAGTAGACTTCTACTTCGAGGAGTTACCCGGTTTGCCGCACGGATATGACGGGAAGGAGGAAGTCGAGATGAAGAAGATGTACGAGTGTTTGTTGAAGCATCTGTGAGATAGATTCCCGGGAAGCACCTTGTTGTCATACCCGTGTCTTGGAAAGAAGTCGATATAAGGAATAATGAATGGATGTTACATCTGGAAGGAGACGGACAACATGGTGACATCCTCCCCCTGAGGTATTCAGGGCTCCGGGCCATGATTTCCCCCATCTATCGCTTGGCAGTTGCCCTGCCGTGGGGCGCATATTAATGTTTTTGTCCGCTTTCTCTGACCTCACGACAGCCAGGCCCCGACGATGATCCTCCATCCGTAATTGACACCATCTCCACCTACCACAGCGCCTCGCCTCTGAGCCCAGAGTTCGGCGTAAGTGCCGACCTTGGGTATGGAACGGCGTTGTCTACACGCGGCATAGCGCCACAGTTTGACAGAGTTATAGGTAGATACTGGAGTGAAGAGAGTATCAAAACTGCAAGTTAAGTGGGAGGGAAGATGAGAAAGGGGAAAGTGCTCGAGTCCTGCTGGTAGGCTTGCAATGTGATCGTGGCAGTCATTGGTCCCGGACTATGTATTTATATTGTGTTCCCGTTAACCTCGGCACTGTCAGTGCCTCTCTCCAGTTCACGATCATTGTACGACTCATGTAATGCTGAGGGGAACTTATCAAGCTCCCATACGACTCCACGACGCATATCACTCTGAACATGCCCCATTTGAACGCACTTTCTGATCTGCGAGACTCGTCCCCACTCGGCAAACGCCGTCGTTCGGAAGACAACATCGATGCAAGTCCAGACGCTCAGCATACCCCCCTTCCGCACTCTTTACATCCACGACATCTATCTGGTTCCCAAGGTCTACCCAACATGCCGTCGTTGAGACGCGAAGGGTTAGTAGCGGACACGCTGCGAGTAAGGAGGCGGGCGATGGATGCCGCTTTGGGAAGCTTCCAGTATTCAACGTGCGTCGTCGACACATGCACGCCCCAATATAGAACTGAACAGTGTTTTTTGGATGCAGAAAGTTGAAAGCGCACAAATCCTGTATCAACGCGCTCACGTTCTCGAAAGGCGAGGGGCGGTGGCTCGCATCTGCAGGTGATGGTGCGTCGGTGTCCCTTCTTCTCTTCCATCTCTGTGTCGATGAGACGGCTTAGACCGAACGGTATTGCTATGGGATATGTACGACGATGAGCAACCACGCGAGCCAAAAGCAAAACTCAGAGGCCATCGGGTATGTCTTCCCATCGCACCTGGCTCTACCCCAACTCACCTCGACACGACAGAGCAATATCTTCACTCTCTCATTCAACGCGTCAAACACGTGCATATATTCGTACGCCCTCCTTGATTACCACCTCTACGATCTAGACTGACCGTAAGGCAGTGGAGCAAATGATGACATAGTCTTGCGGTATGATCTCAGTAGGCTGGGCGATCCGCAAAGCGGCGTTCTAGTAAGCGCGCCAGATGAAGTGTTCCTGGAACAGAATGTTAGAGTCCGACCTTTAGACTTGCACAACCCAGCTGATAATCTGATACAGGGCGCGATCCATTCCGTCTCCGCGCACCCATACAACGACCACACGCTCCTCTCTGCCAGGTGCGTACCTCCCCATCTTCTAGCTCCACCTAAAACGTGTACCAGTGAAGATGGCCTAATACGTTTCGAGGACTGCCGTGATCCTGCACCCAACAAAAGGTGCATCACGAACAACGCGGGCTTCTCGGATGTCAAATGGCACCCCACGGATGAGAACTTGTTCGTGAGCACAGATCAGAAAGGGCACGTCACGTATGCAGTTTTGTTTCAATGACCTGATGGGGGAGGACGATAACGTGGGTGTTTAGACTGCATGATGCGAGAACGGCGTTTAAAACAACTCCGACATCGCGTGCTGATGCAGCTGTGTCCAACGTACGTTTCTAGTTGAGCTAAAAGAATACCTGCTGACAAACAGACACAGTATATCACCACTATTAGTCTCGTGCTTGGTAACAACATTGAAGCTATTGCTGGACCGGAAGCATCATCGGTCTCCTTCGCTTCCACAGGAAGCATGTTCGTGGTGGAACTGCTGGTTAGTTAGATCCACATCGAGACAGGAATTACTCACAAAATCCGAAAAAGCTGTACGGACCTGTTATGTACAGCCTTAGCGACCCGAGCCCTATCCTAACTCTTACAGCGGACAACCTCCCCTCGGGTCAGCCTATCCCCGCGGGCCAGCGGTCCCACGCGAACAAATGCACTACGAAGCACGGCTCCTTTGGTGGAGACGAACAAGGTAGTTTGTATTACGGGACTGGATCGGACGACTTCCGTGGGTATTGCTGGAAGATCCCGCCGTTGCAGACATTGCTGGATAGAAGACAGGAGATCGATGCGGCAAGCTGGAAGACTGGGCCAATGGTCTCAAGTGAGTATCATGATGCACTGCTGAACGGGTACTCACTCTATACAGTGGCATTTGCAAAGTCCGAAACAACTAACAAATATCTCCCTGAACGTATGCCGACGCCCTCATATCGACTCGAAGGTATACATTTCCAATCCATCGGAGGCGCCGCCGCTTACCTATCTCCGTTCATCCAGGACACAGGAGCATTGTGAACACGGTGTTGTTCCACCCCACTCAGCCATTGATAGCGACATCCGGTATCGAGCGCTTCGTCCGGCTTTTCACCCACTTCCCAACGCAACCAGGTCAGGAAGCAATCAAGCCGTCTGAAACACGTGAGCTTCCTGAGAGTCCGGATCCGTCCATTGTCATCCGCGCTTTAAGCGGCGACTTCACCACACAGACGGACTTCAATGATGAGGAATCGGCAGAAGCTGAGGATCTAGAAGACACACAAACGATACGGCTATTCGATCAGTGCGTGATCTTATTACCCCAGGGTTCCACCGGCAGCGGAAATAGTACTCATCTATTTTCAGGCTGCTGCGACAGGAGGAAGCGGATATGGACTGCGATCATGATCTGGAAAGGCTGCGATGGACATTGATCCACGAGCCCTGGGATGATGAGGACGAGGAAGAGGACTAGATTGATGAAGCGGATATGGAAAATGAAGACGATACAGCCATGGATGCCGCGGAACACACCCGCGTGTAGGGAGAAAATCGATGGGAAGCGTGGGAGTGATGTGGCAAAGATAACAACTCAACTTGCTTGTCGAAGCTTTTCAGGGACAATCCAGCTCTGTCTCATGGACATTTTGACTCCGTATCGGTCCTCCAGACGACCGTTCCCCACCAAAACTGCAGTGACTGTTGTTTTGGAAAAGGCCATGATACTTCTTCCGCCTGGGAGAGCAACAATAGACGGACTTGACGCTTTCATGTACCTTTTTGTTGGGGTCACCAGCAAGAGCGGAGGCTTCCCTTTCCGGCATCTTTCAGCGGCGACATCCTTGCTTTTCTTCTTCATCGACCCCTGAACCCCCTAGCCTATCTCCGAGCCAAATTCATGTGACGGCGTGGACCGCCGATGCGTGATTGTCCTATTCCGAACGGTTTGCTCGCCGAGACATCGATATTGCATGCCGATGCCAGCGGCAACCGCTTCGTGGCATCTCTCAATATCTTTCATTGGCCTTTTTTGTCTTTCATCTACTGATGCAATGGATTTCATTTCCACGTAGTGCGGTATCCTGACGTGGATTGGTCGAACCTGGCAACTATTGCACCTTCTAGACCGTGTTCTTCCTAGGACCAACCCACCTGTGCTATTATGCTCCGAGCGTTTTCTCGCCTGTGGATATGGAATCTGGTGGGCCTGCTTCCGAAAACCGAACACGCGCTCCATTTCAGCCGGGGCCTTCTGGCGTTACCTTATTCTCGACCGTCACCCACCGTTGGACCAGGCCTGGCTAGTGACTGCGGCGAAGAAAGCCGAGGAGGCGGCGTGTTATACCTTTATCACGAAAGCATATAACAGCAGCAGGAGCCAGAGTAATAGCGGCGTCACTACTTCCCCCTCCCCATTGATGACAGCATGTCCGGTGTCTCTCTTTCAACTTAATTTGGTACGTCCCGACTGGTGATAACACTGGTCGAAGCCTGGTTATTCGGGTTGAAGTAAGCCATTTCCCCTACTCATCTGAGCCTCGCTGATGAGCGCTGCAGTTGCGTCTTACTCACAACCGCTGTACACGTGCTATTATCTCGGCGCGGCCCTCTAAACCTGTCCGTAATTCTTCCGTCCTCCCAACTAATGCCCATTCTAGTCATAGTGCCCTAATCATCTTGGCCACCACTCTCATTATCTTCGCCATCTGCGCCATGTTTGTCAATGGCGCCGTGCTGTTTCAGGCGCTTCGAATAGCACAAGCTGCACCAGCCGATATGCAAAACGCATTCCTGTCAGACCTGTCAGGCTGTGGAGGCTGTATCAGGTCGTTAATTGTGGTTGGCGCCACTTTCTCTTTGTTAACGGTATGTCAGGCGCACACCGAGCTTAATATTCTCTGATACAATCCCAGACTCCCACACAAGATGTACTCCTGGTGCGTAAAGGTGTTTTGCCCTCGCATCTCAACATGGCACTGAATACGGCACTTGTAGCTCTGGAGATTATTTGTGGCATGGCAGCGTTTCTGGGTGGTTGCAGTCATGGCACTCGTTAAATTGGGTCTGATCGGTGAGCCGATTGTTAGACATTCTGAGTGCTTGCTGACTAGTCGTTCAGGCTGCACCGTACCGGTGCTGGTGCTACTTACCAACCCTGACACCATCTGGACCTCTCTTTACGTGTATCATCTCCTTGTGGCCTTTTCCGCTCTCCATCTCCTTTTCAATTTGGGCGTCACCTTTCTCATTACCTACAAGCTATGGTTATTGGGTCGCGAGCTGGAATACTTTTTTCCAGGGAACAGCATCCATCACTCAGGGCTCATGGACATGATGGTTGACAGCGGGTGCCTCTATACTGTTGCTACAGTGATCAACTTTGCGCTCGTTGTCCGGAAATCGCCTGCAGCGTACAGTTTCACAAATATTCTCACTCAAGTCGCGGTGCACGTTCAAAGTTTTCACGTTGTGAGTTGTACGCTTATGTAATGAATAGACGCTCACCTCGCTGCTCATCATCCTCCGCATCGGCTTCTCCTGCTCTCCGAACAGACCATCTACCTTCCCTTCTCCCACCACAATCGCTCGACCTTCCCTTGATCGGCACACAACTCCCGTTATCGCAAGCACACCCCCGCGTCAGACGAAGCTTCAACGGCGTGCAGCCGAACAGGCTCGCAGACGTGAAATGCAATTGGCCGTCGCACGGCAGGTCGAATTTCCAGATGCGATACAAGCACCGAGCCTGGGAGACTTGGAGAGAAACAACATCGAGCTAGTAGAGATGCCGAGAGGGGTGCGAAAGGGAAGGACAAGAAGACGTGAAAAACGTGTTACGCAGTGAGAGTTTTTATCAGCGCCATTTATACTCAAATACTACATTAAGACATGACATATAATACTGCAGAGATACAAGAACATTAGCAGTTCATTTTTACCATACTAATACGATAATTGGCTAGAAATACGATAAGAATTTAATAATTCGATAGTTATTGAGAAGAGTTGATTGACAGTACCTTAATTAATACTAAATATCATTGTCTTAACCGGTCAAGCTGCCTTCCTTAACAACTGCTTAGTAAGCGTGGATGACGTGTACTTTTTCACGTGAAATTGAGTTCCAGAGGACTCCTCTCGACCGTCCCCTCTCGAGGGCAAACAGTAACCGGCCGGGGAGCGGGTGATCGATTGAATATTGAATATGAATTGCATATTGTACATAATTAATTCAATTTCTTGTGCGAGGGGCGTGTGATTATTGCCGGATTCGCCGGTGTGGGGAATAAACCACAACACTGGGACATTGCACCCTGTCCCACGTGAATGGTCATTGGGCGCTTGACTCAGTTGGAGCCAGCTTCTTTACTTTCTGTTCCGTCGCTCCGTCATGCCCCCATCTCCAGGGCCAACACCACCAAGTCCAGGGGAAGTAGCCCTGGTGTCTGCTCTGTATCACCATGCCACTCGCTCCTTACTTTCGCTTTTACACCGGCCCAGTCACTTTCCTTGTCTGCATCTCCTATTTGATCATCTTCACAACAACCGTCACAATACATGAGTATGGTTGGGCTGCCCCTGAGAAGGGAAGTGGAGAACGCATGGGACTGGACTTGGAGGGCGCGATGAGTGACTTGCGCGTGGTATGGATATGTCTGTGCAAGATGTCTCTCCAGCTGATCTGGACGATCGATTAGATTGCACAATATCCTCACCCTCATAACTCTGCACAGAACGACATCGTTCATGATTACATTCTGTCGCGTACCCGTTCTATAGCGGCAGGGAAGGCATTTGTTGACGTTGACGACGATACTGTCAGCAACGTCACATTCGTCGTAGACGAAACGCAAAATGGGAATGTCGTCTATTTTGAGGGGAACAACGTGCTGGTCAAGGTTGAGGGGGAGAGGTCCGATCTCCCAGCGGTCTTATTGAGTGCTCATTTTGATAGTGTACCAACCGCACCTGGTACGCCACGCTACTCTCCTATGAGCACGCCTTTAACGTTCCGATCTCAGGCGCAACCGACGATGGTATGGGTATAACCTCTCTCCTCGCACTGCTCAGCCATTATGCTGAGCATCGTCCGTCTCGCACTCTGGTCTTCAACTTCAACAATGGCGAAGAATACGGATTGTATGGTGCCAAGGCCTTTCTCCCTCATCCATGGGCATCCCTTCCCCAGACATTCATAAATCTCGAAGGTACCGGTCAAGGCGGCCGCCCTGTGCTCTTCCGGACGAGTTCACCACATGTCACTTCCGCTTACCATCGCGTGCCCCACCCGCACGGAAATTCCGTAAGCGCCGACGCGTTCAAGAGGGGGGTGATCAGGAGCAGAACGGATTATACTGTGTACGAGACGATGGGTTGGGAGGGACTTGATGTCGCCTTCTACAAGGGAAGGAGCTGGTATCATACGATGGGGGACAACGTGCCGGCACTGGGCGGGGTGAAATCGCAGTGGGCTATGCTGGAGACCGCATACTATGCAACAGAGGGACTGATGGCTGACGAAGAATCAAACCATGGAGGCGATACAGTGTTCTTTGACGGTACGTGTTCGTTGTTCTGAAATGCAAGCAGAAACTGACATGTAGAGCCTAGTTCTCGGCTCGGCTCTTGCGGTCTTCACCCGTCGGACAGTTTACATCATCAATATTTTCCTCCTCATATTTGGGCCTATGGTTGTGGGCGGACTGCTCTGGTGGAATCATGGCAGGCGAAGGACTGCCTTCCCGTTCCCTCTTCATGGCTGGGTACGATTCCCGGTTGCGTTTGTTGTCACCTGTGGAGGGACAATCGGGCTTGCGTTGGTCATTAATCGAGTGAACCCATACGTGAGCACCTAATTGTCGTATCGCTGGGCAGTGACTGATCCGACCCGACTGCCCGATAGATTGTCCATTCATCGTCATATGTCGTCCTCTTGTCGCTCCTGTGCACCTCCTTTGTCTTGCTCGCAGTCACATTGCGCCTGTTCGCCAGCATCCGACCAGTGCATCAGCAAAAAGTAATTGTCCTCATTGAGTTGTATGTCTTTTGGTGGTTCCTCCTGGCTGTCGCCACCGGCCTCGAAGGTCCACCGCAGTTTTTGGTCGCGCCTTACTTCGTGACGCTCTTTTATTCGGGCACCTTATTCGGGCTATTGCTGGGGTTAGCAGAGGACACCGTGTTGGAATGGAGGGGAGACAAAGAGAAGGAACGAATTGTTCGGGTCCCAGGGCAATTCGAAGGCGATCCAGAAGTTGAGGTCTCCGGTAACGACCTTCATGACGATGCCTTGCCCGATGAACCGACTGAGCGGACACCTCTTGTGACTCGCACGCAACCCGAGCCTGTAAATCCCTTGCAGGAAGGCGAGCGACAGATTTCCGGTCTCTGGATGTTCCAATTCTGGCTTGCGGTTGTCTTCCCAGCAATATGGGCTTCACAGACCGTACTGCTTGTGATGACTTCTATGGGTCAGACGTTGGTCGATGGAAACCCGTCCATCCCCGCCTATCTCAGCATCGCCCTCCTTGGCATCCTCATCATTCTTCCGCTTGCACCTTTCGTTCATCCGATCCACCTCAATGTCACCTGGGCATTGTTGCTTGTCTTGGTTGGAAGTACGATCTGGTGTTTATTTGCCGCCCCGTTCACACCCACCTACCCGTTTAAGGTCTTTTACCAGCAGGAAATCACACTCGACGTTATCCCAATTAAGGACCAGGTTATGCTTGGTGGCCTCGCTTCGATAGCGCCAGCAACTGTGAAAGAGTGGAAGCCTGAGGGCGAGGTGACGTGCGAGCAAGATATGGAGGTCAAGTTCCGTCCAAACTTGAGAGCATGCACATGGGAAGGGCACGACGGTGCCAAAGGCATGGGGGTGGAGTATAGCATCACCCGCACGGGTCCCGTCAGTGCCAGGGTGGCCATCACTGGCTCGAACAGTCGTGTATGCGGCGTACTCTTCAACAGCCCTGTACGGTCTGTCGTCATTGCCAGTGCAGCGCCCGCAACTTCGCCGTTGGATTCTGTGAACCAAATCCTCCTGCACTCGCGCACCTGGGACAGGACGTTCGAGATCGACTTCGAATTTGAGCAAGACTTGGAAGGAGGCAGTGTATGGTGCGAGTACGCGGATCCGAGGCCAGGGCAGATACCGGATTTCGACGAAGTGCTGCAGAGCATTCCAGTCTGGGCAACTGTAACAAAGGGGTACAGTGCGCTGGTAGTCGCGAAGAAGAGCTGGGCACTCCCTGGGTTATAGGATGTGGTTCAGGAGGACATAAGGAAGGATCTTTAGGATGGCCGGCATATGTTTTGGAGTCTTCAGATTAGTTCTGGTCAATTTTGGTGGAATTGACAACTATGCATGTTCCCATATCGCATTTTTTGACCTTATCGTTCCGCTGCATTTTTTTCAGCCGTTCATTTCATTTCATTCTCTTCGATACACATCATTGACGTACTGAAACCAAGACTGATTCTCGCAAACGCTGCCTCATTCGAAGTCTATGCAGACTTGCGGAATAGCAAGAGTGCCATGGGTGTCTCCACGTTGATCAGGTTTTCATGAAAGCCCATCTTCTCAGCCTCCGCTTTCAGCTCCTTCACCAGCCTAGCCATGATGTCGCCCTCCGGGTTCTGCTTATCCTCCGGATGTGCCTTCGCATAGTTGTGCGCATAACTCGCTGTTCTGAACCAGCCGTCGATCGCAGACCAGGGTAGGCTGGCTTTGATGATAACAGGCTGGCGATTCTCGATATGGAGGAGCGGAAACTGTTCGCCAATATACTTGATCCTTTGCTCGGCTGACGCGTTGAAACCTTGTCCAGGCGAGGGGATCAGGTCGAGAAACGTATGCACAATGTCGTGCCCAGGCTGAGAGCGATAAGGACCCATTGCACTGGATGAATTGATGCAGTGGTCGATGTACGTATTGAGGGCGTTCAGAGGCGATCCCAGCTGGAAAGCAGTGTAGCTGAAGAAGGCTACCGTTCCATTTGGTTTGAGAACGCGTCGGATCTCGTCCCATGTCTCTGGAAACTTGAAGTACTGGCAGGAGGTCGCTGGGAAGCTCATGAGCGCGACTGAGTTTAAAGAGGGGGGCAGGAACGCACCAGCGGTGATCATGTCAACACTCGCATCCTCAAGGAACTCTAGCTTCTCGGAGGGAGCCACTACATATTTCATACTCCCACCTTTCGCATGGCCCTGTGGGACCTTGCGTGCACTTTCGATCATTGCCTCGGAAGGGTCGACCCCGATCACACTGGCAAGTCGCGACGCAGTGGTGCGAGCAGACTGGCCTATGGTGATCTTAGTTCAACATGTCTAGGTTGATTTATCAGTGCGCACCTGTTCCGCAACCCAAGTCAACACACAGATTCCATTGAGCGCCTCCTGCTTCATGATACTTGTAGATCGTGTCGTACAGTTCGTCAGGGTACGACGGGCGGTAAGACTGGTATTGCTCGGCGTTGAAGTCTTTATCGGCAAATGCGGCCATGTCGAATGGCTGGTATATGCTACTGTGCAGTAGATGCGACAAGGGTAACCAGGCTTTATTGTTGACGAGGAAGTCCAATCCACACAGAATTGGTAGCGTGGGGATGAGGTTACATGGTGTGGATTTCCATACCAACAGCTTCCGCAGAGAACCATACAGCGGCAGACGTTGTCGACCTAAGACAGCCAATATTAAATACCTTGGCCAATACAGCTGCTACGATTCTGTTGGATTGAATGGCGGACTATGTCAATCTGAAACGCTACTGAACTGCACCAGGATAGCCAAGTATTCTTGATCCCATGTTGCAGCGACAATCGCAGATGGTCTACTCATGGGCATGTTCTCCATCACAGCCGGAATATATGCATCCAGTTATGCAGACAGGTTAATATTAATGGTCAGGACACGATGCTTGTTGGGATCAACGAGATCCGCTGCATGCAGGATCAACCATCGATTTCGCGTCAATTTACCTTTTTCGGTACATATCCTAGAATGTGGAAAAATCATATTCACCGATATAATGCGACTCAATCCATTATTCTTGCGCACGTTGGATGCTCGATAACCGCCGGCCAGTTGCGATCTTTATAATTATCTGAATGAGAACGTACTCTTCCTGAGCGTTCCTGAGATGATCTCGGGGATATCTGTTACAGCGGAGTCGCTACCCGATTCCGCCGCGGCTCTTCAGAACATATTCAATGGGGACGTAACAAGAACATCCAGCTTCTGGTGCCTGGCAACGCGTACGAGATTGTATGGTCAGGAGAACTCTGCACGTGATGACCAAGAGCGGTCTGATCCCGTTATGCTTTCCTTTGAGGGCGCGGTCGATGCTCATAATCACCGCCGCGTTCATAGGAGCACAAGGCGGCATCAGGATGGCTTGTCACCTCTCAGAAATCCTACTAAGAGTCATTATACACAGCAGCTTCCTTCCGATTCCAGCTTCAGCAGGAGTCTCTGATGAACTAGCTGTTTAGGCCTCCCGGAAGATTGCGGGTTTCTTGTGTCGCGTGGAGAAGGCCAATCATATCAGGAGAAGCCCGACATGGGTTGGGGTATTCTTAGAGATAGGTCTTCTCTCATCAGCGCACTGCCTGCTATGTCCGCATTGTCACTCGCCCCGCGAGCTTTTATTCAATTGGCTGTTTACTTCTACCGGCTCATCGGTGTCACCTAGAAGTTCGCACCACGTCCGTCTTTCCTGATATCGCATGGACACCCAAAGCTTCCCATAACACCGCATTACGTGACTGATACTGCCAGCACTATTACAACAGACGGCTCGTAACACATGATGAACAGCCTCGGGTAGCGCAACAAAACCCTAGGCGTACCTTGCATTGTAAAAGGGACCAGCACTTGCACCCCTTGCGTCTGAGCAACTCTCTTATCTTTACCTCGATCTACGTGTCGATCTGCACCAAGTCTGGTGATGCCGTATTCTCACTTTCCAGAGGATGAGGCGTCCTTATGGTACGAGGCTAACTTCCCGGTTTCTGGCGGAATCGCGCAGTTGCATCCTGGGCGACAAACTATACTTCTCCTGCCATGTAAGCTGCCTCCTCTTTCTGGACCTGTGACTCTGTGTCTAACTCGATTCCTGCCCAGACATAGGGTTAGATATCGCCTCGTTGGTGAACCAATTTCAAGATCCCATATTATCCACGACGTACAATCTCCTCGCCGTGGACTTCTGGTCGCAAGGAAAGACCGTCAATCCGACAAGTGAACGTCATGACTGCTGGGTGGATGCTGCTTCATTGTTGAAAGTACTGGCTCGGCTGCAAATCCAGCAGATCCACGTGTTTGCTGGCGGTGCTCTCTCAATCGGAACCGCGTTGCGCTTAGCACTGTTGTGGCCTACTGGTATTCAAAGCCTGGCTGTATTGTCCGTACACAAGCCTGTGTAAGTTGCACCTGCACCGCCCTACCCCTTCCATCTGATCCCCACACGGATTAGGGAACAGTGGCTGGTGGACACGTTCAAGGAAATCATCATCACTCTTGGCACCGCAAAAAGCCTGGAAGAAATCGAGGATATCATCAATGAGCTGTTCCCTTACTTGTTCTATGACGTATGTGCATATTTTTGGATTAGGATTTCCCTTTATAACCTATTCCTTTTAGGGACTTCCGGATGACGAGCTCGATTTCTTTGCCGCATACATTACAAGGCAATATCCGCCATCTCGCATAAGCAGATTCAACGACATGCTGTATGATTTTCTTACGCAATGGGTACGTACAATTTCTCCCGCGCTGCGTTTCATCTCACCGGTTGGTTGCATGTAGCTCAGCCCGCTCACATCGGAACATTATTCCCTCATCCGGCAGCCTGTCTTGATAATCTCAGTAAGCACTTGTGTCATCACATTCAAGCCCCATGCTCAACAAGCATAGCCAGAGGATACCATGACCTCTTCACGAGAGGAAGCAGAAGACTTGAAGAAGCTGCTCATTAACTCTGTTGATCCACGACTGAAAATCATCGACACCCCTGGCACAGCGAGTTATTACACACGATGCTCGTATCCGAAAGTGAACCAGCTGTACACTTCCTTCCTTCGAGAACTTAGCCCGAGGACCTGTTATTCCAAGAACATCCCGAATATGCAGGCTGCCCTCCGGACGCTAGCGAAGTTGACTGGAAACACCAACATACAGGATCGAGATCCCCAGAAAGCGTTCAGCTTCAGCTGCGTCTCCGCAGAAGACGTGGCCGAGGAGCACACCACTAGGGAACAATTGGACATGTTGGGCCAGATGGCTGTCAACCCGGTGGATCCAGCCGCTGAGCTCCCACGAAAGTGAGTAGGCGATATACCTAGTTCTGAGGAAACTCTGACATCGTGATAGGTTCAGCGAGAGACATAATCAGAACTTCTTTGGAAAGCACCGGACCGAGTCGAATGGAGAGTGGCTCTATGCTGCTATCGATGTACGTGTTGGACAAGGCGAGCATGTGGGCTCAGATTCAGGCCTTCCTTAACCGTGTAAGGGGCGTAGCAGGGTAGCGCTGGCCGCTCCCGTACTGTTGGTGTATTTTATGCACCGTGTGGGCGAAGATTGGAAATCATTAGGTTCAATGCCTTTTCGTGGCACGCCAGGTACAGGGGATTGTGCATAGTCTTGGACTCGACTAGCACCATGAATAAATTATCACTTGTGAGCAAGCTACTATTCATTTGTGATCAGGCCAAGAGCCTTGATGTTATCATCACGCGACCAAAAAAAATGTAGAGAACAACCTATCCGTGTGGCATTTATCAATATTGATATCAATGAACATTGCCAAGTTCCGTAACCACATGCTGTGGGTCACCACTAGGCAAACCGCAAGTCTTCCCAGCGCACACCCTTCCGGTGACACCTTCCTTCTGGGCCCGCTCCCACACGTAAATCGTGTCAGGTCTCCACTTCTTCTCGTCGACCTCCCGGATCTTGGCCAGGAAGACTTCTGCCTGGCGCTGTTCTGGCGCACTGATGATCACGCACATTGGCTCCTTGAGATAGATCATTGCGGCGGAGACCATTTCCGGCATGGAAGCAGGTTGCGTGAGCAGTCTAGGTGTGAAGAATGTGACCATCTTCTGGGCGTACATCTGGTATCGTTCCGCTCTCGATTCTGACATATTCGGAATTCCAAGGGCAAAAGGATCGGTGGCATGGCAGATAGAGTCGAGGGTAACGAGGTTGTGCAGGGATAATGAATTTGCCGAAGGTTCCGGCCCATCGTGATCTGGGTGCATGTCAGATTGCGCATTTGGATCACAACATTCTCCTTACCGTCTTTCAGTCTCATGATCTTGCTGGCATCGCTATCCTCCGCGCTTGCGAAATAGCCCCAAGCTTTCTCATCCCAAAAGAGCTCGTCCTGCTTGTCTTGCAGTTCCACCGCAATACGCAAGAGCCATGGTTCAAGTTTGACTTGGTAGAGAGCCAAGAGGCCGTTTATGACAGAAGCATAGTCCTCACATACCCTGCATTATTTGAACACAGGCGGTTCACAACGCAACGAGTGACAGAACGTACCCCTGTACATTCGTTCTATAGCAACGCAGTAGCTTCCCGTCTTTGATCATCTGGTTCTGGACGAACCTGGCAACTTCGATACCCTGATTGTAGAATTTCTCGGGTTCTGGTCCAGAGGGAAGGCGAAGCGCGGCCTGCGCAAGCGTCTTCAACATGAGACCATTCCAACTTGCTATGATCTGACAGGAAGGTTAGTCTTGTAGAAGAAATGGAACAAGACAGCGAACCTTGTCGTCAAGATGTGGTTTGGGTCTCTTATCTCTCTCTTCTCGTAAGACCTCTCTCCCTCTGTTGATGATACCCTCCATTTCTTCCGTACTGATACCCAGTGCCGTTGCCGTCTCCTCCGCGCTCCGCTGCTCCATCAAGACGTTCTTCCCCTGAAGCTCTTTATGTGGATCATGCTCTAGGCCCACGTTACCTTCTTCCTTTACGCCAAAATGGTCACAGAAGGCATCTCCGTCTTTCTCGCCCAGAGCAGCCGTGATCTGCGCACGTGTCCAGACATAGAACGCGCCTTCCTTCTTGATCGTGTCGCCTTCTTCCTCATATGACTCGGCGTCCTCGGCGGACATGTATGCAATGCCATGGTCGGTCTTCTTGAGGAGAACTCGGTCAAGGTACGCGAGGACGCCATTCGCAACAGTACGGTAGTACTCGTCGCCTGTAAGCACATAATACGTCACTAACCGATTTTTGTTAGCGTGGAGCTCGTGCACATCTGGGTGCGTGCATACAGTAATGATAGGCCAGTTGTGCGTTGTCATACAACATGATCTCAAAGTGTGGAATATGCCAGGCGGCGTCGACGCTGTACCGATGGAAACCAAGGCCGATCTGATCGTGAATACCTCCCATTGCCATTTTCTATGTCAAAAGAATCAGAAATTTGTTTTCCCAATCATGAGAGCGAACAAATGCACTTTCAGAGTAAAGGCACTCATCTTCCGCCCCAGGTTATTGCTGTCCTCTGCCAGGTATGCTACCAAGTGCAGAAAAGAGAATCTGCTCTGGGTCGGGAACTTGGGTGCCCCTCCAAATCCGCCGTGTGTTCGGTCGTACATCTGCCCTAACATTGCCAGACCGCGGTCACGTAGGAGAGGGAGGCCAAGTTGACTCAGTGCCGGAGATGTCGGGGAAGCAGGCTCTTGCAAGATGTCGGAGAGGGAGTTGCCTTTCGGGACAAGCTTGTCGCGTTCATTCTTCCATCTATGTACAAGCGTCAGTATGTGAAGGATGGGGAACGCAGAAAGGCGGACTTGTCTTTGACTTGCGTGAGGATCTGCTCCATCGCTTGAGGTGGGAAATATGTCCCTCCGAAGAATGGGATCTTCGTGTCAGGTGTGATCCACACGCTCATCGGCCATCCTCCTCTCCCAGATATGGCAGTGACATAGTTCATGTACACTCTGCAGGAAATACATTAGAAAGAAGAGTCGAGACACGTACGGGGAACGACACACCGATCGACGTCTGGAAGCACCTCCCTGTCCACCTTGACATTCACGCACACGTCGTTCATCATCTTTGCCACTTCCTCGTTCTCAAATGATTCGCGTTCCATGACCTTTCATTTCAGTCAGTTCATTCTCTATATGCGAAGTATCAAAATGGCGTACGTGACACCACCGGCACGTAGAGTAGCCAACGCTCAGAAACACCGGTTTGTCCTCCGCTTTCGCTTTTTGGAATGCCTCCTCCCCCCAGGGATACCAGTCCACGGGGTTATCTGCATGCTGTCTGAACATTAAGCTTCTTGTCAGAGCTAATCATACTGGAAGCTGTTCTAGACGAACCGGAGATAGGGAGACGATTCGTTGATGAGCCGGTTAGACTTGCCATCGTGAACCATCCTGACTTGCCAAACCAAGACTCTAGTAGCACACCGGATGTGGGGCTTAACTGGTTGGACAGCGTGACAAAGGCGATGGAGGGCAAGCATCCATGTAGTTTAGTTGTGATACACAACTGAATTGGCGTTTTGGTTGAACGCAGGCCAGGCAGGGTGCAGAGCTCAAATCTCTCCGCGGGCGGCGCGACGTCATAGGCCGCTTTAGGGCACCCATAGCTTAGCAGTCCAAGTCACAACGTATTAGACACATCATAAAAAGAACGATGGAGCCGAAGCTACGGGTATGTTGATTTCCTTGCATACGTACATAGAATATTGATCCCCACGTCAGAAGACGCGGGTGGACAGAAAGAAAGGACGTGGGACATGAACCGAACTGCACTATCGGGGACGTGGGCAAGGGTATCACAGACGAGAGCAAGCTGAAGGATGGAGAGATAGAATGGGGTCGCTAGTTATACTGGATCGTTGCTGTTGAGTTTACTGAGTTTATGTTAGACTGAGTGTTGCATGCCAATGAAGGGTATCAAGTGCGCATCCCCCGGAACGTGCTCGCGATTACGATCCTCCGAACCTGAGATCGCGCATTAGTCTCAGGGAGTGCACGTTGCGCAATGGAACATACCTGATCATACGAAATAGAGTCTTCTTCGAAAGACATTCCTGGAACTTTCCTACCGAGGTCACGGTCATCGTCGTCATCGTCGTCGTCGTCGAGTGCTCTGCCAATGCCACTACCGTCACGCATATCGAAAGATTTTCTCGTTATACCTCCGGAGACACCAAACGGACTCGTGGACAAGGTCGTCTTTGGGGCAGAGAACGCTGCGAAATCGCCAAACTTGTTAGAGGACGGAGGAGAGGAAGTCGGGCCACGGATCGGTGTCATGGGCGGGGTGACCATCGTGGGTTCGGTAGGAATAACGCCCCCGCGTGGTGGAAGGGTAGGAGCATAAGGAGAAAATGAAGAGGCGGATGAGGAGTAGTGGTATATACCACCCTTGGTGGTGCTGTACTTTGATGCCTGGTATTTATCCGTGAACCGCGAGCCAGTGACCTGCGTATAGGTGAGTCAAAGAGCACACAGCGAGAAATCAACACAGACCTTCTTCAAAAGTGGTCGCGCCGATGCGAGATCCGATGCTTGCAGCCACACATTAATGTTGTGCGCGGACTCTTCCGAAGTCCGATATATACTCTCGATCTTGAGCTTCTTGGTGTTCTCATTCCGGAGCATGAGATGCTCGTGTAGTTGTCGGGCAATATCGTCGACATCGTCGCCACCCAAGACACGATTGGCAACATGCTGACCAACTTCCCGGATCAGATCTTCCATATCCAGGTTCTCCAGTACGCTTCCAATAATCGCATGGGACAGCAGAGAGGAGGTTGTCAGAGGAAGAACGGTACCACCGGTGAGGGACGTCATGGCATGGTAGAATTCGTTAGCATACTAGTAAGGGGATGAGTCAGAAGCATTCAAGAAGAAGAGTATACGTACAAGGTATCCGCTCAGGGCAGGTTCGCAAGCAACAAAGAACTACACAACAGTCAACTCCGCGGACATAAATCGGCACACAGCAGAACTCACCAGTGTGATCCCCCTAGTTGCCATTTCCCGTACTATCTGGATGGGATCATGACCATCCGGTGAGCCGCTGTCAAATCCTGGAAGCTCAATTAGAATACATCCCGAAGTCCAACCACGTGAGACCACGAACCATCGCCGTATTCTCCAAGGCCATGTGGAGGGGCGTCAGCAATCAGGACGACCATCCTCCTCGCCTCTGGTCTCCAGTCCATGTTAAGGGCGTCGTAGAGCGCAGCGGTCACTGCCTCAGGACCATCGCCTCCACCGCTGGCATACAGAGTCTTCAAATTCGCCTTCATCTCCGCAACATCGCTCGTGAAGGGGAACTTCTTAGTAATGAATGTGTTGTCCTGCGGAGGGTGGTCTCGGAAGGCGATGAGCCCCAGCCGAAGGTCCTCTGGTCGTACCAGTTTGCCGGTGTTGGCAATGGTGTTGCAAATCTCCTCGATATTCTCTGTCGCATGCGATATATATGACCCTTGAGATCCTGTAGCATCTTGTATAAAAACAAGGTCACTAAATAAAAGAGGGCGTTAAGGTCTAGACACATTTTGTGATCCGAAACAGGGGGCGTACAGCATCTTCCTCGGTAGCCCGTTCTCGGGATTCATGGGGACTGGTCCTGTTGAGCTAGCAGCATATGCTGAAGATGCAACCATAGGCTCCTCGATGTCAAGTCCGTCCATAGCTGTTGCCATATCCATATCACGGTCCCCGTCCATCGAGTCACCATCCGGAGGGGCGGTGGGGTACGATGCAGAAGGAGCGCCGTATCCTAAATCAACAGGGACTATACAGGCATTAGTTACAGCAATAATTGAACAATAAGAAGGTGCAAATACCGTATCCTGCATGCTCAAGAGTGGCCATCGTGGTGTGAGTCGAACAATACTGTCAGCAGCGTGATGCCGACCAGTGGAAGGCAGTTAGTGAAGGTGGATGGGGCTATAGAGGAATCAGACTCGATATTCTCGTGTCTGTGGTATAGATACACTTACCTGTGATCAAGAGAACAAACCTGGCGGTCGTGAGGAGGTGGTCGATACGGTGCACGTTTGGTAGGAGGGGCCGCCTGTCCGGATACCCTTATGATGCTCATGTCACTTGCCGTTTCTGCCTCCGCGGCGCCCACTCACATCGCTTCCCACACAGCGAGGCGGCGTACATGAGGCACACGCGCAACATTCTACAACAGTCTACAACACACGATTTCCCCACATCTGCCTGCCTATCTTATCACTCGGAATAACAAGGAAATTATGATAACAGTGCGGTCTAACGTAGTAATGTACCTTGGGACTTGAGCGGTCGTGAAAAGGGGTCATAACTCGCGTCTACTGATTGGCAGCCAACTCCATCCTAGGCCGACAAGCGCAGCACCGGGCGGGCGGAAGAGGGCACGGAAGAGGAAGATCGCGCCGGCAGACACGGTGGTAGCCACTCCTAACACGACAGCGAAGTATTTCAACCTCGAGGCCAGCGTGAGGGAACGGTCTCCGCCAGGGATGGCGTGAACCCTGAATCAGACCTCAGAAGACAGAACTTTCCACTGAATCAATCGAACTCACGGATCCATCGCTATACGGCAGATGGTTTGGAACAGGTCCGCAATCTGCCCCGTCCTTGCGCTCACAGCGACAGGTACTTGCAGGCCCAAACGACGACAGTACGTGTCGGGTTGCACTTCGTGTCGCTGCAATCGACACGTGGTCAGTCACGCACGCTTATATGTGCGGATCTCGATACCTACCTGCTGAGCAAGATCAAGATCACTCTTCGTCGCTACAAAGAGACTTGGCAACGAATCCAAACTGTATTGTTGCTAGGGAGGATCAATTGTTGAGCTCGCCACAACCACGAGGGAACTCACTCGTAGGTTGCTAATGTATGAGAAGGAATTCGTATCACTTGAATCATGTACGAAGACGATAACATCAGCCATGTCCAACTTCTTTTGATTTCGCAAGACTTCAGATTCGTATTTTGAACCGAATTCTTGCAACTGCACAAATCATTCAGTATCTATGACCACTCATACCACTGAAGGACGTACGACGAGGTATCTCTCCCTGCCTCCCACCTCCACAGCGTTTACCACGCTCAACAACGACCGGGTAGGTTGATATTCCGTTGTAAACGGCTTATCCACGAAGTTCCGTAACAAGCTCGACTTGCCACTTCCACCGGCGCCAAGCACGTAAGCAAGAAACACATTTCTCGAGGTTTTCCTTGCTTTCCGATCCGAACGTCGAGGTCTGGTGACTTGGAGGGCTGTCGTCGTGCTGACGGAAGTTGTGGCAGTTGAAGGTGATGATGAAGGTATGATGGTTGAGGGCAGGGGGTATCCGAGATGTGCGAGGTATGCGAGTGTCGTTTTGTGGTCCAGCAACGTAGTCATGCTGTCCAGTGTTCAGCTCTTCTGCTACCACGAGACCACAATGACTAACCTCCATTGTGCTAGCCAACCCTGTAGAGTAACCCATCCTCTGTCATTGGTGAACGTCGTTTCTGGAAAGCCGTCTTTCGTCCAAGGGCAACCAGGGGAAGTGCTAAACAAGCTATCCAGCTCTTCAGGTCGGAGAGCCCCGTCCTGGTCCTTGTCATGCATCTCGAAGATGTCGGTCAAGAACCGATATCCGCTCGGGCTGAGCTCAACAGAGCAGTCCGACGGGACGTCGAACTTCGGTGATAGAAATAACTCGGTCAGCTTCAAATCTGCACCATATCCGAACTGTCGGAGAATCGTCCACGTCGTTTCTAGCCTTCCACGCTGGATAAAGAGCGTATGTAAGTAGAGGAACCCCGCTTCGGTTATTCCTTCATCCCGAATTCCATCCGGGATTCCCTGCGCGACCATCTCAAATATGCCAGTTCGCTCCTGTGCTTGAAGAGGCTGAGAAAAGCATTTAATCTTCATGCGGGTGTTAGAAGCTGCAGTAGGGCCAGTGAGTGCTTGTGCACCTGGAATTCATCCAACTCCTGAGCATCAAGAATACCATCTTTGTTTACGTCGCAAAGTTTGAATATACGCTTAAGCGCGTCAATGCATGCGGGTTTTAGAACCTTTTGAAAGCTCAAAATGTCTCCCATAGGCACGAAAGGAAGCGCTTACATGCTCTCTTGAATCGTACAACGGTGCTGTGGGATGCAGTACAGCTTTCTGCGCGAAGTAGAACACCTCAGACACGTTCAGGGGAAGCTTTGCCGAGCATTCCACGCATGTTTCCACTTCCTAATGGGCTATCAACCAACCATCCTCCTAGCAACGGCATTGCGCACCTTGAACTCCGACATTATAGGAAAGATCTCGTCCTCCAACGCTTCATTCGTAACCTCACCTCCTCGTAGATCAATCTTATTCCCGACCAGAATGATAGGTACCTGATATGGCATCAGAGATGAATGCGGCGACACTGACACGTGTTTTTACATTAACTCCAACACTCCGGATGTATGGCAGCCAGTAGGTTGGAACGCGGTCAAAAGAATGCGGATTGTCGATAGCATACACAACGCATATGACGTGTGCTTTTCTAAGTTCTGAATCTAGTCGCTGCCGGTCCTGCGACCGAGCGGACGAGTCCACGATGTACGTCGTCACGTTCTCTGGTGTGACCTCCGGTGGGATCGTTACTTCGGGCACGACGGCTTGCACCTTCATTACATACATGAGTAACTATATGTGCTTTAAATCATGAGGGGAACGCACATGAGGAACATAGTAGTCCTTTATGAATGATGTGACTATTGTGCTCTTTCCCACACCATCTGCAGGATCGTGATTAGCTCGCGCGTCGGCAGTTTGCTGGAATTGCCCAAAGCGCACCATCCCCGACCAGCAGTATGCGGACATCCCGCCGCATTTCCTGTTGTGCCTCTCCAGACTAGCAAGGTACAGCAATATGGTCAACGCCAGAAAGGGAGGTCAGTCGGGAGAATCTGGGGCTGCCGTGCCTTTTGGCTTGTGCTCAAGTTGAAGGGGCAAGAATGATGCACGCGGTCGGCACGGAAGCACCGTGTCCCTCGGCCATTCAGAAGCGCTGGCCAACAACGCCGTCTTCATTTGATAACCAGGATGAACATTGTACTTGTACATCTGCGATCTATACTGCATCATGTCCCCTAATGAGCGTAGTAGACGCCGTGAACTTTGGATTTCAACCAAGCCTCATCCAGCAAGCTAACCACCTCACCTGGTAACGGACCGCCTTCCCCTGTTGATATAATCTCAGTGAGTCTGTTCTCAAGGAGACCGGAAGATTCCCCACGCGTCATTAATGTTCATCTCCAATTGTTCAAGTGATCCAGCCCCAAGGATAACCCCGTCATTCGGTGTCAACGCGCTGTGATGTTGCAACCACCGTTGCGCTGCTTCCGACAATCGGATGTTGTATTTCTCCTAGGGACGGGCCCGGGTATTAGCCAAGAATCAAGCTACAACAACATATTGCAACTCACCAACGTCTCTTTCAAGGGCTTGAGAAGGGGCAAAAGCGGCGCATACCGCGTCTTCAGCATCTCCGCTAGCCAGCCGGTCTGCTTAGTGTCCCAACGCGAGCCAGCAGCATTCGTCCAATCATCAACTGAAAGGATCTTGCCGGCTAATAAACCGCTCCTACACGAACGAATCAATGAGCTGCGAAATAACGAAGTAACTGTGAGACACCAACGCAAGAGGGCTGTAGGCATAGAAACGGATACCAGGTTTGCGGAGACACGGAATCAGCCTAAGGATGTAAGTAAGCGGTGACTGACAAAACTTGCGAAGCAGGAACAGACCCACTCGTATTCGATCGTCCTTTCCACCGCGTTATAGCAACCCTGGTACACCGTAGGCTGGATCAATCCGTTTGCCTTTGCATACGTTACATATTCCGCGACTTCCCACGACAAGTGGTTGCTCAGACCGAACTCTTCACTGGGTTGTGTCAGCACCTGCTCTCGAAGCTCTTCCAGGCCATAGTACGTACATCAGCCCCTCCTTCTTCAGCTTGTCCACTTTTCTGAGCGTCTCTTCGAATGGCGTGCCCCTGTCTGGCAGATGCAAGTAGAGCACGCGTATCTTATGTCCATTCAGTGCCTTCAGTGACACCTCAACGGACTGGCGTATCGCAGACGCAGAATGGTGGCCCGGTTGGCCAATGGTGAAACCGGCCCTATCATCCTTCCTATTCAGTCACACTCTCGTTGGACCAAAATGGAAACGTACTTGGTATCCACCCCGCAACCCTTTAGGTCTAGTTGACCTAGGTACTCCTCTGACGTACCATGCCCATACACCCGAGCGCAGTCCAGCATCGTATATCCCCACCCCACCCAGAGATCGATCACTGCCTGGCAGTCGGGGAGCTCATTGAAGCGTGTTGTATGCTGGCCTTTGGCACCAAAAGCACCCGAGCCCTGGATATCTCTGAGCAGGGGAGAAAAGCGATAGTCGCATGCATACGAAGAGGAGGGGGACGCGTGACGGCATGCTCGACTTAACTGGCTCAACCTCTCACGATGCCCTCAAGACCAGCCTGCTGAACGCGCTGAGAGAGTGCCAGCAACATTCTATCTTATAGTGCCGGTGTTGACGAATCTCAGAACAGAAGTGCGGGGTGAGGGTGAGATTATGCCTCACGTGCCAAGATCTGGTGAATGTATATGCGATTGATTACACGATCAAGTACCCAACACGTCCCTAAGTGTCCTCCCAATGAGTCGATGCGCGCCTCGGCATATCTATTAGGACTTCCTCCGACAGAGTGCATTACGTCGACTTCCGTTTCGCCGCCCAGTGTGTGCCGTACCTCCACTCCAGCAGGACCAAAGGATACGTCAGTACGCACCACACCGAAAGCGCGGTGAAGGTCCACCCGGGTCCAATTGCCAACCTGACGAAATCGATGACGGAAATCACTACTGCGCCTAGAAGACAGCGGACGATGTTGTTCTATCCGTTTTTGCCTTAGCGGGCTGTCGTTAGAGGAAGGAACGGGACGTACTGCAGCGCCTACTGCGGATCCTCGCCCGGGAAAGAGGTCCATCAATAGCGTTTGACTGACAGTAAAAATGCACATTGTCATGCATGTCGCTAACCATTCACCCATGCGATGTCAATACACGCTCCTTTGGTAGGTAACTCATCCTACGCACCGAAAAATTGCAACAACAACGTGACGCCCACACTGACTCCGAAGCGCACACACCAACCATAAGCGGCCAACACCGCAGTGTTCAATCCCCAATAGATGGGTGACGAGCTCAACCGTGCATGTTCCTTGCGCACATGTCCCCCTTCTCGCTTCACCCGTGCCTCTTCCCGTGCCCAGGAAATGTCAAGCAGCCGGCCAGACAGCGGCGCGCCGACGATGCACCCGGCGCCGGAGGCGAGGTAGCACAAGCCGATTTCGGTTTCGGTGAGGGAGGGATAGGCAGCGAGAAATAGAGGAGAAAGGGTGGTTTGAATGCAGTAGAACATGGTGAATGATACCGCTGATTGGGAGCATCAGCTATGATCTCTTTCTCCTTGGAGAACGGCTGAGAAAGGTAGCGTACCATTGGTCCATAGAATTAAACAAACGTCTATATGTGTAAACAGTTTCACGAAGTCCAGTGGGCCCGTTCGTCTTGGCAGCTCTGAACTCTTGCCGTCGTGCATACCCTCTCGCCATGCTTGACCAAGAACAGGCAGGAGTGGGCGGTTCCAACGCGGAGCGGGGAGAGAGCCATCCCCCACGATCGCGCGTAGGGTTTCGGGCAGGAAGAGAAGCTCGAGGAGGAAACAGAGCGCTGAGGCGGCAAGGAGGAAATAGAAGATCGCCCTAGGAAGAAAACCAATTGAGTGACGATTGAGACCGAACTTGTGCCTCACTTACCTCCAGCCGTATCTTCCCGCCAGGACACCACCGATCACTGGTCCGATACATGAGCCGAACTACTCGGCTCTGTCATCCCGCGGTCACAGCATGCCAACCGAGCCCAACTAACCATCGCACCCAAGCTCGACACACCTAGGAAGATCCCTCTCTCACCCGGCGCCGCTATATCCATGATCGTTCCACTACTGATAGCTATCACGCTCGCACACCCAGCTGCCTGAAAGCACCTCAGAAGCACCAGCAGCCAATATGCATCAACCGGAGTGAATGCAAGCCCAACGCAGCTCAGCGCGAGGAGGGCAAGACAAGCCAAGTACACCGGTCTGCGGCCACAGAGTCGCGAGTCCGCTAACCCGCTCCATACTGCTGGGGAAAGGCCTTGAAGAAGCATGTACACTGTAACGGTTATATTTATGCGCTCTATTGAGGTGCTGAAGGCGGTTGCGATCACGGGGATAGCGGGAAAGTAGACGTTCGACGAGAGGGGGGAGAACATGGCTGCGAGGGAGGTTAGGGCCACGATGAGCCATTTCTTCCAGGGCTCATAGACTTGTAGGAGTAAGCCCCAAAATCATAGATATAACGGTCGTGCATACCAGAATAACCCAGTATAGCTGTGCTTTCCGTCAGAGACCGCTCAAGATTGCCCGCCTGCTGAGGGTCAGAAAGTACCCGCCCAGGTTTTGACACTTTCTCTCCTAGTGGAGCGCCCATACCAAGACCATATATCAAAAATCATGCAAACCGTCCACGATAGTAGATATATTGAATGCCAGCGAGTCGCCTGAAATAAAGATGCTTGCTGAAGACAGAAATGCTGGCGCCGTTCGGCCGAATCATCATCAAATTTGATTTGTCTCGCGAGCGCTTCTGGAGCGCTTCCGGAAGTCTCCAAGAGATCCACGGAGTTCTCGGAAGTCTAGTTCAATGATGTGACAACAGATCGGGCCGACACTATGAAACCGGAGGTCGACCAGACATGCACATTCAAAAACGGAATAATGATCGAATAATTAAAAGCTACAGAGTTCAACGAGCGCGGTCCTAGTAATTCATTCGTGTGTCATGGTGGTCAGCAGCAAAGTGCGCCCTTAACTTTCCCCATAACTGGCCCGTTTGATCGGAAGTAATTCATGAATAACCACGTGGCCTCCACAGATCTGGAGTGTACATGCCGAGGCGCTCCCTCCGCCCCATGTCGGCCGACATCGGTGTCACCGGGCCGCCTCGTCGAATTATTCTGCACTGAAATGACAACCATCCGAGCAGCTCGGCGCCGCCAACCGCCCACGCAGAATTGTGCAGGCCGGCGATTCGGATATACCTGTAATGTACTGTGGATATATAACCGCCCGGTGTGGGGCGGACGTGGGGGGCGATTGACTGAAACCTCGGATACCCCACCCGGACGACGTGAGTGATCCATATTTAAAGATGGAGAAGGAACAGACAAGGCTGGAAGAACAACAATATGTCAGAGAACCATCTCCAGCACCAACACTTGTGGAGGAAAAAGATTGTATGCGAAACGTTGATGGACCATCCAATACTGCCGAAACTAGTGACCAGCAGTCAAAGGAGCCGCCCAGCGCTGATAGCGTCGATCGACCCTACTCCGGTATGCTAGATTGTTCGGGTTCACCCTGGTGCTGATACTTGGCTTAGTATTTGCAAGATGGGAGAAATGGGTCATTGTATTCATCACTTCTATCGCCGCCGTCCATTCCCCCCTGGCGGCGAACCTCTACTTTCCCGCAATTCCTATCGTTGCCGAGGTATTATCTCCTATTCCCCAGCGATCTATCTAATATCTTCCTCAGGCCTTTGGGAAATCCATAGAACTGATCAATGTCACCGTGACGGTGTACATGCTGCTTCAAGGTCTGGCCCCAACAGTCTGGGGCAACCTAGCCGATCTCCCATGGTGCGGTCGGCGACCGATCTACCTCATTTGCTTGCTTGTGCTCTCCATCTCCTGCATCGGTCTCGCCCTGACCCCAACAAGCGCCTACTGGCTGCTCGTCCTACTCCGATGCGTCCAGGCCGCCGGGTCAGCAAGCGTCATCGCCCTCAGCAGCGGGACGATCATGGATATTGCCGCCTCGCACGAGCGGGGCATCTTCCTAGGCATATCCGGTATGGGCCCACAGCTGGGAACGTGTATCGGCCCAGTACTTGGAGGAGTGTTGGCAGGGAGTCTCGGCTGGCGCAGCTCCTTTTGGTTCCTGCTTATCTCGGCAGGGACGACACTCACCATCGAGTTGCTCTTCCTCCCTGAGACCCTCCGCGCGATTGTAGGTGACGGTAGTATCCCCGCTCCGCCGTGGAACCGACCACTGTTACCTGTGCTGGGACGCAAGTTCAGGGGGAAGTACGACCCAGCGCTGAGACCGAAGGCGTTGAGGAAAGTAGGTCCACTGGAATTCCTCAAGCTGTTTAGGCACCCGGACCTGCTCATTATCCTCTCCACGAACGGTGAGCCCAATTTCTCGTCCCTCTCTACAGCTTCTGATAAACATATCTACCAGCCGTCCAGTTCACGATCTTCTACTGTATCCAAACGACCACGTCTCCCCTCTTCCTTGCCAACTATCCTTGGCTTACCGAGACCGAACTGGGGCTGACCTACCTGGCCTACGGCGGTGGGTGCGTCTTTGGCGGGCCCATCAGCGGCCGCCTCCTCGACTGGGACTACGACCGCGCGAAGCGGCGGGCAAAAGCGGATCGCGAGGAAGGGATAGTACACGATCCTTCTAAAGGGTACAGGAACAAAGAAGGCGTACCGGTGATACATACGCGGCTGAGGCAGACCCCGTTCTACTGGGGCGCATATGTGATCGTGGTCATCGCATACGGTTGGGCTGCGAAGGTCAATGCGCCCCTGGGCGTATTGCTAGTTTTTCAATTCTTCGGTTCGTCCCTTCTCTGCTTCTTGGGGGCGGGTCCGCTGACGAGTTCGCAGCCATGTTCATGTCCATGTCGATCTTCAACGTGACACAGGTGCTGATCATGGACCTTTTCCCTGGCCGAGGCTCCTCCATCGCCGCAGCGAACAACGTGATGCGCTGTGTACCTGGAGCGATCATGGTCTCGATTGTGCAGTATATGCTGGACGGCGTCGGTGCCGGATGGACGTTTACGATCCTGGCGTTGGCGTGTGTGGTCAGCTATCCGCTGCTGATCCTTGAGTGGATTAAGGGCCCGGAATGGGCGAGGAGGAGAGAGGAGAGGGAGGCGGCGAAGGTCTCACCGGAGTAGAGGAGATGGATAGCAGGTACTTGGACCGGAGGACTGTGTCAACACGAGCAATTGTACCATACATACAACTTCACAAGGACAACTTTTTTTTTTCATCTTCTGCGCCCCACCTTACTCTCAGTTCAGCTTCCCAAATGTGACCTCATGCAGCCAACTGCTTCTTAGCCTCCTCCACACTGAGCACCTCCCCAAACCGGTTGAAGAACTTCTCCACAAGAATCTGGTGCATCTCCGGGTTCAAGTCCGCACACGCCTGGGGAACTACCTCGACCTCATAATCCGCATCGAGTGCCGAACGCCAGGTGTGAAGCACCGCACCGGAGGTAGCGACGCCAGCGAGGATGAGCCGCGTCACTTCCTTAGAACGGAGGAAGGAGTTGAAGTCGGTGTCGTGGAAGGGAGAGCCGCGTGGACGGGGGTGGACCTTCTCTCCCTGTGATTGGGAGTGAGATTATGGTTTGGCGTGTAGATGGAGTAGTAAACGCACGGGCAGCGGGGTAACACTCTCCACTATCCCCGGATTCTCGAGACTCGCAGGGAACGACTCTATCCAATTACCGAACTTCGATTCTTTGACCACACTGTATAGCTCCTCGTTGCTCCTACGCAATCCCTGTTCCATCTTCAGCACCCTCACACGAATTGATCAGTGAACCAGCTACGTACCCCCACGATGACGTGTGCAATGACCACTTTCTCCGGCCCTTGGGCCCGAGCGACAGCTAACAACTCGGCACCGTTCGAAACAGCAGCATCGAATATGGTTTTGTCAGGAACAAAATTGCGGATTTCGGATTGATAGTCCAACAAGAGCAGGGCGAGGGGAGGCATTCTAGGATCGTCGAAGGAGATGGATGAGTTCCTTAGGGAACCGGATAAGGGCGACCGATCATAACGGACGCGCCCATACATTGCTACCGTATTGAGAATGAGACTGACAGGCCAATATCCCTATTCATAGATCAGTCATGGATCAGCATAAGCATTGCCGACCGCTTACTCTGCTCCTATTCTAGCACGCCTCGTGATCGTTCCTTCGCTGGCTTTACCCACACTATTCATTTCATCTCAATTCATACTCCCAATAACCACACCGCGAAGTCTTCCCACAGTCGCTGTATTCTGGTATCAACGTCTTGAGTGAGTGCCTAGTGAGGAGGCCATCCGACACCGGCGTAACTTTCTTCGGTCGGCTCTAAGCCCAAACTCCGAACTTCTTCACACTTCTAGACCCTGACGCGACCGGCGTCCTGGCGCGTGTGGTCACCCTGCCGCTGGCAGAATCTTGGCGGCAAACAACAAACACCAACTCTACTTCTTCTTTTTCATATTGCTTCTCTCTCTTTGTCTGTGCTGTGCGTAGCTCCCCGTGCTTGGCCTCTGTTGTCTGTCAGAATATGGAGCTGGAATCCACTGGCAACCCGTTCTGGATATTTGACGAGCTGGATCTGGGATGAGCTCTCTTCGTCTCTCCTTCCCCCCTCCTCTTCATCTCGTAGGACGCGTACAGGCACCCACACCCAGGCTGGTGCATGCAGGACCGTCCATCGAGCTGTCTCTCTTTGCTTCTTTCGCCACATACCAAACCCCACTATTACCCTCACCGTCGCATACCAAAACCAACCCACGGGACATCTCACATTCCCCTCTCCACTCTTTACTCACACGTTCCTTCCCCTATCATAGAAAGCGAGCTTATAATCAGGCCCCGCTGCTCCAAACCCCTCTCCGACGCGTGCAGTCCCTGTTTGTGACATGCTCTATTTGTTGACGGCAGGATGTTGTGCTAACTCACCTATCAGGCACCTGACCTACCTAGGAACACTTCCCCTCTTGCGCCACTCCACGCAGTCTCGGTCGTCATAGCGGCTCTCAGGCACTAATCCCAAGCACTAAATACTCTCGCTAAACAGAAGAGCGGGCTAACTCAGCCCAGCCTCTTCCCATTTCTTCCTGTCCCTTCCTATCCCTTCGCACTACCAGCCTCCCCACCACAAGCACTGCAGCACCCCATCCCTCTACCAGCAAACCCTGCGCCAAGGCACCAGCGAGCCAACTACACCTCCCAACCGCCGCGCAATGTACACCTGCGAATGCTGCATCAGCTCCGGGGACGTGCACTACTGTTCCCCCGCGCACGCGCGGCAGGATGCTTTCCTAGCGCTAACGGGGAATCAGCACACCTTCTACCGTGCCTATTGGAGGCGATTTGATCCGCACGCGCCCCGCCCGGGGGTGAGGGTGCAGGGGAGGGGCAAGCCGTTGCCCTCGCCTCCTAGACCCGCAAGGGAAGAGAGGGAATGTGTGCGATACCCTGTCCTGCCCCCTTGTCAAGAGCACCAGGGAGCGTCACCGACAAGGCCAGTGCTGCAACGGTTCCCGGACTATGTGAAAGCCCTACCCGAGCCGCCTAGCACGTGGAGTCTCACTACTAGGGCTACGACTCCTGCCTCTCGGTTACCGACGGTTCTTGCTGAGTCGCACAAATTCGCACTCCCGCCATCCCGCCTGCGGAAAAGGCAGTCCGACCCCCAGAGCTTGTGTACGACCCCGGATCTTGATCAGGCCCGATGGTCGCTCTCAAGCAGCGAGGGCGAGGATGTGGGCGATAATGGGGAAAACGAGGGGTGTGCGGACGTGGACTTGGATGTGGAGTCGCCGAATAGCGAGACGCTGCTGAAGGTCGAGAGCTGGCTCGAGGAAGCGGGAGAAAAACTCTCGAAGCTGCAGCTCCGCCTGCGGGCGGAAGGTGCACACCCTCTCTCCCCTACCGTCCATCTGGGCCAACTCGACCCTCCCGCGCTGGAGGAAACACCCCCCCTCCCGCCGAAAGCGAAACTCCTACATCGAGAATGCTCGATCCACCTCTCCACGCCCAGGATGAGCACGGCCACGGCCCGAGAGAAGGTGTACGACGACCTGCGCACGCACTCTATCTTCCGCGCATACTTCCAGGATCTTCCACCCAGGAAGAAGACGAACAGGGCGGAGGGGGATGTCCCCCCTGTACCGGAGATCCCAGAACGGTTTAGACCTAAGCCTGCCGCTGCTCCGATTTTGCAGCCCGTGCCTGGGAGGACGACCCGCCCTCTGCAAATCCAGAAGCACGCCGTACCCTGCCCTCCTCCTCTTCCTCCCAAGCCTACCCCAGACACTCCAGAGCTCGAAATTATGACCCCGCAAGAGTACAGGGAGAGCCTCGCTGCTGAGAGCGGGTGGTGGGAGCCTGCGGGGAAGGGAGTGCCAGCTGTGGGGGGGATGCGGTTCTTGGAAGAAGATCCGTATCCTTCTCGTATCTGGGCTTGAGGGATGCAGAATATTTGTATTGGACTTGTTTATTGGACTTATGGTAAAATAGAGCTGTGTAATTCTTCTTTCATGTAGATTTACCACTTGCGTAATGTATCGGTATTAGACTGGGTATTTATAGTGTCACGTGCATCTAGGGTCAGTGAACGTGATGATTGAAGTGATCGAGGCTTTTGGTTTTCGATCGACGCGCTTTCTGTCAAGCACACGAGGCAGGGCCATTCCCGTATCCATCCCAGTTTCACCCCGCACCCAAGCAGCGATGCCCCTCCCACCCCTTTCCCCCACCCTGCAATCCACCCACGCCCTTTTATCCCAGCTCCTCCCCCGCCTAGCCCTGCGCAAACCACACATCCCATTCTGGCACCTCGCTACTCACCGGCTCCCCACCCTCGCGCTATACAGGCGTCTCCTGCGCTTTGCTCCTTCTCCCGTGCTTGCCCAGTGGGTAAGATATAGATGGAGGGAGGAACGGAGGGGGACGAGTCCTCAGGGAACGAGGGAGCGGCTGAGGGAGTGGGAGCGGTGTGCGCGGGTGTTTGAGCGCGCTGCTATGGGTGGGGATACGAAGCTAGTGGAACGTTACGAGAGGCTTGTGGTCGCCCGTAAGAACAGGGTAGAAGGGGAATGGATCCAGTCACTCGAACTAGTATGTCCTATGCCTTCCCCTCCTCTTTGTCCTTCAGATCCCCACTCACAAGGCACAGAAACGGATGCACGACATCGTCAACCGGCCCCGGCTCACAGGCTCGCTCGTCCTCCCCTCCCCGGCAAACAAGCCCTTCCCGCGACTGAAACCCCAGCCCCCGGGGTTGAGCGGTATGATCCGGTGGAGGATTAAGGCTCGGGAGCGGAGGATGGGAGCGGATGCGCTATATAGGGTTTGGATGGGCTGGGTGGGGGATGAGGTCAGGGCGGAGAAGATGCTGGGGTTGAGGGAGGGGGTGTGGGTCGGTCATGAGAAGGAGTGGTGTGCGTCTTTCTCTCTCTCTTTTTCTATTTCTATCTCTGTTTTGTTGTGCACTGATGAGATAATAGTGGATCCGATGAGGGGGCATTTGAAGAGTATTGATCGGTCTTTCGAAGCGGACGTAGCAAGGCAGCTCACACCGCCCGACCCAGCGACTCTAGAGAGGATCAAGCAAGCCCGGAGAGATCGGATCTCCCGGCTTTCCTACCTGCGGCAGAGGGAGCTCCGGGGAGAAATAACAGTCCGCAGCATGCGCCGGATGTCGCAGGGCCCTCCTGGGCCTGTGCTCCAGCGGATGGGGGAGAAAGCGCGGTTGAGAGACAGAGCGGTCAGGGGGCCGGGGTGGGGCGGTTGGGTGGGCGAGTTGAAGAGAGCTAGGGGGACGAGGGAGCGTGGGAGATGGTCGGAGGAGAGATTGGCGAGGGAGAGGAGGAAGAGGGGGTTGTTGCCTTAGTCGTCGGTGGTACGTTTGGCGATGGTACGTGAGCGACGGGAACGGCTCTGAGGTTGGTGTGTCTGCCTTACTACCGCATAGGAACTGACTTGAATTCTAGACTCTACTTGTCAATTTTTTCAACACGCCCTACGCCCTCCCCGACTTGTTCGCACTCTCACTTCCTGCATCGCCTGCAACACTCAATACGCCGACGATACAGCGAGCGCCCATATCCAAGCACGCGCACATGACGACCACATGACGCCGACTCGAGCGCACCATTCATGCATCCATGCACTCAGAAGCCCACGAAGCCCTCACTTGCTTGTTCAGCAGGACGAATCGAGCGTTTCGAGTTTCCATCTCCTCCGGAGGTCGAGAGCGTACTTATCATTCTTGGCTGGATCTTTTGATGGATTTCTTCACTTGTAACATGTGGGGGCGAAGAGAGGGTACGAAGTGGATATCAACTTGGCCGGTGGATCGACTGCAGAAGTTGGCTAGGAAGCAAGGACAGACCACGTGCAATCGATTCAAGAAGCAGAATCAACCCCAATTGGCAAGCACGACAGAAAAACGCTTCTTCCCGTCACTTTGCTACTGCATCTCCGATCCTCGCTCACCAACCACCTCTACTCGGTCAAACGACAAGCCTGCATATATCAGCCCACATCCAGCCGTCCATCAGCCCATATTGCCACAACGTGCCTTTCTTGTCCTGGTTCTATCCATCTCTTCGGTCCCGTAGGCGCCACGGCATATTAATAGATTCCGGGGTGCAGACTACAACGAACGAATGAATGAACGTCTATATGGGCATATCTAGATAGGCAGGTACTTAGCGCCACGAGCTAATAGATGTACGCGTGCGTGTATGCACGTTGTCGAGCGATTAGGGTGCGAGAGCAAGTTGATTTCCCGAGCTTTGGTCACTTTGTAAGTTGGGCATTGAGTGATGGATCAACTGGTCCAGGCCTGGTCCAGTCAGTGTGGAGCGATCAACCGATCAACCGATCAGTCAACCGATCCATCCTAGCAATCCCCGATCATCAGCCGTCCATCAGCCACCGAGAACGGGAACCGGTGGCGTACGAAGAAGCAAGTGGAACACTACCGGCGATAGGAATACGCCTCTGCACGTGTTGAAGAGAGACCGAGAGAGTGGTGCGACTTTTGGGGTGTGCGTGAATGTTGCTGCCGTAGAGTGAGGAATGAGGGTGCTTGACTTGGGCTTTACTGCTTGACTTGGGCTTGCGGCCTGGAGTGATTTGGGGTGCATTTCAATTATGGACTGCGGATGCTTGAGGCTGCGTGTATGCGCATTGCAGGCATCAGGTACATTGCCTATTGCTTGTATGCATAATGATTGTCACGCATCTTCGTTCTTGCAGCATATAAAGACCACCCGATCCAACCATTCACTCAGCACACCAAGCCCCAGCACCAACCCGCATACCCAGACCCATACCCATACCCAGAACAAATATGTACTCCCTCCTCGCCGTGACCCTCGCACTCGCGCTCAGCTTCTTCCACTTTGCGCACGCTTACCCCGTGTATACCACCGAGGTTGTAGATCCCAACACTGCCATCTCGGGAAGGGCGACGTGGTTCTACGTCGGGCTCGGTACGTTCCCCTCTTATCCTTCCCTCTGCCCTATGCGTGCCTCGCTGACCACTCACTCCCTCAGGCGCTTGCGGGTACACCGACACAGACCTAGACTGGATCGTCGCGCTCAACGAACCGCAATACACCGGGAGCGCCTGCAACCGGTTCCTCGTCGTCGAGAACACACAGAGCGGGGCGACTGCGGTTGCCAAAGTCCGGGACATGTGCCCCGGGTGCGCGGAGGGAAGCTTGGATATGAGCCCCGACTTGTTCAAGGCTATCTCGACGGAGGGGTTGGGGGAGGGGACGTTCCCTATTCGCTGGAGTGTGAGTCTACCCTACCCTGTTTATGCGGGGGCACGAAGCTGACTCGAGCAGTGGTTGCCGGAGACCTACGAACCCGCCGGGTACAAGGCCTGAGGGCTCCGCATCCGCGCACGACGCACGATGAATACGGTGACTTGTTGTACGAATCGATTTCGATACCCCTGCGACTCCGGGTCTTCATTACTTGACGTCTCGGAGTCTTGTGATGTCCTTTTTCTTGGGTTTGGGTTATGTATGATGCCTTCTGGGTGGTGAGGTATGGGCCTGGGGCCGGGTGCTCTGGGATTTATGGTAGTGTACTGGTATGGGATCATGTGGTAGAAAGGTAGAATGAACGACATAAGTTTGATTTTGCGTTCCGGTCCGGGGCCGCGACATGAGGGAGGTGTCGTCACAGAAAAAGGCAATGTAAGACAATCGAACCCGATTAGCGCCCGAAGATTAGCGCCCGGAGACACGGCTCCGGTCTGCTCGAGAGAAATTTTGGCTCCGTCTCTCTTTGGCCTTCTTCAGTGCTCATCCTCCCCTCCTCCTTCTCCTCCGTCCCTCTCACCCTCTATCCATGCCAATAGACAGCCACCACCATCTTCGCCGCCTAGGATGGCACGGACCAGGCACAGCACTTCAACCCGGCGGGCTCCAAAAACCGCTAACGACACTCCAAAAAAAGGGGATGAAAGGCGTCGGAGGGGACAGGGACGATGCCTTCCCTTTCTGGGATCAGTGAGTTCCTTACTCCGGGGATTTGGGGGGACTGCTGATTTGGGATGGGATGGGGACAGTGTATTTACGGTTGCGGCGAAGAGTATTGTGATCAAAGTCCCGAAGGGTGACTCCGATTCCGATTCCGACTCCGACTCTGGCTCGGACTCAGGTTCAGGCTCTGTAAGTCCCTCCCCAGCTCCTCCTGAGCACAACTCATCACCCTCCCCCCAGCCCCCCCAGGCAGAGAGCACAGACACCGACCCCCCCACGCCCGCAAACCTCATCATCCGGACGTCAACGGGTATCATCTCCCACCGACGGCCGCATCTCGGGACTCCGGCGAGCGGGAGCGGGGTTTCGGGGAGTTCGACGCCTACTGTTGTTATTGGGGGAGATTTGGAAACGGGGGTGGGGATTAGGGGCAAGGCGAGTTTGTTGGCGTTGGCTAAGCAGGAAGCGGCGAGGAAGATGTTGTATGCGCGGTTTTTTAGAGGTCCGGTCGTCTCTTTCGGCGATGAGCAGGATGAGACAGCGAAAGTGGGGAAGACGGTGCAGGCGGTGCAGCAAGTAGTGGTTGTAGCAGAGAGTGAGGTCGTCTTGCAAGAGAAGGTGGAGAAGGTAGAAGTGGGAGTCACCGTTGAGCGGAAGAAGAAACGCAAGCGGGAGCCGGAGGCTGGTGCCCCAGAACCGGAGAAGAAACGGAAAAAGGGCACCAAGAAGGATGAGAGCGCGCCGCTGTCTACGTCTGAGTCTGCTGCCTTCGTACCTGCGCCTGCTCGAGAGCACACGACGGGAGCCGCCTTGGACGAGCCGCCGACGCAGAAGAAGAAGAGTAAAACCTCTCGTGAGAAATCAGAGGAGAAAGATAGAGCGGAGCGAAAGCGAGAGAAGAAGCGCCGGAAGGTGGCAAAGGAGGCTCGGAGGGCTGCGAGGGCAGCAGCAGCAAACGTGACGACCTCAGCTGAGGTGGATGGGGTTACTGCAGCTGCTCAAGACGTCAGCCAACTATTGACGGATAAGAGTACGCAGAAGGAAGGCAAGAGGAGAGATAAAGCCGAGAAGAAGAAGAGGCGGAAGGAAGGAAAGACGGTCGTTTAGCACTTGGTCAGGTGGTTGTCGGATACCCCTCACATCGTCAATACCCGTCTTGTGCTATACTTTATAGAATGCAATCACTTCTACTGCAGGAGCAACCACTGTTTATGCCCTGATATGCTTCACCGAGTATGAAGTACGTCGAACAACATTGAGCAGCAATACTATGCACATTGGAATTCCCGACATTGTACTATAGTACTTGAACTTGACTATAGAAACGTTAACTAGAATGATATTAAGAAGCAAACACGTCGCTCTTCAATCATCAACCTTCTCTCCTCAAACCCATCTCTTTGTACTATTCATGGAGTGTACAACAACGTGCTCCCCTCAGAAGCGTATAGAATCCAATCCAGCCGCACGAACGGCACTGTCAGTAGTCATCATACAACTCAGGCGAGTAGGCCCTTCTTGATCCACGTCTCGCCGGCCCATTGTAGTCTATCCATCGGGGTCAGCATTCCGTACATGTCTCCCGGCACACACATTGCAAAGACGACTCACAGCTGCTCGTATCCCTCACAGGACTGATCCCCGCAGGACCGGCAATGTTAATGTAGCCTTCGTCGTTGATTCTCCTCCCGTCGTATAGCACATCAGCTCCAGGCACAGTATCCCGCTCTCCTCTCCACTCTGCCCGGCAAATAACACAGGTGCGCCCATTGGGCGTCTTCCCCCACTGCTCGAAGCACCCCCTATGCAGCCCATTCCCGCATGCTGGGCAGAAGACCAGTCCCTCCTCCTCGCCAGGGGGCATAGACTCGTAGCAAATTGGGCAGTCGTTCCCCTCCTGCGGAAGCCGTTTTGCCGCGGCGGCGGGAGCGGCGGACGTGCTGGGACAGGAAGCGTGTATGAACGCTTGCCGGATACGTTCTGCGGCTATGACGGTTGGAGCCGAGGGCGCGGCGTTGAATATCTCCGCGAGCTCGGTGGAGAGGAGCGCTCTGCAGCTTCCAGTTAGTAGCTGCTTGTCCGCGAAAGGGAGTTAGAGACGCACTTTTGGTAGTAGTACGACGACTCGGAAGAGACGTTCAGGACTTTGAGGAATACGAATAGCTGTCGTCTATTAGGCGGAATGTGAAACAGACTTGGGATCCACGTACGATATGCTTGCAGTGGTTGCCCTTGAGTGCATCTGGGCAGTTACAGGAGGGCATCTTGTCGATCATGACAGTATATATCTATTACGACGGTGAACTAGTGTACATGGGATGGAGATGAAGAACATACGTTGCCTGTCGAACCAAGCACCTTGAACGTCTCCTTGAGCTCGTCGCCCTCCCTGTCCCTATCAACAAGATAGAACCTATGACCCATCTCAATTAGCACAGGCCGAGCATCCACCTCCCAACACCAGATCAGGCGTACCTCTGGGTCATCACCCTCTCCACCCTCTCCTGGATCTTTAGAGGGCAACTGTTCTTCCACCTTGCCAGCCTCTTCTCCTGCAGCGGCGACTCCGGGTCCTTCTTCGCTCTCTTCCTTGGAGTGCTAGGACCTGCATCTCCCTCCATGGCCATGGCATGATAACCCAATGACCTCACAGCAGTGAAGGAGGTAGAGGGCCCGACCAGCGTGCTCGGTGGGGGAGGGAGGGGATACGCACGCTCTGCGGCGGCGACGCTGTCTGTTGGGTAGAGGAAACGGTCGTACACGCAGTCGTCCTCATCGGAGTTATCGCCACGTTTTCGTTTGCCGACGACACCCATTCTGAGCTGATAGGGGCTAGTATAGTGTCTTGCAGGGCGAGTCAAAGGCCGCACGAGTGATGAGTGTGTTCTGGTGATCGAGACACGACAAAACGACGACAAAATTGTTGAGACTTGAATGAGAGCCAACTTTGATGGCGGTTGCTATGACCGCTGCCTTCGTCTTTCAATCAAATCCCATCAAATTGATTGATGGAATTGATACTTCAGTGTATGATAAGAAAGAGCCTTTCGGTGACTGTTCCGGGAGACAGGGGGGCGGAGGCACGTGACCTCCCTCTAAGATTTGGATGAGTGGTCTGGGCTGGCCTTGTCTATATCACAGCTTGGGTGGGTTAGTGGTATACTGGGTCGTTGCCAAAGCGCATTGCATTGCAGTGTGCAGTTGCTTCGACCCGACCCGGGTTCGATTCCCGGTCCAAGCAAGTTTTTTATTTTTGATGTTTTATTATCCTCTACTCGAATGTTTTGCGTCTCCTGTTGATTTTCTCTCGAAGAGAAGTGCTCTGCACAATAAGAAACAGCAGAACGTTGTGGTACACGGGTACATGATCCATTTGATTCAATGTTAACTAACTCTCACAGGCTTGTCAATGATGGGCTCAGAACGTGTGACCGTTCAGATGCTTAATAATAGGCAGAACGATAGGTATCAGGTCATCCAACTCGCTGCAACCCGCATCATGGTCCGCAGTTCTCTCGTAAGTCACACTTGCAGGGTTTTCGGGTCCACCGAGAACGTTGATACTAGGGTGGAGGATATCGTTCACAACAAAACGTCTCCAGTTGTAGTTGTCCAGGGCCAAGGACGGGTTACGGGCGAAAGCGACCCAGCCGCCTTGTATGTACTTTGATAGAGAAATTTCCACACTGAGTGAGGCCCTCAGAATGCGAACGTGTGTGAATAAGGAGGAGACTCACGGGGTTGCTGGGAAGTGTGTGAAGGTGGAAAAGTTATACGTCTGGAAGACCATCGGAATTTCCGCAGTGTGAAAGGCTCGGAGAGTCTTATTTCCGTTATTGATATTATCAAATACCCCTACAATTTATGAGCTTTTCTCCTGGAAGAAGATATAAGATAGCTAACCTGAATAGATATAACGCCAGGTGGTGGCACCGGTCTCAACCCGGAGTTTGGCACTCTGGAAAGCCGGGCAGTGGAACAGCACCTGCTCTCTATTCAGCAGCAGCTCGAGCGGGTTTCGAAAAGAAACGAACATCAGTGCAAGCGGCGCTCGCTTCGTCGAACGTGATATGCTCAGGCAGAGTTCCCCCCGTAGCCTCGTACGCAGCAACGAACATGTCGCCCTCGTTCGCGTTGTTGCCCAAGAGCGTAGGCACCCTGAGGTACATCCCGTGGTCTACATAATACTTCCAGTCCGCGAACATCGTATAGTCTGGCAAACAATGAGTCTGGACGGAGCGGAGGTCATGTAGTGGACTGACTGTCAATACCCGCAGTGAAGGACAAGCTATTCTTGATGATTCCGCCTTCCAGCAGTGAGTACGGCACGGCCTGCATGCATTGCATGACATTGTTGCCTGTGATCATTATTCATGTCAGCATTTTCTATCGTTGGACTTGTCTTAGACGCCTACTGTTTCCACATCCGACAGCGGCAGCCAACAGTGGCCATTGGGTGCTGTTTGGAGCGATGAACTCGTCCAGCGCCATACTGCGAGGCAATGAATAAGATTGAGAATAGCATCGGGAAAGTGTTACTTACAGTCCAGATTCCAAAATCACGCCTGTCAACCCATGTCAGCGCTGTCTAGCATCAAGAGAACAAATCGTCACCTTTCACAATCGTATCCGTGGGGTTCCTGATGGTGTACGCGTCTATAGCCAACGAACCAAAGCTCTCCCCGAACAAGACAATCCGATTCGGATCACCACCAAAGTTCCCGATATTCTTGTACACCCATTGGATGGCGTATTCAATGTCGAGCAGGCCAACGTTCCATGTGCCGGGAGCGTTGGGGAAGCCGAGGACGTTGGTGCGGTAGTTGATGCTAACGATGGTGATGTCGTTCCAGTCACGGACGAAGAAGGAGCCGTTGTAGGGAAGGGTGTTGCTCTGCATGTCACAGCTAAGACTCTGGATTGATCGATAGATTCAATGCACATACCGTGCCGAACTTTCCACTTCCGCCATATATCCAGATCATCACAGCCGTATTTTGGGGGCGAGTCGTTGCTGGAGCCCATATATTGAGATTCAAACAGTTCTCGGATTTGGTAACATTCAGTTGCTGGTCCAAAAGTCCTGCGATCTTCAAGAATGCCTGGGCGCTAGGACCCAGGTCTGGCGGGCAAGAGTCTCCCCAACCCGAGGCATCGAGTATCTGGGAGTGCGTGGGTGGTGCCTGAGGAGCCCGGAAACGGTACTTGGATGTGTCCGCTGCGAAGGGGATACCGAGAAACTGTCTGTTTCCATTTTCGAGCAACGTGCCCTGTACCTGTCCCTGTGCAGTCTGGACGACCAGACCATTGTCGAGAGCAGCAGGTGCGAAGAACGAGAAGAGCCCGTAGGCAAGCTGGAGCGGCAGAGAATACATAACGAGGTCTTTGGAAACATTGGAGCAAGCCTGTACTCATTTATAGACAGACTTCAGCAGCTTCGAACTGGATTGGGCTGCAACGAGCAGATGAAGCCCTGAAGCGCCCAGGAGCGGCACGCAAAGCATTGTGGATCCAAGCGATCGCGGGTTCTGCCTAGAAGCACAAGGCACTAATAATGCAGGACAAGAGGGAAGAGTAGTGCTCTCAGGTCCCCTCATCGCCTTCACCGTCCAAGCCTGGTATGCGATCAAGCAGTTACAAGCCTTTGCGGGCGCAGGAGAAAAGATCCTATTCGAAATAGAAAGGCGGAGGCTGATGAAAGGAACAATCCGGCGGCCGCGGGTACCCAGCTAAACATAATAGCTCGGCAGTGACAGAATAAGTAGATGTCTATGGGTACACGCTTGCAAACCTCCGCCGCCTCCAATATTGAAGGTGAAGGATCTTGGAGTATGATGATGGCCGGGGAAGAAAGATGCGCATGACACGGCCCAAACAAGACTTGCCTCATCCAAAGGAACGGAAAATGCCCCGTGCGTAACGGCCAATCCTCCGCTTCTCAGAATGGAAACGTGCCATAGGGAACTTCATGAAGAATTCATCCAGGAACGAGGGGCTAGACATGACGATCAGTGTTTGAACCCAGTCTGTAGTGGATTGCCTTACTTGGCGTATAAATCGAACAGATAATGACCACCGCAGATCTCGGACGAATCCCCTGAACAGGGCGTATCGCACTCTCCAGCCGAATCGCCACCAGGCACCGGTGCGCCACCATAGTAAATTCCATCACTGCAGAAGCATAGGTTGCCATGCTCCACGGCAGCAAGGGGATAACCACTATCGTAGCAGAAGGCAACGCAACTTTCCACCGTTTGGTCTGGAAGTGCGCCAGTCGTTGCATTGGGAATGGCACGGCTTTCGTCAGGGGAGTAAGGAGTTGGCTCCGAGTAGCATCTTAGAGGAGTGTACGAGGGGACCGCGGCAGAAGAGGTCGAGGTCGAGGTCGCGGAAGAAGTGCTCGTCGGGGACGCACTGGTAGGAGGTGGGGTCCGAACTGTAGAAGTCGAACTACTGGTGTCGGTTGCGGAGAGTGTAGAAGAATCAACACTTGACAAAGTACTGGCGGATGCCGATTGTTCGGTGCTGCGGCTTGTTGCAGAGGTGGTGCCTTCTGTGTTTGAAGCAGTGACGGTTGGAGAGGACTGCGCGGAAGAACTCGAAATCACAGAAGAAGCGGAGGAACTAGAAGTGGTGGAGCTCGTGATGGATGCAGGGCTGTTGGTTGCTGTGTTTGAGGCGGATGCCCCTGCAGAAATAGAAGACGAAGTAGAAGCCGTCGAGCTGCTTTCGGTCGTGGCACTCGAGGCAGGCGTACGCACCGTACTACTGGGGGTGCTGGGTAGAGTGGTCGTCGCGGGGCTAGATGCGGACGCGGAAGACTCGGTGCTCGCCGCCGAGCTGCTTGTTGTTGAAACTGATGAAGAAGTTGCAGTCGAAGAGACAGGAGATGAGAACACCGAGGAAGAGGAGGACAATGAAACAGAATCAGACAGCGACGCAGGAGATGAAGAAGAGGCAGAAGTGGAGGTGTCGGTGAAGGGCGAAGAGGTTGAAAGTGACGAGGAGGCGGGGGATGAGGAAGTGGCGGAGGAAGTAGAGGAAGACACGGTTGAGAACCCTGTGGCGGAAGATGGTGTTGAGGCTGAGGCGGAGGTGACAGAGAGAGAGGCAGCAGACGACGAGGGAGAAGATGATGACGAGAATGTGAGGGATGCAGGAGATGACGAGGAAGGCAATGACGAAGAAGGGGAAGATGAGGTAGAGAGGGGTGCCGATGAAGATGGGGGGACAGATGAGGAGGATAGTGAAGAGGAAGAGGTGGGCGACGATTCGTTGGACGACGCGGAGACTGCGGAGGATGAAGAGGAGGGCAAGGATGATGAGGTCTCGACGGAGCCTGAGGCGGACGAGACAGAGGACGAGGCTGGTGGGGTGGAAGATGAGGTGAGGGGGGATGAAGATGTGGCGGAGGAAGACAAAGACGACGTGAGCGAAGAAGAGGTCGTGGCAGGAGACGATGCCGTCCCTGTGTTAGACACAGATACCGCAGAAGATGAGGATGAGGTAAAGGTGGAAGAAGATGCAGAGGCGGTGGAAGACTGTGGTGAAGTGGAGTCAGTTGACGGGGAGCCAGTTGACGAGGAGCCAGTTGACGAGGAGCCAGTTGATGAGGAGCCGGGTGCTGCAGACGATGAAGACATAGGGGAAGACGAGGTGAGCGCGGAGGAAGCTGAGAGAGATCCAGAGCTCTCTGACGATGAGCTCCCGGCGGATGAAGTCGGGCCGGACATGGAGGTGGGAGACGTGACAGTTGACGTTGTGCCAGACGCGGTGACGCTGGTTGCGGTCCCGGAGACTGTGGTCGTGGTCGACGAGGCAATGACGACAACGGAAGTCTGGCTACCAGCGGAGCCTGGGCTGCTCCGAACGTCAGTACCTGACAATTTCTAAGACCGTCATACGCACGTGTCCACAACATTCAGCAGTCCATCTGGACAGCTGCCGTCTGGGTCGGTAGGTGTCAATTGGCTCGCGTCCAATGAATTGCTGCAGATGCATTCTGCACCGCCATCGGCCTCTGCGGAGTACTCATATGCGCCGTTTGAGCAGGTCGTAGGGCAGTCTAGAAGAACCGCTCTGATCTTTTCCGTGAACCTAGATTGTGACGCAAAAGGGAACAATGCCGGGAGTGGAGCGCAGCCGAGCGAGGTACTTCCAGATGGAAGTGTGGTGGGCCCCGATCCCGAGGCAGAGGTAGTACTAGAAGGACCTGCGCTGCCCGAAGAGACAGAGCTGGAGGTTTCGGTAGCCGACATACCCGTGCTTGTGTCCATTGAGCTTCCGGAGCTGGTCAATGAAGCTGTCGCAGCAGAACCGGTGTCTGTCGAGCCACCAGAACCCCCGCCCGAACCGCCACCGAGAATGCCACACAGAATAGGATCAAGCCCGCCGAGAAGACCGCCCAAACAGTCAGCGGTCGAGCTGGCAGTAGCGCTTGCCGTGTCAGTCACGAGAGTGCCGGTAGCGGTGATGGACCCGGTTGCCATCGTTGGGAAAGCACCACTGTGCGGTACTGAGTCAACGAACACTGCTACTGAGGTAAACCCACTCACGTGCTCTCCAGTGTTAGATCACCGTCCGGGCAGCTGCCATCGGGATTAGTGGGAACAATTTGGGACGCATCCAGAGTGTTTGTGCAAATGCACTCCGTGCCTTCTAATGCTGTGGCTGCATATTGATAGTTACCATTGAAACAGGTGGTAGAGCAGGGTAATGAGTCTGCAGCTGCTCTCTCAACGTTATCACGCGAAGAGAGCTGAGAGAGAATCGCCGTAGGTGGGATACAGCCAATATTAGAAGTTGTTTGCCTAGATTACCATGTGACCAAAGTATCAATAGATGAGGCGTGGTGATACGGTTCAAAACTCACCTGGGAAACGATTGGGCGAGCGTACCGGACGAGATAGCGAGCGTGACAGAAATGAGCGCGGAGAAGTAAGCGAGCGGGGCCATCTTAGATTAGAAGACAGATAATAAGATCAGCAAAGTTGATTAGCTTTCCGATAATCAAGAGGGTCCTTGATCGAGACAGGGTCGATACACGCCTCTTGCGGGCCGGAGACAGGCGACGGATCGGTCGGGAATGAGTAAAAGGCGTTTGTTTTGAAAACAATCCAGATTTTATACTGTCTGTCACCCCTCCTACCGGTAGTGAGAGATACGCTCACAATCGTTTCGAGCCAGAAGACGCACCTGTGAACAGAGTAATCTCTACATAAAGCAAGTGCTGCATCATGCGCCACATGAATGCCTATGGGCGGGGAGGGTTCGCTCTCCTAGTCCCCCAAACCAGGCGTTTGGCCCACCAGTGCAATTCTATGACAGCATTTTCTGACCAGGAATTGAACAAACAGATGAGCTGCGTAGAAGGGTGGTAGGCAGAGAAATGTTGCCACGAAGGAGTGGGAAATATCAGGTAACGTAATTGCTGGAAGGTGGCTGGTTGAATGAGAGACGCGTCGTTCAGAGGAGCCGTGCTTTTCTGACCTGAGCACGTGTTCTCCCTTGGGCGCTTACCGGTTGTCCTCCTCCTCCTCGACTATCGCAACGATCCACACAACGTGTATGGACAGGTGGATAATTTTTTTTAGAGAAAACATTGATGTCTAACTAGGACTGCCCGCACCGTCACAATCCTATTGTCATGCATCCTGAGTCGTCTAGTTACCGTCTTTCGTGTCCAAATCAGTTGGCCCATATCAGCGGCGACATCCCCGCATGCCCGATACACCTCCTCATCTGTGCCTTACAGCGGTTTCAGAGAGTGCATTTTACTGGATGTTATATATCTCATGTCTCAGGAACACCGCGGTCACCGATCACATAGATGCTCAGAGGGTGAGATATGGGGTCTGCTCCCTGATTACTTTCCCAGGAGGGTCGAGGTTGAGGGTACTATACGATACTATCCCATCGCAGTAGAGGGGCTGAGCAGATGTCGCGATTTTGCCGGTCTAGTACGCAGATCGGAATGATACGAATGAATTGCCTATCGTTGTACAGCCGATTTCGGGCAGTCTTCATCACACCAATTATCGATTTCATTAAGTGAACAAGGCAAAGAATACAACGAGCGAGCAGTCATCCTGCATCATGTACATGGTATCATCTGCGGTTTTCTTCAATTGCCTCCTAGATGTTCCAGCGCAGGCCCTTCTTCCCCATACACGGGATCCTTGACCAACCCCTTAACAGCCCTAATCTTCTCCTCAAACCCTTTCTGCCCCTTTCTCTTCTCATCCCAATGATACCCCATCGGATAACTTCCCACCATCATGAATCCGTTCGGCATCTCTACACCCTTGTGCGCCATCCCAGGGGGAAGGATGACGACGTCCCCCTCCTGCACCTGCATGTGCACTTTGCCGGGGTTCGAGTCCCCTCCGAATTGGCAGATCGCGCTTCCGGAATAGACAGCAAGTACTTCGTATGTCGTCGTGTGGAAATGGGAGAAGGGATACATCCCATATCGCCATTGGGGTTCGTACCCGTTGGACCGCATGTGGGACTCGATCGTCCCTGGAGGTGTATCGGCAGGGAAGACGTTGTGGTAGATCAAGATGGGCAGCGTGGCGGGGGAGTCGGCATGTGAGGGCACACGTTGGACGGTGAGCTTGAGGGAAGTAAGAGGCGCCGGGGTCAAGCCCATTGTTGCGGATGTGCGCGTTTGTAAATGGGAGAGCGCAAGCTGGGTTATCGAGCTAGATGGTCGTCCAGCGAACATATGTACATTTGGAGAAAACGGATGTGGAGGAGCAGACGTCACTGCAACCCTGAACCACCCTGTTCTCCTGCATTTAGTAATATCTATGACGCGCACTTCATTCTAGCTCATTCATACACATTCAACTCTCATGCTACAGTTCTGATAGCGTATCTGTGAAATATGATCTAGATCTTCGTCTCCCAGGGATGGTATACGATCTTCTGTCCAGATACTTTGCCCTTCCTCATCAGGTCGAAGCCCTCCTCAATCGATCCAAGCCCATCAGGCATGAGCATAACCGGGTTCGGCTTGATCTTCCTTTGGCTCATGAGCACGTCCCACAAGGCGAGCAAAGCCGTCAGCTTTGTCTCATGGCCGGGGTAGTAGATACACCCGGCCATGACCTCGTGGGTTTTGGCACCTGAGGGGAGTTCGCCTTTGAAAGGCAGCACGGTGACGACTTCTGGAGCAGAGTAAGATAGCGTGGAGAGGACGGATTCTGTGGAACCGTTTTCGCTGATTGCATCATAAGCATAGCGGAGGTTCGGGGCGAGGACCTTGATTTGCTCGACAATCTAACCACACACATATCGGTTAACAGAGTGGGTCGAGGTGTATGGAAGATCGAACGCACGTCTGCATCATGATAATCCAACACGTGATCCGCACCCAAGCTTTTCACATACTCAAAGTTCCTCGGGCTCGCAGTCGCGATGACCTTAAACCCCGCGATCGCCGCCAGCTGGACGGCAAGAGCACCGACGCTGCTGCTACCGCCCCAGACAAGGAACGTCTGATCCGTCACTGTCGGACTGACGAGGCCAGATGTGGAAAGGGGGATCGGGACTTGGAGAGATGGAAAGATCCCTAGAGCGGCGGTCCAGTACGCCAGGGGAATAGTGACCGCTTCGTCGAAGGAGTAGCTCTCTGGGATCTGTGGGTCCTTAGCCTCTGTTCATACAAGACATGTTGTGCTTACACCGATCGTAGCGTCCACCTTGGCACAGGAGAACTTCTGGTAAGCACCAAACTTGTTTGCCTTGCCAAGCGGGGCCATCGACAAGACCTGTGCAAGCCCACGCATTCCACATCAGCCAGCGCCTACTTGCGATTAGTTAGATTGACACGAACCCGGTCGCCGATCTTGAACTTGGTCACTCCCGCACCAACTTTATCTATCACTCCTGCAACATCCACACCGAGAATAAAGGGGAAAGATGGAATGGCGAAGTTGAAGTCGGCCTGATATTTGCATCAGCACACTCATGGCTTCATTCATCAGAGACGGAGGCATACCTGCTTCCAATCCACCGGATTCTGAGCAGCAGCCTCAATACGAATCCTGACTTCTCCCTGCTCTGGTTCCCAGAGCTCTACAGGGACAGGAGGTGTAAGAGGTGTCTTCTGAGGCGACTCTCGGAGGAGGGCAGCAATATTCTGATTGTTGGCCATTGACGTCTTCTTTGTTCGAGGTACAGGAGGTTGTTATTGGGCTCAGGTGGTTATGAAGATAAAGGCGCATGCCAGCGAGAAGAGATATATATACCCTATATTCCCAGCGTTGTACCATACATGGGAAGATAGGACTGTGCAAGATGTTGGCGCAGCTGTCCATGGGAAGTCTGCCAGATCATGGTGTGGAGCAGGGTCTTGATTGGGCCGGATTATGTGATCATAGGAAGATCGGGCGATGATCGTGGAAAGAAGATGACGGATGACGCGCTGTCAGCAGCATCCAGCGGTTAACGTTCCACGTCGTGCCCTCAAAGTGTGGTTCAACATTAATATTAACGTGGGAAGTGTCGGAATAGAACTAAGTTCATATATCAGGTCAAACAACTGACAAAGCTCCCTACCTGCCCTATGCGGGGCTGTATTGCTCGCTAAACTTATTCTCTCAGGTCGCTCCAGATCTCGGACGATTCCAATCAGAACCTGCTACCGGATCTGTTTCGAAGGGACTATGGTATTACCAATCTGCTATAGCATTGTAAAGTTTGATCAGTGCATCAGCGCTCCGGACACCGGTACACTCCTGTGATTGCATTAAGGATAAACCTACTGATGAACGGGTTCGTAGGACAGAACATGACCAACACGACCAACCGTCCGAGCAAACTAACCGGGCAAGTGCGGTTGCCAATCCACTCCTTGATGCTTCCCCCCACAATTCCATGTTGTATCCAGGGATATTCCTCAGTTTGGTCACCTGACTGTCCCTCCCAATGTGCGTCGACTGCAGATTGACCACAGGTCGTCGTGTTCAGATTGAATGAAACTGAGGAATAATGATACATCGTACAAATCTTCCGCTTGCCATTTTGTTATTTCCACACTTACCATGCTCTTCCACGCCCTCCAGACACAGGTCTCCCTCTCCAGTTCATTCGCGTACTCATCTAGCGTTGTACCTCGCGCTCGTCTACCACTAGTTCCCATGTTGTATCGACTTGATTTCCCATTCGAATCAAAGTTCGGCCGAGGTGGGTAGCTGGACAATCTGCTCGCTGCCCGGATATTCGGGCAAGTTCAGCTCCCACTCCCGTTCCATCGCCCTGCCCCACACCATCAGCACATCCTCTTCTCGAGTATCATCAAACGCGCGACTCACGGGGGAACGAACCTCCCTCCCAACCAATGGCGCCCTCTATACCCCTTCACGCCCAACTTTGGCGCGGTAAGGCTTATAAGGACCTCCGGGTCTAATGGCGCTCCCAAGTCTTCCCCCTCCTCGGATTGGAGTGGTACAGGCCCGCGTTCCACCTCCCACCCGCTGGGTATATCCACGCTCAACATCGGCAATCCGCTGTCCCTAAGTAGGGGGAGGATCCGAGAGAAAGGCGCACGCAAGGGGCCTTGGAATGAGAATCCGAAGATGGCGTCTAGGATCAGGTCTTGAGACTTTAGGGAGGCAGGGAGGTCGGCGGACGCAGGAAGTGTAGGGATGGACATGTTCGTGCATTGTTTATGTAGTCTCTGTAACGGATTAGGCGGGAAGAGCGGGGAAGATGGTGACGCACCTGGTAGATGTCCTTATTACCCGTCTTGGGCATGTACAGTGTAGGCTTGTACCCGAAGTGACCTGTCTCACTCTTCCCTCAGCGTATCTTCTAACATTTCTGACCATTTCACGCACTCAGATGTCTCGCCGCAACCAGCCCGTCTCCTCCCTGATTCCCCGGTCCACAGCATACCAAGACTCTCGTATATTTCGGGATAGAAAAGGACGCCGCGAGCGCTTGGGCAACAGCGAGGCCCGCAAGCTCCATAAGCTGATCCAGGGAGAAAGCGCCCGCCTCACCCATGAGCTTAGCGTCAATCTCCTGTGCGAGATGTGCGGTGAGGTAGCGCATTGACATGGTCAAGCTCAAGATTATGCCAGCCTACTTGACTCTTCAAGAGACAGATATAGGAATGCACCCGATGATCACGTGGCCGGAATCGGCTTGTGGTCTGGAAGCGCTCAGGGCATGTGATTCCCTCCGTGAGTACAGAGATTGGATGAATGATTCTTACATCATCTGCAATGTTCTACCCTTGTCACGCCCCCTTCTTCATATTATCATCCCGCTCCAGTGAACCCGGACATCTCCTCGAGGGGGGCGTGACCATGTTGCTACTGGATCCGCTGCTTACAAGGATTTATAACCCAGCCTAGCTCACCTCCGGACCTGCCCCTGCCAATCTAACTTCAACTCTCTTACAGCAATCATCTAGCATCTAGCATTTTGGCCATTACCAATGTCAAAGAATCTTGCAATCGTCGTCCCATCGGCAGCGAGCGGTAAACTAGCTCCGGCTAAACCGGTCGATATTCCCACGCCTGGACATGGCGAACTTCTCATTCGTGTCGAGGCCTGTGCGCAGAATCCGGTGGATCCTGTCCAGGTGCGTCTTCTTCCTATAGTCGATGTCGAGTATGTGCTCATACCCACCAGGCAGCAACAGGATACGCCGTCGCTAGCTTCCCTATCATCTTAGGGTGTGACGCCGCTGGCGTAGTACTCGAATCAACCGGTCAGGACGTAGGATCCTTCAAAGCCGGGGATCACGTCGCAACCCTGACCCCTCTGGGTCGTGAGTCAAAATACGGCACCTATCAGCGGTACTGCGTCACCAAAGCGGCGTCTTCAATCAAGATCCCCGAGAGCATGCCATTCGACCAGGCGGCCACCCTTCCGCTGGGATTCTACACCGCCGCCATCGGGGTGCATACCATGCTGGGCGTGCCTATCCCCCTTGAGAAGGGCAAGGTCTCCCGTGACGTAGGAATAGGCGAGTGGATGCTCGTCTGGGGTGCTAGTTCGAGCGTCGGCGCTGCTGCTGTACAGCTCGCGAAGGCCGCTGGGTTCCATGTTGTCGCCACGGCTAGCAAGCACAACTTCGAGTATGTGAAGAGCCTTGGAACGGACGTAGTGCTCGATTATCATGATCGCAATGTGCGCTTCTTCACCTCCCTCTTATCTGTAGTTCAGGCAGCTCATAGATAGACAACACAGGTGATCGAGAAGATTCACGCTGCAGCCTCTCTCTCCCTGGCATTCAACGCCATCTCCACACTGCAGACGACGGAAGCATGCATGGCTGCTCTCACCGATGGCGGGAAAGTCGCAAACGTCCTCCCGTTCGACGGCGTAAAACCTGACGGCGTCGAAGTCCTCGTGGTTCAGAGCACGGTCCTCAACCAGCCGGAGCACTTAGAGGAGCTCAAAGCGTTCACAGCGCTCTGGCAGGCTCTGGTCGATGCGGGCAAGCTGAAGCCCAGCCCTGTCCAGGTATGCTCTACCATGCAACTCGTTCTGCATGTACTGATATGAAGTAGTTGATGCCCGACGGGCTGAACTCGATCGACCATGGGTTCGAACTGCAACACGACCACAAGATCTCGGGCCACAAGCTCGTCTACCTCCCGCAGGAGACGCCCGAGGCTTAATCCCGAGCTCCGGCAAGGAGCGGCGAGGGTGAGAGGGGAGGTCGGTGGGCGAGAGGGGCGTGTATGCGTTTATGACCGAGGAAACGTAGGTATGTAAGTGTGTATAAGTCTAAGTTTGGAAGCGGACGGTGTCCTACCCAACTTTGTTCAAGCAAATAAAGCATGTTTCTAACAGTATCACGGCCGGTCCATGGGACCAGCGGACCAATAATTTCTACTCCGACACCCATCATCTGAACAGTTTAGTAATGACGCGTTCCAGACAAAAGGTTGCACGAACTAAGATTACTAAGGACGATCATCTTCGTCCGATCGGAATCGAATTGTCCGATCTTCTCGACCATGTACTCCCATCACCAGCTTTGTAATAGGGATCCTGTCTCTTCTCACAGGAGGACGTAACACGAGGAGGCTTTACGTGAAATAGGTTGATGACATGAATGGCTGCTTTCTGTTCGCTATGGTCACAAGCAGCATCGGGGCTTCTATCGTCACGTCATGGATATCCACGGATTAGTCAGGTCCCTTGTTGAGAGTTCTGTTGGGATGTTCGGGATGCTTGGAAAGTCCGAGTAGTAGAGCGGACACGGTGCTATGGCGCGGATTGCTTATTAACTGCTGGGTGGGACGAGTACAGGAAAGAAGTCAAAGCTAGAACGCCCATATGTTCCGGGTATACGGGAATCACAGACTGGGGAGGATAAATAACCTCCCCCTGGTGGCTAGTCGCCATCCAGTTCAGTCCTCGACCAATATTCTACCCGACAGAAGAGCCCTCACACTTTATCCCTTCCAAACGCGAAATACAATGTCCAAAGCGAACGTCGGTCTCCTCGTGCGCGAGCCGAAGCAGAAGAAACTCGCCCCTGCGGCGCCTGTGGAGCTGTGGGAGCCTGAACGGGGAGAGGTTCGTATTCGTGTTGAAGCGGCAGGGCAGAACCCAGCAGATTGGAAGCAAGTAAGTCGCTGAACCGTGCTGTCGTCGGCTTGTCCCTCCTTGGCCGGGTGGTGAAAAGCTTTGGAGGGAGTGGCCGACGAAGTGGATAAATAGGTTGCTGATCAACACAGCTGGATTGGAACTTCGCCGTGCCTTCCTTCCCCTTCATACTTGGTGTCGACGTTGCCGGCGTGGTAGACAAGCTAGGTGACGGAGTAACCAAATTCAAAGTTGGTGATCGAGTGAGTTTTCCGTCCTCGTCTCTTCACTTTTGAAGCCATTCCCGCTGACACGCGAGCTGCGTGAGTAGGTCATGACAATGACCCATTTCGGTGCAGCAAGCAAGCACGGGGTATACCAGAAGTACAGCGTCGTTACGGCCGATGCTACGATTTCCGTGAGAGGTGTCCCTGATTGAAATAGTTTCAACGCTGACCACCCAGCGCAGATTCCTGACAGTTTCACCTTCGACCAAGCAGCTACGATACCCGCAGGTTTCTGGACGGCAGCATTGGGGATATTCACCCTCATCCAGATCCCACTCCCGCTCTCCCAGGCTAAGAGGGTGTACCCCAAGGTGGAGGGAGAGCCGTTCCTCGTCTGGGGCGGGAGCGGGACTGTCGGAGCGCTCACTGTCCAGCTCGCGGCAATTTCGGGGTTTAATGTGGTTGCTACTGCCAGTCCGAGGAACTTCGAGTATGTCAAGAGCTTGGGGGCGGCCAAAGTCCTGGATTATCATGATGCAGATGTGAGTGCGCTCACCAAAGACGATGACCTAAGCATGCTGATGTCGGACAGATTGTCGACCAGATCAGAGCTGTTACTCCCAACCTTCGGTATGCATTTGATGCTATCTGTGATAACGGATCGACTGCAGCAATGCTTCCGTCTCTCTCCCACAGTAATCCAGAGGCCGCCATCATCAACGATATCAAGGATCCCGTCCCTTCCAACGTAAAGATTCACAGAGTTGGAGTGGGAGCCGTATACAGAGAGGAAAAAGCAGAGGAGCGCGCCAGATTGCTCGAGTTGTGGGATGTACTGATGAAAGAGAGCAAGATCAAGCCTCTCCCGGTGAAGATCATGCCTGATGGTTTGAATTCCATTGACGCCGGGTTTGACTTGATGAGGCAGGGCAAAGTCTCAGGGCAGAAGATAGTTTACCATCCTTGGCAGACGAAGATTTAAGCCATAGTTCGTTGGTCAGCCAACAACAGTTTTAGTCCTCGAATAGTAGTCAACCAAATAGAGATCAAGAAATGTTCCGGGTAAAGGCCACGCATGCTCTACCCACCGGAGGCGGTGTCGTCCCGCCCCTCGAGCGTTACAGGCATATACATACGGAGTCGGGCGTCACAGGAGTACTGCGCCGCATTCCTTTCTCAGTTACCGCGAAGCTCAAAGGCTGTCATAAATCAACGTTAAGTCGAAGAGATTCTCTTGACTTTGTATTGCTATTCTACTCGTCGAACGATTTCTCTCGTATCCTATCAGCAACCGTTCCGCTCCCTCAAACGAACCCTTGCCTCCTGCGGAGCACAGTAATCACCATCCATCCATCCACCATGTCATTCCTGGACAAGTTCAAGGCCGCAGCGACCAAAGCCGGTACACAGGCGAGCACATTCATTTCCGAGGCTACCGCCAAAGGGCTGCAAGAGGGGCAGGGGTTCGCACAGGGCTTCTCCCTGCCCGGAGAGGCGCAGAAAGCTGCCGGTATCTTGGCTAGTTTCCTTGGTACGTCTGCCTAATCCACTCAGGAGAGATTATAGCTAACAAGTAATGCTATGGATGCATTGGGATTCCAGCCAGCCCCGACCACCCCGATTCCGCACTGAACATCATTCCCCACCCCGTCCTCGCCCGTGCCCGCGGTCTCGCCATCTTCCAAGTGCTGAAAGCCGGATTCGTCTTCTCCGGCAAGGCAGGCTCCGGTATCGTCATCGCACGCCTTCCCGATGGCTCCTGGTCCGCCCCATCTACTATCATGACAGCCGGTGTTGGCTGGGGAGCGCAGATCGGTGCCGACCTTACGGATTTCGTCATCGTCCTCAACAGCGATGATGCCGTGCGCGCATTCTCCATGGGCGGGAACGTCACCATCGGGGGGAACATCAGTGCCACCGCAGGCCCGATCGGTACGGGCGGCGCGGTACAAACTGCGCTCGCTCACCCGGCACCCATGTTCAGCTACTCGAAGAGCCGGGGCTTGTTCGCGGGCATCTCGCTCGAAGGTGTCGTCTTGATCGAGAGGAAGGAGGCGAATAAGGCGTTCTATGGCTCAGCCATACCAGCTAAGGATATCCTCAGCGGCAAGGTCCCGCCTCCGGAAGTCGCGAGCAGGCTGTACGAGATCATCGAGGCTGCTGAGGGGCTGGGTGAGGAGGCGCTTGCTGGAGAGCAACAGTCTGAGGCCGTGTTCGACGCTTCTGAGAACTAGAGAGGAGCAGTATTCGAGCTGCGAGACAACCTCGGAGTGTATTTGTTCTATGATTCATTGTTCTGCTTTGATTGCTTATGATGCTACCTTTTACGAAAGAACGACCGGTTTGGTTCCTCCCCACTTCCAACTTTCTTCTGACTAGTATCTACCCAGCTGGAGCTGGGATAAACATTGTTCCACGTTCTCGTACCGCAAATCAAATGACGATGTCTTTTCTCGGGACTTGGGTTGTTGTCGTGCACATTCCCTTCTTCTGTTGGTGCCAGACATCTACGTCGATCTCCGACAGAATACCTCCAAGCAAAGCGGTTCAATGATACCCCAGCCATATCTATCTCGCCTGATATTCATTGCGGTCGCTCATGAAGTATGCACTTGTCGTGGGGTGGCCGCACCTTGGCCATGCTGTGAGCTCGTGAAGGAAATGTTCTTCCCAGGCCAAGGTGGGATGCTATGACGCATCGTTTAGGGAAGACAGCGCGAGGGGAAGAATCCCGGAGATATTCGGGACCGCGTGCATCTTCATTATCAAGACACTTTCGAGGGGCGGGCAGGGTTGAGATGCATGTATGCCGCACAATATTTTACATTATATTTACCACTAAGAGTCGTAGCTAATTTATGCGTACTTGGCGCAGTTGGGAGCGCGGTAGACTGAAGCGTATGTGGACCCCCAATGGTCACCTGTTCAATCCAGGTAGTTGGCATCACTCACCTTCTTTTTCTCGGAATTGGCCATGTTTTATCCTCTGCTTTGGTTCAGGCTTTCCTCAACTCTTTGACTGAACTTAATGGGAAGTACGCTGACGCCAGCCTCTGCTCATATTATGGGTCGAACATTCTACACAGCGGAATTGCGAGCGCTTGCCAACCTGGGGTGGCCCTCGAATCCCCCGCGTGCGGCCCATTCTGGGAAACGGGTGGAGGCCTCGCGCTTCAGCCGTGCGGCGGGCGCTCACCTTCCCCCTCCAGCGAGAAGGTCGATGTGTAGGATTGACCCACCAGAATCCGACGCGACCGGTGATTGCCTGTCCTGCTCGGAGCGCACGGTGACGCGATCCCCCTGCGGGGAGCCCCTCCTCTGGCTGAGGGGACGAGACGATGGGAGCGGGGCGGATCTTGGAGATGCTGAGGTGTGAGGGGGGGAGAACGTCTGCGTCGCCACACCTGCTGGGGCGTGGTGGGGGCGCCTTGGGCGGCCGGATGGCCAAGATCTAAGTGCGATCGTGCCTTGTTGAGATGACAGTGGGGCGTCTTGAGGTACATACAGACCTTTTCTGGCATGAGCTGACCTTTGACGGGTTCCACGCACCGCTGGACATAGCCGGCGGAGAAAGGTCGTCCCTTTTCGGGAGGTGTTCTCGGCATCTCGCGGTTCGCACAAGGATGGGGGCGCACTGCGCAGCGTTGTGAGGTGAGAAATTGCACGATCTGCGGTTAGCTCGTAATGGTGCGGAACCCCACCTTGGCGTCAAGAGCCTACGTAAACAGAACTGCAATACACCGAAATCAGCATTCGTCGCGCAAGCACACGACACCTGTGGCCAGTTCGGGCAACGTCATGTCGGCTGATCCAGGACTGCGGGGACCCGCTGCTCAGGCTCATTTCTCCACGCTCTTGGGCAGGAATGCCCGGGGTGGTGAAGCGGAAATTGAATCCCTGCAAGCCGCGGAGAGAGCCCAAGTAGCAGAAACGCCAGAATCAGACCACGCCAGGGTTGTTGGTATCCCAAACTTCGGAATGGACCTTGCAGAATCAGACCATTTGGACCTGGGCTGCGGCAACCGAGGCGGAAAGCGGGAGGAAACGTGATGTGGGCGTGGTGTGTGGGGCAGGAGCACATGACGGACTCTTGCGAAGAACGATACTCTGGGAGGTTGCACGGCCAAGGCGAACACGAGTGCGAGCACACGACCGGGTGTGACAGCGGAGAGTACAGTACCCTGTGCACATTAGCGACCCGCGAGAATTTGGCCATGGTGCGCCGATCTGGCTAGAGAACGTAGATCCGACGCGTGGCTCGGGTCGTCAAGTGACTTACAATGCGTGCCTGGTTGTTGGCTGAGCGTATAGAGAAATGAACGGGTCACGAGCGCCCGAGGACGGATCATGCGGTGATATTGGGCGTATGTGGGCGTGTGCACGGGGAGGGGGTCGCATGTCTCTGTGTGTTGGGTGGGGCAGGATGGGTGCGGAGAGTGTATTGAATCGGTATGATGGGAGCACGGGCCATAGAGGAGGGAAGAAGTGCGAAGAGAGGGAACGAAGAAGGCTGAAGAATATTGCATTTGGTATTGTGCGGAAGGAAGGAAGTTAGGCCAGACCCTGCGGAGATGTGGGGATGCCGGCGGACTCTTGGCGGGCAGAAGACGGCGGCTCATATTGGTATAATGAGCATAATACATGAAAAGAGAAGGTTAAAATAGAATTATTATTATTATTATTTCTGGCACACGACAAGACAGTACCATGTGCAGACAAATCAAAATAATCCACCGGCTTACTGGGCCGGACGGTGAACGTTTTGCCGCAATCTCGCCGAAGAAGCGTGATGCCCGGCAAAGCGGGGCGGGGGCTCCGACACATTCTCCAACGTCGAGCTTGTTCTCGTCTCGTGCCATCCTGTGATCATTTTCCATGGTGGTCTTAAGCTGATATGATACGCCCGCGGGTATGAATCGAGGGTCTAGAAGCGAACAAGCTCAAAAAGGAAATTCGGAGCGACCGGGTACTGGACCGGTGTTGAAGCACCGGAGGGGGTGCCGAAGCGGGGATGGGAGCGGGGCCTGAAAGGGCTTGGCTTTGCCTTGTAGGTTTTGCGGGTCTGCCAGGGCCCCGGTTTTCGGTATTCGGTACGATTCTCGGGCGGTGCTGAGAGCTGAAACACCTGACATCTCAGGAGGTGGTGCTAGGCGGGGATTTTGGCTGCTTGGCTAGCCCGAGTCTTCCGGTTTATTCTTGGGAAGCGATGCGGACTAGAATCGTCGAGGTCTGGACAGTCAGCGTGAGAAGCAGGATGAGTAAAAAGGGTCGATCTGCGGGAGCAAACCGACGTCATGGGGTCCAGTTAGCCCTTTTGCCTTGCACTCCCGGGGGCTACGAGTAAATGCCCTTTAGGGGATGGGAAGAGCGAATGAATACACTCCACGTGAACGGCTGTTCGCGGACGCAAATAAGGACGGGGAGATGGACGCGGAGCTGTCGAGGGCGTGGGGGGAGGTGTCCTGGCAAGCCAAATTACGTTCAGGCTGTACGTGGAGAGAAGACGGGCGCGGGAAGAAGACGGAAGAAAGGGAAGTGGGGGATTGTATGCGTGCACGAGGACAGAGGGACGCGATCAAGGCACGCTATGTAGGACGCGATGTCCGACAGGCAAGGGTGTTTCGCCTGAACGCGCATAGACCACCCGGAGAGCGTCATCCATGCAAGATGATGATGACACTCTGAGCGCATCGCCCCGGGCTCGCTGTTGCACGCCCCGCGCCCGGCTGGTCTACCGAATCCGGCGCGTCGGGTCATTGCGCCCGCTCTGGCCGATGGGGCTCACGCGCCCAGATTGCCGAATAAGGGAATGGGCGAATACTGATGGGTGGGGTGGGGAGGAGGGCGAGGGGTGTGATTGTGCAGGGTTAGAAGGGGGAGAAAAAGGGAAAGGAAAGGAAGGAGGGATGTCAAACGGGGCTGATTGTGATGCGGGGTGTGTATACAAATTAGATTTAGAAGGTCAAAATGGACCTGTCGAAGCTTCGTGTACTGTCGTGCAGCCTTATTCTGAGACGTTCACCTCGGCGAATAAGTGAGACCTTACGCCTCACGCTCATTCCGCACCAACACAACACACAAGTATGTATCCCTCCCCTTCTGTAGCCCAAACCCACGCGGCTTACACACCAGACAAAACCACATCCCAGCCTATAAGAACACCGATATTCACCCAATTCCAATCACGCAATCCCTGCTCATACTACCATACCCACACCCCAGCACCCACCGGCAACAATGTCTGCCGATACCGCCGACTCCGCCGACTCCGCCGACATGAACTCCGGCTCCGAATACGCCCCCACGATCACCGACGTCCGTGCACTCTCCCCGCTCGCCGGACTCGCCCTCTCCTCCCAGATACGCGCCGGCCTCACCCAGCCAAAGGGCAAACGCACCCTCCCCACCGTCCTCCTCTACTCCGGCTCCGGACTGCGGATATACGACTCGCTCACGGCGGAGAGTAAGGTGTATTACCCCTTTAGCGAGGAGGAGGCGCTCCTCACGCACAGGGCGGACGAGATCGTCAGCCGCATGGGCTTGCACGCACAAGAGGGCGTCATGGTCGAGCTTGGCGCTGGGTGAGTTTCCCATCCCTCCCGATCTCAGATAGACTTCTTCCCGCCTTCTCCCCCGCCATTTTGCGCACATGACCCGCGCCACGGCGCGTCGTTAGCCTCTCAGTCGCGCGGAAGAACGCGCCCTATGTGTACGCCCTTTGTCAGCCATTGGCTGTAAGCAGAGAAACTACACCGTGCGCATGGACGGCCGGAGCATGACGGCCACGCGCGCGGGAGAGCGGTGCACTGTGCGGATCACTGAGTTGGTGATGCGCTGAGTATGGGGGTGGCCAGGGCGTGCGGGGTGTGCACGTGGCGCGTCGCGGGGTGTACGCGAGGCTAATCTCGATTGACCTTTTTGAGCGCCGCCTTCGAACCCCGCGGCTTCTTCGCTTCTCTGTGCATGAATCCGCTTGCTTCTCGCTTCCTTTGTTCCATCTGCTTCTTGGCCATGTTCTGGCCCCTCCTTTCTTCATCCACAACCCGGCTGTCTCGGGTCTCAACATTCTCCTTTTGTGGTAATCTTCGGTCGGCCGGCGTATTGATGATATTCACAATGCGCTCTTTCAATCACTCCGGCACGGTACACCGGAGTGTCATTGATCATCTTCTTGACCCTTTTCTCCAAACTCTATATCAACCCAGTCTCGTGCTCACTTACTTACCCGTATCCTCCCCAGCGCATTGCGCAAGACCTCCCTCCTCCTACGAGCAATGGCAAAGCTTGCTTCTACTCAATCGGAAGACACTGTGCCATTCACCTACTACGCCCTCGACCTGGAGCAGGAGGAACTCGAACGCTGTCTTCGTCTGCTTATGTCCACCTACGGCCCCGAGCTGAGGGGAAAAGTCGCTGCACACGGCCTTTGGGGAACGTACGAAGGCGGGATCGAGTTCATCCGCACGGGGGGCATCGACGTCCCTTCAGAGGAACACGAGACGCCAGTGCTAGACAAGACCGGGCTGGAAAAGTTCGGTGAAGTCGTCGAACGTGGGCGGAAACCTCAGCGCTGCCTTGATGTCCCTAACCATTGTGGCAATGATTCGTCGACTGTGAGAAGCAGCACTCCTCCGCTGTCGACGGCTGGAAGCTCACTGAACGACTCATCACGACCCTCCACTCCCCCGCTGGCGACTCCTTCCCCCTGCCCTCGTGCTCTGTCTAGCGAGGGCGAGCACCCGCCCCTGCACCTTCTCTTCCTCGGTTCCTCCCTCGGCAACCTCACCCGTCAAGCGGCAGCGCCCTTCCTCGCCAGCCTCCCGCTTCGCCCAGGGAGTAGGGACACCCTTCTCCTCGGGCTGGATGGGAGAAACGAGCAGTGGCGCGTCGAGTCCGCGTACAGCGCCAAAGACTACTGGACGAACGAGTTCCTCATGAATGGATTGACTAACACTGCGCGCGAGCTGGGCGGACCGGAATTCGAAAGAGAACGCTGGCAATATGTTGGGAGGTACAATGTGGAGGAAGGTGAGGATTTGCCACCTTCGTTGCCTGATGTGGAGCTGATGAATATGGCAGGTCGGCACGAGGCGTTCTATAGAGCGAAGAAGGATATGCAGGTCGTGCTTCCTGGAACGCCTGAAGAGGGTGAACTCAGCGTGGATATCGCGCGTGATGAGGAGATCAACATAGAATATTCTTACAAGGTGTGATTAACCCAATTGACGCCTTTGTCTTCAATGCCTGCTCACATCATGAACAGTACTCGAGTGCGGACGTGGCCACCCTCTTTAGCGCAGCCAACCTGCGCATCATCGAATCGTACCATTCGCCGAACCTCAACACAGAGACAGGCCAGCCGCTATACACGCTCTATCTCCTCGAGCGACCGGCATTCCATTTCCCCCTCCTTCCGACCCTCCACCCTGTAATCAACGGCCATGTCTTCCATCCCGATCTCATTTCGACAAGCACGCACTCAACCTCTTCCCCTAACGCGCTCGAGTCAGCTGACAGCCAGGCCCTGTTCAAGCGTGTCCCTACCGGCGGCGTACCCACCCTTGACGAGTGGAACGAGCTCTGGAAAGCGTGGGACATCGCGACGGTAGGCATGATTCCCGAGCCGATGATGCACCGGAAGCCTATCGACCTGCGGCACAAGTGTCTCTTCTACCTCGGACATATCCCTGCGTGAGCCTAGACAGTTTCCTGTCGCTTCGGGAATGCTCTGACCGGCTTGACGACCCGTAGATTCCTTGATATTCATCTCTCCAGACTCTTCCAGGAACCGCATACCCAGCCAGAATATTTCAAGGTGCGCGTGTTTCTTTCTTACGTTGATCTTGGCTGATCAGCCACATGTAGCACATCTTTGAGGTGGGCACATCGGCGAACGATCCACGCGGGATACAGCTAACATTCTTCATAGCGTGGAATTGACCCGAACGTAGATGACCCGAGCGTATGTCATGTGAGCCCATTTCGTTACTCGGCCCATACGTGCTCACAGAATGGAAAGGATCATTCCATAGTGCCTGAGAAGGACGAGGACTGGCCCACGCTCGACCAGATCCTTGCGTTCCGCGATGCGGTCCGGATGCGCGTGGCGCAGCTGTATGAGCATATGGAGACTGGGGAAAAGGCGTGCTTGCGTCGAGTGGGGCGCATCCTCGCCATCGTCTTCGAGCATGAGATCATGCACCTCGAGGTAGGTCGATATTCCCTCGTTCGGATCCGCTGCTGACACGCTAGGAAAGACGTTGCTGTACATGCTTATCCAGGCCTCAGGAGAGCCGAATGGTTCTCTGCCCCCGCCAGGATTCGCAACCCCTCCCTTCGCCTCCCTCGCCAAGGAGTGGGACGCCTTCCCCCCGCCGTCAAACCCCGTCCCCACCTTCCTTCTCGAAGAGGGCAGTATCAGCATAGGCCATGACGACTTCGAGGCGGAAGATTATGCAACAGCCGACGAGAGCTGGAAGGAGACCCACGAGTTTGGCTGGGATAACGAGACTCCCCGGCGGCTGGTCCGGCATGGGAGCGTCAGGATCGAGGTTGCGCCTATTACGAATGCGCAGTACCGCGAGTGGTGGGAAGGTTCAGGGCGGACTATGCCGGCGAGCTGGGTGCTCGTCGACGGGGAGATACATGTACGCAGTTCACCCACTCCAATAGTGCGTGTGTTTGATGAATATTGACTCATCCAGGCTCGAACGTTGCACGGCCCTGTCGCTTTCTCCGTCGCGCAACACTGGCCCCTGCAGGCATCGTACGATGACATCGCGGCTTTCGCCGCTTCGAAGGGAGGCCGTATCCCGAACGAGCTTGAGCTACGGGCTTTCCTTGATCGTACCGATGCGGGTGAAGCGGCCAACATTGGCTTCAAGAACTGGCATCCGATCCCGTAAGTCGCTCTGTCTTCAGTTCTCTGGAGATGCAGATCTGAGTAATGAAAAGGCCGCAATGGGACTCCATCGCTCAGAGAGGGCACAATGGTGGCGTGTGGGAGTGGACCAGCACGGTGATGGACCGATACGAGGAGTTCCTCCCCTCTGGCGTCTACCCGGGATACTCGAACGACTTCAATGACGGAACGCACCAAGTTGTTGTACGTGGCTCCCATTCTTCTTTCTGCATTTATTGACAGGTGTTTGTAGCTCGGAGGCTCATTCGCTACCCATCCCAGGATCGCGCAGAGACGCACGTTCAGGAACTTCTGGCAGCATAATTATCCGTATGCTTGGGTAGGTGCTAGGATAGCGTATGATATGCCGCAAGATATCGACGCTAAACCTGTCGCCTTTGCGGTCGGCACCGACATCCACGTGGACGGAGCGGTCTTAGGCCAGGATGAGAGCGAGGGCAAGGCGAATATTACTGTTGTGGTTGATGGGAATGCAGACGAGAAACTTGAAAGTACACCGAACGTTGCTCCTGTCGTCGGAGTTGGGATCGGGGATGTTCTCCGTGCGACCCTCGATTTCGTATGGTGGGTGAGCTGCCGGCTGGTACCGGACGCGTTTCGCAAGTTGACTACCAGGGGTTGAAGGAATGATGTACAAGTAGAAAGCAACAAAACACCTTCGAGAGGTTGTACAGTAGACTGTATCCAGTTGCCAGTCACAGCCTGCTCAGGCAGACATAGTCCCAGATAATTGGGCACCGTACATCAATGTTGTCCGAGACAGTGGGAGTTGAGGGGATATTGCGCAGATAGATAACAGATAAGCGTAGGGGCGGTGCCGACGGTTTTGTTATTCACCACGTGACTCCCGTATTTTTTTTGTTTGATCCCTTGCTCCTCGCTCCCATCTCATCGGTTGAATGTGCTGAGCTAGGAATGGATCTGATAAACTTGTTAATACGCTTGATAGAAGTCCCAACAACGCTAGTACTGTCAGATGAGCAAATCGGACAAATGGTTACGAAGTCATACCGAAATGCACCGTGTGGCGAGTCTGTTTAGGGTAATACCCATACTGAAAAAGGGAACTGGGCACCCATGGTGCATACTCCTCCCCTAGTACGCGCGCAGCACACGTGGTATTCTTACCATAACTGCAACAACAGACAATGTCGAACATAAAATGCTTGACTCCTCGTCCAGGTCGAGGCAACACTCCCGTCCAGCATGCTCTTCCTCCTCCCTCTCCTCTTCAGCGCTGTCCTCTCGCTCAACCTTCGGCGGCAAGACACCGCCGCGTGCATGGCAACCTGTACAGCGGACGGTGATCTGCCCACGATCGCGGTACTCCAAACTTGCGCGCTGTCCGACTACACCTGCCTGTGTTCGAATGCGGCCCTCTTAGCGGCAGACTGCTTGGCATGCGTACTGGAACTCAAGGGGTTCACTGAAGCTCAGTATACCCAGATATGCGGTGGCTTGGGAGGGACTACCGATGGTGGTACTTCGAGCTCAACGACTTCTGAGATTGCGTCTACTCCCTCGACCCCGACATCATCCCCAATCAGCCCGAGAAGTAACTTGTGCGCTTCTTCCTGCTCTTCAGCGCAGGACCAAGCCGCCTACACTCAGTTCACGGTATGTTCCACCGTATCATCCTCCAACGCAGCTAACACCACCCAGTCTTGCCCTGTGTCAGACGACACCTGTATGTGCACCGCGGCCGGCCAATTTTCGACAGGCTGCAACACGTGCGTCCTTGCTGAGCTCGGACTTTCCGAGAGCCAGATCGAGGCAACATGTGGCGCTTCCAGCGGGGGATCCACGTCTGCGGAAGATACAGGAACGGTGACGAGCATGAGCACGAGTACGGCGAGCAGTGGGGGACAGACTGGTCTGCCGAATGGAGGCCGTCCACCAATTAGTGGGGGTATGAGCGGGAGGATAGTTGGGCACGGTGGAGTGGTGGGTGTGGCCGTGTTGGGTATTGGCATCGTCTTGCTGATGTGAGACCGCAAAGAAAACCGGAGAGTCATGTCAGGAACGCGGTGCACAGACTTCTTCGAGTCGATTCGCATTTCCGTCCAAGTATACAGTTCTCCAAATTCTTGATTTCTCCAGAAGTCTTTTGTCACAAGCGCATTCCCGAACACAGTGCATAAAACTCACAAGTCACATGAATAATGTTGTCTGATTCAGCGTGATGTATTCACGAGGATAGTCTGTGGCCAGGAGATTCCTCGGCCGGCCGCCGTCCAAAGAACACCATTATTCCGATCTCCCAGGCGCAGGAAGGGCAGGAAGAGCATTTCCCGAGACGCCTTCCTCTCGATGGTCCAACATTCTCCCGCCCAATGTAAGTGTCCGACTCCTTCCGGCTGTTGCGCCTCCCATATACAACCCAGGGTTGTAGGCGCCCAAGGGTTCGGTCAGGACATTGCCGAACAGGAACGTGCCATTCGAACATATACCGTACAAAGCGCCAAGCCCGAGAATACGGACGCCAGTACTGTAAGGAGTTTGGTTTTGAAGGGGTCCTGTGAGGTGCAAGATGGCGGAGCGGGCGGAGTGCCGGATAGAGCGGGTTAGACTCCACCTGCCGGGCTGGTCGGGAATCAGACTGCTCCAGGGTTAGTACAAAAGCTGGTGTTGTATGATGAGAATTGTAAATCTTACAATTGAGATCTTCAAAGCGAAAGATTGCGTAGAAATCAAGGTGCGCAAGACACGACATGCAGATCAATCTACTCTGCTCGCTGCTGCTCCTCCCCGCGCTCGTAAGCGCCAGCTCTCACCTGCTCGTACGCTCCTCATCCTCCTCCCTCATCGGGCGTCAAGCCGGTGCAGCAGCATGCGCCGCCTCCTGCACCTCCGCATCAGACCTTTCAGCCCTGACGGCAATCACCAACTGCGCATCAACGGACGCGACCTGTATCTGTGACAACTCGAACGACCTGAGCACGGCCTGTTTGGACTGTATCCTCACTGCCGAGAACTTGACACCGGCGCAGTGGACGGCAGATTGTGGTTCTGGAGGGGGGGTTATCACGGGAGCGGGGTCAGCATCGGGTAGTGCCCCTTCTGCTAGTCCGAGCGCAACATCGTATTGCACGACGACGTGTGTGTCAATGGCCGACCAGGCGAGCGTGATGCGGATGATGGCATGTTCCTGCCTCTTTCTTCTTGCCGAGTATCGACTGACATCACCCAGGGATGCGCTAACTCGGACCTCACTTGCCTATGCACAAATGCGAGGATGCTCAGCTCGACCTGCCTCTCCTGCTGGCTCCAGCTCGCCGATCTCACGCAAGCGCAGTACCAGGCCGAATGCGCCAGTGGGACCGGGTCGAACAGTGCAGGAGGCAGTGGGGGAAATGGGAATAGTTTGGGTGCAGCACCAACGACGTCTAGCTCTGGAAGCGGCAGTGCACCTACTACTGGGACGAGCGGGGGTGAGACGAGCGGTGCGGAGACGGTCGTCGTTGGAGGTGCGTTGGGAGTCGTACTGGCGGCGATGGCGTTACTTGTTTGATTCACAAATATCGTATGAATATTTGTTGGTAGTACATATCAGGACTCGGCACTTGACATGGCTGTTATGATTTGCAAATATATCAATGGCACTTTATACCTTTCCAGGTCTGCTCGGCGTGAAGGCAAAGAGGGAGGTAAATAATTGCAGTTGGGGTGTCTCCTTCATATTTGTCGATATTCTTCACACATACTAGTTGGTCACGCATGAGTTGTTCTAGTCATAGTGACAATCAATGTAATCACAAGAAGATAACCGTTCAAATCGATAGTAACAAAACAGAGACACCGAAGTATCCCTGTTCCTCCCATCTGGATACGGTTAACACAGTTAAGTTGTGAACGCCGCTCGCACAAGGAGTAGATCTCTGACACGTTGGTTCGCGAAGTGGACAGCCCAGTCGAGAAGCGGACACTCTCCTAGTACACTAGCGCGAAGTTCGGGTGTGAGACACATCTGTTTTATGAGTATATCCTCATGGAAATTTCATCAGAGCTGCTGCATCGCTGCACTATTCCCGTACAAACTGGCTTTCCACATTTATACAGGCTTGCTTCACCTCAGCAGTGTGGTCATGATTAACTAAGAAGTAGTGATAATATTGTGACTTGAGAAGTTGTTTCACGATGGTGTGAAGTGCTGAAGTGCATATAATTGCCGCACAACCTCGGTCCGATTTTCGTCCTCAGCTATATTCACTCAATACCCCCTTTCAACCAAGCTTGCGGTCCTTATAAGGGAGATGCTAGCATTTCTCTCGTTGCCAGATTATTGATATCATTAACCCTGATCGTACCGACCGGGCCGAGCAAGACCCTACTTCTAACAAATGACGACCATGTCGAACGACACTGAGTTCCGGCTGGCAAGCCTCCGTCAACTGTGTGCCCAATACACAGTCGACGTATACAATGCCAAGCTAGGATAAGGGTATATATTACCTCTGCTGCAGGGCCTCCACACACCTGCGTTCTATCCAGCACCGGCACCCCACTAGACTCGAACATCAGTACCCCAATGGTCGAGAGTCAGAACGTCGCCGCCCTCCTCCGGGAGTCACCTCAAAAGACACCTCTCGCTCCTGCAGTGCCTGTCGATCTCTGGGAACCAGAAGCAGGTGAGGTGAGGATCCACGTCGAAGCTGCTGCACAGAATCCCGTCGATTGGAAACAGGCACGTCCCGCTCTGAACCAAGGGAAGGGGTACTGAACATATGGTAGGCGGACTTCAACTTTGCTTTGCCGTCGTTTCCCTTCATCGTTGGGGTGGATGTTGCTGGCGTAGTGGTTAAGGTTGGCGAAGGAGTGACCAAGTTCAAAGTTGGCGATCGGGTATGTGGTGTCTTATTTTCTCCTGTGATGAACCGCTGGCTCTGTGGAATGTGTTTGTGATGTGTATTCGGACAGGTCGTGACGATGACGCCTCTAGGAAAGGGGATAAGGTTTGGGGTCTACCAGAAGTACTGTTGTGCCCGAGTAGACGCTACGATACCTGTGCGCCTGACTTCACTTCATTCCTCACCAGAGCTGACACACGACTCACAGATCCCGGACAGTTACACATTCGACGAAGCGTCCACAACACCGTTAGCATACTGGACTGCTGCCCTTGGCTTGTTCATCTCCCTCCAAATCCCTCTCCCTCTCTCCCCGTCTGGGAAGGTCAGCCCAACAGTAAAGGACGAGACGCTGCTTGTCTGGGGCGGCAGCAGCAGTGTCGGTGCACTCGCTATCCAGCTGGGGGTGATCGCGGGGTTTAGAGTGATCACTACTGCGAGTCCGAGGAATTTCGAGTATGTGAAGAGCCTGGGTGCGAAGGCGGTGCTGGATTATCATAATACGGATGTGAGTTTCCCCTCGACCGAAATGGAGTGCCGAGGTCTGATTCGTGGACAGATCATCTCGCAGATCAAGGGCCTCGCCCCGAACTTGCGCTACGCCTTCGACGCGATCACTGAGCACGGTTCTATCGAAGCGGTCCTCTCCTCCCTATCCCACCCAGCAGCAGAAGTCGTCATCGTTCTGGACTTTGACGGGACCCTTCCTCCCGGAGTCAAGACGCACAAAGTTTTCGCAGGGGGTATCTACTATCCCGGGAACGAATCGCAAATCACCGCTCTGATACCGCTGTGGGACGCTGTCATGAGCCAGGGGAAGATTAAGCCCAACCCGATTAAGCTCATGCCTGATGGACTCAATTCGATTGAAGAAGGCTTCGATCTGATGAGGCAACGGAAGGTGTCGGGACAGAAGCTTGTATACCACCCCTGGGAGACGAAGATCTGAATGATATTATAGACGTATACTCAAGGAAGGAACACAGGAATTGACTGATGTATGAATGATCAATGATAACGGATACCATGGTATGTTTGAATGTGCTTCGATAGCCACCCAGTCTGGAAGAGAACGACTTGAGGAAGACCTCGCATATTTGCCTCCCAGGGATATTCTTCCAACCCTTCAACAGAATAATAACCTAATTCTACACAACACCCTCCGTATAATCCTCATCCACTATTCCTGAGATTCTCGAAATCCAGGGCTTGCGACCCTCTCGAGTCCACCTCGCACACGCCCAAGTAGCCCTCTTACACCCTCGCCAATCCTTCCCGCTCCTTCTCGCAGACCCTCCGAGTCGAGCTGTATACCCACACCGCTCTGGTTCGACGGGCCGCGGTAAAGTCCTGTCCCAGCTGGTCCGCCCACGCTGAGGTTCAGAGTGCCCAGTTGCAGGTTCAGAGCAGGCGCATTGGATGCTGGTGGGGATTTGAGCGCTGGAGAACCAGTTTGCGCTGGGGTTGAATTCGAGGAATTTGCGGGGAATGATGTTGGATTCGGAAGTGAGGCAGCTTCAGGGGCGGACATCCGAAGAAGATCAAGGAAGCTGTCATGAGACATTACGCGCTGGATACGAGAATAACATAGTTGAAACGCACCTTTTCGAATTGTGGATCGTACTCCCGCCTAATAATATCCGTGTGCCAGCACCAGTGCCAGGCTGTGATGCCGCCTGCTGCTGCAGTTCCACGTTCATGTGCGCCACAACCTTGCTCTCTTCATATGTCGTCCCACCCACAAAGAAGACGATGACGTCCTGCGGTCTCTGTAAGCTCGCGTTCGGACCACCCCCCTCGATGAACGGGTATTGCTGTTCCCTCAAACGCCCTTTGACGATAGCCTCGAGCGTCTGGGCGAGGAATGGCGTATGCTGGGTATAGACGTTTTCGGCTCCCTTGAGCGCTTTGAGCGCTGATTTGCCCCGGGCGAGAATGGAGGAAGTGTTGAATAAGTCGGATTGACGGCGTTGGGAACCAGACAGGGTGAGCAATGTAGATATAAGCTGTCGAGGAGTAATTAGATAAGAAAGATGACGAAGCAGAATTAAACGTACTGTGGCATCAGAAGCAGGAACTCCTGCTTGTGACAAGAGGGCGGGGAGTGAAGAGATAGATGATTGAGGGTTCGTCTGATGCCGGAGTGCATATAGCATTGATAAGCGCAACTTCTCTGCCGAAGGGATATTAGGGTTTTGTATTATTCGCTGAACATTCTGCACAAAAGTTTAGCACACCGAAACTCGGGTCAAGGAATATCACGCACTCTCCAATCCTCCGCATGGCTTCCACCCGCAACGATCTCCTGCTCGACCTCCGAGCTCTCCAAGCAGTTGTCCTTCCCCACCAGCCTGCTCATCTCCCCCACCAGCTCCACATGCTTACTCACATTCCCTCCCATCCTCCTAAACTCAGGGTATTCCTCGACGAACCTCTTCATATCCTCTACAGAGTCCAGCTTATGCGCGCTCGCATGTTTTTGGCTGTATTGCGTTACGTGCGCTTGGAGGCTGACGCTTAGGTCGCCGAAGGGGGTGTGGAGGTGCTGAGCGAGGAACGGGTCCATCTGCGGGGTCAGCATCACCTCCCGCATCTGGGGATTGACACTTGGAGAAGCGCTCATGTCCACACGGCCATTATGTATCCCGAGGAGTTCGTGGACCATCGCTTGATATGTCCACTGCATGAGCAGAGGCGTGACCGGATCTTCCAGTCGGTCGAGGATGAGCAGGACGCAGGTGCCTGCAGAGGCTCGGAAGTCGAACAGCTGTTGTTCAGCGGCCAGGTGACTGCGCATCGCTACCGCCAAGGCGCGAGATACGGTCGACGAACGCTCGTGTCGGATCATCGTCGGTTTCTTTTTCAGGCTAAGGAGAAGAGCGGAGAGAGTGGAAAGATGGTGTTGCAGTGCTTGGGAAGTGAGGGTGAGGTGACCGGGGGTCGTTGATGACGGGAGGGAGGAGGAGGAGAGGGTGTACAGCGGGAAGTTGGATGGTGGGGATGGGGTATAGTTGAGTGAAAACAGATAGGGTAGTACGGGTAAGTAATCTGCGAAGTGTTCTTGAACTTCATGTACGAGCTCGTAGGTATCCTGAGAAGCTAGGCGCTCAATGGCAGTCTTGGTGAGGGTATTGCTGAAATCTGCGTTAATTCAGTGGATTGTACATAAATGCTAGTGATATTGCGAGGTGCATACACAGGTAGTAACCACCATATCTTGGCTCCTCGAGCTCCTTCCCTACCCATTCCAAACTCTCTTCTGTCGGCCTAACAAATACGACACACTGCAGATGTGGCATCCTCTCTCTCCTCGTATTATCCACCCTGTCCGTAAGATAAACATGATTCGCAAGGAGGCTCGACTGTGTCGCAGCAAGGGAGATGATCGGAGTTGTGTGCTGGTCCAACAGCAACGCCTTCATAGATGTCGGGGATGATACGATCTTGTCAACGTAGAAGTTCACCGCATAGACGACGTCCATATCGTGCTCGTATCAGATGCGTGATGACCAGCCAATAATGTAGAGAGATCAATAGTTTAGGAGACCAGGTACGGACGACCCTTGACACCAGCGACGCGTGATTCCCACCAGGAGCCACACGTCGCCCTTGCTTCGCGTCTCTCTCACCGGTTGTCGACTCAAATCACCTGCATGGTTAATATTGCGCTTTACCGGTCATATGGAAGAATGAACAAACCGTCATCAATGACGTCTATTCAACCCAGCGCATTTAAAGTAGGTCATTCGGACAATAACATTCAATATATGGAGGCTTAACGAACCTGTCACAGCGCCGGTCTCATTATCGCACCACCACGGAAGCTCAATATTTGTTCAACCACCAAAACCGCCATCCAATTCACGCAACGTACACTCTCGTTATGAGCGTCCATATGGCACCTGGTCAACAATGACTGATGTTGCTGGGAGAGATGACCATATAGCGTTAGCGGCTTGGCGACTGTCGCAGTCGGAATCTCACAACCACAATCATTCACCGCGTTCCGGGTGCATCTTTCCTAGCGTAGAGCAGGTAGGTTTAACGAACTATCCTCGTCTGGACACGTCTGGACTGGATTTTTCACCCACACGGAGGCATTAACTGAATAGGCTGACGCATTCCAGGAGGCCTGAGCAGACCTGGACTGGCGCAATAAATACCCACCCGGTGATATTATATCATCACAAATTTGTGACATGGGCAAGCATCGCCTCGGTTCTTACATGCATCTGGGTCTCCCACAAGTTTGTGGTTGAAGGTTTGGATATGTCCACCACAATCGAGTGGTCGGCCCGCGACATTGTTACACTCCGTGGACAGAACTATGTTGCGATTGCTGCCTTTGTACGCACCGTTCATGCCCTTGCTGATGCGTCCTGTTGACTTGCAAGCTCAGTGCTTGATGTTGTATGATCACCTATTGACACTCGATGTCGAAGTAAACCTGTTCTTCGACCGACCGGGACGCTCCTGACACTCCGTAGGTCAACCTCGTTTGGCCAGCGCCATTATCGCTCGTCAAAGTCCTCTTTCTATGGAATCGATACATAACGCCATGCACGTATATTTTTACTGTTTACAGTAAGTGTGTTTCCTTCCTGACTCCTCTGTGGCCATGCTGACCGGGAACAGTGATGTCTGGACTCATGACCCCTCCGACGGATCCTAACGTGAGTAAATTTGACCAGATAAGATCAACGACAGCCTCTGATCCGTGACGGAGTTGTGGTATCAATTGTACACCATCGCATTAGAGCATTGATTCACCGGATGTGCAGCTCCTACGAATTCTTTCTCCCATCCCTAACCCTTGAGGGCATATCCGTCAACGGGATCGGAGCCGGTGAGGTTATCCTCGCTCCTACAAAACCAGCGTACTGACCCTTCATAGCCCTGATGCTGCTGAGCGTCTACGCTCTATACAATCGACATAAGGGAATGTTGATCATGCTGTCGTTCTTACTAGCCCTAGAATTATTGGGCTCTGTGATCGCCGGGGCCTTTGGAGTCATCGGGGTTAGCAGTGCGCAACTCCCTCCCCATCAGCTGATTCATACTCATCCCTTTGCCAGACGACATGTTCTACATCGACGAGATCCACGGCTGTGTCTTCACTCAACACAAGAGCTGGCCCTTCATCGTCTTCCTGTTCATGATGCTCTTTGACATCGTCATCTTCTATCTCGTAGCGCGCAAGACGTGGCACTATGCCAAGACGATCAACGCGCATAGAGCGCTTATCGGGGTATTGTTGTTTGATGCTGTGGGATATTTTGTGGTATGTACAATATGAAGTGCTGGGAAACGGATGCTGAGTCGCGCCAGGTTATGATTGCTGCCGAGTTCCTGAACATTATCGCATACACGCGGTTCCCAGCGAGTGAACAACCACACCGATCCTAATCCAGTCTCACCAAAGGCAGTTGAACCTATTCCTAATCGGGATAAAGTAAGCTCTCCCTCAACCCAACTATCCCGAACTAATATCTTCCAGTATCATGTGGACTCTGAACCCTGATCTCACGGTGCGCTCCACCCTAGCACCGGTCGCGAACATCCCTGACACCGCATTACAGGATGTATCTGAATGTACGGAACGCCACCCGGCCTGAGGACTGGAGCTCCCTCTCAGCATGGAAGACGAGCGCCCCGCCGGACTCGTACGCGACTGACGACTCAGGATGGACGATTTACGGGACCGAATGAGGGCAGAGAGTCGCCAAATATGCTGGTGCGATCATAACACACCAGCAACGACGCCGGATATCGACCACGCGACCATACATTTTGCGCCGAATGCAGACGCCAGCCCAGGGCCGTCGTCTCCCAAGGTTGCTCCTGCCAAGCGATCGACGAAAGAAGTCGGGGACGGGGACACACACGTTCTCCGTCACACTTCTTCAAACCCCCTCGCGGAACGTTTGTTCGCCTTAGTCGGGCGCATAAACACCCCTAACTTATAACACTCTAATACTTATCAACATCGACGTGTATAGGTAGTACTAGGGAATTCTGATACGTGTATAGTACGACCACAAGGCTGTAGCACACTGCTCCCGAGGTCGTGCGATTGTGCGTTGACTGCGCACTCCGGCAAGAGAGGAGCACTTCGGCATCGTGCCTCATACATTCTTTTCCCGCGCATCGCCCGCTGGCAACGAGGACAAATAAACCTATGCAGTCTGGCCTATTCGGGAAAGAGCCGCTGTAAATGCTTCTGGGGGATGAATGTGGACGGGCTTCGAATTAGCCTGATAGGGATATCAGGGAAAGGGACAAACGGTCGAAGAGAAGAGGATAAAGACCTTCGACTGTTTGGCAGGTATATTCCCCGCACTACTGCCTCGACACCAGCCCGGTAAAGATGCATTTCTTACCTTTCCTACCCGTCGTCCTCCTCCTCCCTTTGACATGCTCCGCTCCCTCCTGTCAGCCCCTCCCCTGCTGCGCATGCTGCGGCCCCTCCGAACCGTGTATCGACGAGCTGTGTTTTCCCGAAACGCTGGAGTGCTGCCCTCAGGTTTTGAGCAGGTGCGAGTATGCTGTTGGGCCGTTGAAGCTGAGCGAGCGGGAGGTGAGGAAGAGATTGAGAGAGGAGGAGGAGAGAAGAGAGATGGAGCTGGAGCTGGAGAGGCTGAGAGAGGAGGAAGAGGGAAGATCGGGAGAGGACCAAGTTGAGGGGTTTGTTGAGGCTGTTGCTGGTCGGCGATGAGCATGCTCCCGGAATGAGAGGGCAGCAAGTCTAATGTTCGCTGGTGGGTTGTCCGATGACCCGCGTCTTCATTACGTTGACATCACACATGTAGACCCGGGCTCAATGGCATTTCCAGCGTTCTCGACGGTGATCGATGCATGTAACACGAAAATGCGACGTGATTATTTCCCACCGTAAGTCGATGTACATGTACAAGGTTGAAAGCTGACATGTTTTCAAATAACTCGCTTCATATCAAGTTGGCCACAACAACGCAGGCAAATGCACCAACCACACCGCCCAACATGGTTCCCATCCTTGTGCCACTCGCTTGACTTGTCGAACCACCCGAGTTAGTGGAAGCGTTTCCCGGAGTTCCTCCAGTGCCAGTTCCACCACCCGCTCCGTTGCTATTGTTCCCACTCGATCCTCCTCCAGTCCCACCATCTGGTGCACTGCTATTGTTCCCGGTCGACCCTCCTCCTCCTCCAGTCCCGCCGCTCGATGCAGTGCTATTGTTCCCTGCCGAACCGCCTCCTCCAGGCCCACCACTCGATGCAGTGTTATTGTTCCCTGCCGACGAACCACACAAAGTTCCAAATTGTGGCTGGGTTATCCCTAGCGAGGATAGCAGGCACGTCATACAGGTCGTGGTCGATTCCGAGAGAGCGGCACATTGGCACCTTGTATCACCTTGGGAGCATTCCTGTTACGGCCGTTAACAGGAATCGCGCGAATACGAGGCACGGACATACGGAGAGGGCGGTATATGCCAATAAATCCTGCTCAGAACCGCAGCTTACGACACATGCCCCGCCGAGCTTGGCGGCAGTCGATGCTGTTGGCAGCGCCGCAGGTGCAGTGGGGCTTGTGAAGCTAGACGGGCAGAGTAAGAGGTAGTCGGTCTGGCTGATTCCGTTCGCGGAGAATAGACATGTCACACAGGCAGAGGAAAGGAGGTCAGTGCTTTCGCAGATGCAGTTCACGTTCGTGATGGGACATTCTTGCAGTTCGGAAAGGGCAGAGATATCGTTCACGGATGAGCAGGAGGAGACACAGGAGGAGGTGGCTTGGCGTTGTATGAGGGAAGCACGCTGGAGGTTGACGCTGTAAGCCGCACGCACAAGCACAGCGAAAGATAGGATCGAAAGACGCGCATCTTCGGTTTCTGGCCGTGGGGTTGGAGAACATAATACCAAGGAGCGCCTTTTTTGTCAATTATATGGACGAACGGCTTGACGGCTTCCCAATCACTCAAGCAGGTTCTCCTCCTGTTAATCAGACTGCCATCTCACGGATAGACGCCCACCGTCGGCACCCGAGATGCCGCTTCCGGTTCTCACAGGGCGGAAATCCGACTTCTAACATGAACCCGACCTCTTCTAATTTCTCCGACACCTCCGCTCCTTTCGGCTGGTTTTATCGGAACACCGCCATAGCAAGGCGGAGCATCCCCAACCACTTTAAGCAAGGAACCCAACCTCGGGTTTGCAAGGGTCGTCTTCGTAATCACCAGCGTCTACTCCTTGACGCTCTGTTTCAGTCTGACGTAACTTCTACGCTCTCCGGCAGTGAATGGAAGCTGGAACACTCTCTTGGAAATACACTTCCACTCGAGACCCTTACGGGTTGGTCTTATCTCTATTGGCGTCTGGACTGGGGTGCTATTCTGGTCAGGCTGGATTGGTCATAGTGAGCTATGCCTTTTGGGGAGGATCCTAGCGCCTCGTTTCTAACCGCTTTACAGGAACATCCAGAATGTGACCCGTCATTGTTGCTGATGGGGAGAGGAATCACGATGGTTTCAAGCATGCTGTGTCCATATCTTTGACTCATTCCAAGACTTGAAAAGATTTCGATCAACAGACACAGCCCGGATACAGTCTTCTTCGTAGCTACCTAGCTGCCTCAGAAGAAAAAAGAGAAAGAGGAAGGCCATATCACAATTCCAGAGTCAAATTTCATTGTGCAGAGATACCCTCCAAGCTTTGGGAATTACACCAATAGTGCGATCATTCCGAGAAGCATCATCCCCACCACTTCTACGAGACCAACTGGCATGGCGTTCGTTCCGTCGCTTGTCGTTTGACCCCTTGCTGGTGTCATCGTCGCCCCGCTGCCGCTCGTCGTGGTCGTACTGGTGCTCTGACCTGCACCCGAGGCGGTGGAAGACGACGAGTTGCACATGCTGTTGAGTTGTGCCAGGTGCATTCCCAGCTGTGTCAGAACGCAGAGTTGGCAGCCGCTTGTCAGCTGAGTAGCGGCACAGATGCATGAGTTTTCAAACCCGCAAGCCTGTGTACCGGGATGCGTCAGGTCTCTCAGTTCGCTGGAGAGTGCTGAGGGGGGCTTACGGTCAACACGCCATATGCGGGCATATTTTGGTCCTCGATACATCCTGTGTGACACAGACAGACGTTGCATTTGTGGATGCCGGTAGGAACGCCGAAATCGTGGGAGCTGCGGCATTACACGTCTGACTCCACTGGGATTCCGAAACTCCGGCATCCTGCAAGATACACTGGAAACAGCTCGGGGAGAGGTTGGCTGCTGTGGAGCAGAGGCAAGTGGCGTCGTTCGGCAAGCAAGAGTCGAATTGGATAAGGTCACCAGCGCTGGTGATTGAGCATACGTCGGAACAAAGCGCGGAACTCTGGCGCTTGACATGCACAGAGATGATGCTGGGTGCGAGGCTAGTGCCTGACAGAAGGGGGAGAGTGAGGAAGATACGCATACCGTCGTGGGGGAAGAAGTGCAGTGAGTGAACTTTGGGGAGGGTCTGCTTGCGCCCGTCTGTTGCCCTCAATATCTTGACTCTTATGGGAATCTAGTTCGTCGGAACCTTCTGGTTTTCTTTTCTTTTCCGGTCCATTGTATTCTTCTAAAGACAGTCCCGTGCCTTTACTAGATCTGGCCGGTAACTCGACTCCCGGCCTCCGGCCGAATCCATGCCATCCCGGGTAGAAACCCTATCTCCGCACACCGTGTGCATGGACTGCCTCTGCGCCCTTTCAATTCATACCCGGCCACTTGGTCTACTTTTGCAGAGATGCCCATGCATTTCCTGCAGAAATATCAAGCATCCGATTCCCAGTTAGTATCATCTTCCCCCTTTTCCGTCTGGGGAAGGTGAGCCGAAGCGCCGCAGGTGTCACGAACGAAGAAGTCGGAACTACAAGGGTTCACCGCATAAACTGTGTGCAACACCAATAGCATGTCAGCCCATTCTGTTTCAACCTGACAGGCGCTGAACCCCAACTAATCAGTTGTTTTCTTTCTTTCTCCTCGAAAATTCTTTCAGTGAAGGTTTCCAGCGGTCTTGGTACTCGTGAGGCGATACTTACCCTGAGAGAGGCGCACAGGGTGTCTATCAAGATCCTCGATAAGACTCTTTCAGGCAACGATGTACTGACGGCGTGTTCCACAGCTGGAGAATGGGTCGAAACAAGAGAACTTGGGGGCAAATTTCGTAAGGCACCTTGTGCCAGAAAACTAGCTCCCCCCTACCACGTAAATCAAACCCATGGCATCGAATTCGACCCACTGCTTGACATTCGGCGCCTAAGAATATACCAGTATGTGGTATTTCCTATTATCACTTCGAACATCCTCTCCAAAATCCTTAAATTATGCCCTGGCCCATGACCCGAGAACAACTCCGGCCAAACTTCACATGAGCGTCACATACCGGGGGTGGGCCGTCTGGTTCATTCTGGATTCAAACTAAAGCTAGCCTCATATCAAGCGTATCTTTGCTTGCAAGTGACGGAGAGAGATTCATTAACATTGGTAGGATGATCCAATAACAAAATGAGCATATAGCTCTCATACCCAGGTGAGCCTTTCCTTGCTTTCACCGAGAAATAGAGTCAAAACCTGATTTCTTGCTTAAAACCCCAGCCTTCTGTGTTCACTCGGAACCCCTTAATAACATCCACATTCGCTCAGTAAACAATACCCATGCAGTGGCACTACAATGATACACTACGGTGGAGCAGAAAGCTGTCCTTTGGTAGAAGCTGGGCAATCTTTTACCGTGAGCTATCTTGGATGACGCAAGTTGCGTTTTCTACCTAGGGGAAAGATCTCGTGTTTCAAGGCAGTTTCGATAGATTTCATAACAAGTTACGTCAACATGTTCGAGGTACCTTCGAGAAATCGTCATAGAAAATTTGACCTATAGACGGAGTCCGGATGCATGGTTCCTGTTACGGGTACAACCATAGAAAGAAAGGAGAAACTCCAGCAAATGAAGACTCCAAGATCGCAATTGGAGATCCGGATTCTGCTGGACGGATCCGCGATCACAACAACAGAACCCCAACGCTGAACAACATCATCCCCACGAACCCTGCATGACCAATTGGCAAGGCCTTTGCTCCGCCGCTGGTCGTTGAGCCTCCTGATGGTGAAGTCGTCGGCGCGCTGCTGGCTGCAGTGCCTGCTCCGCTGCTCTGTCCGGCTCCTCCAGCGGGGGCTGCGGAACCTGAGCTGCACATGCTGCTGAGCGCCGACACATCGCCAATACCCATATGGGTCAGCACACAAGTTTGGCAGTCGCTGTTCAACTGGGCGGCAGCACAGATGCAGGAGTTCTGAAACCCGCAACTCTGGATAACCGAATATGTTAGGACTTTCGATGATCGTGGAGTCTCTGAAAGGTGCTTACATTTAACTCGGCATATACGATGAGGTTTGTATTCTCGAGGCAGCTTGTGACGCAGGCGGAACTTGTGTTGGTGGCCAATGGTGCAACAGACGGCACTGTGGGATTGGACAAGCTGCACATCTGACTCCATTGTGTGGCCGAGACGCCGGATGCCTGCAATATGCACCCCCAGCAACTGGAGGAGAGGGAGGTGGAGGCAAAGCACAGGCAAGAGGCTTCGTTCGGTGGGCAAGAATCGAATTCGTTGAGGAAACCGAGGTCGAAAGCCCCGCACATGTTGGGGCAAACTGTGCCACTTTGTCGTTCGACAAGGATCGGAGAGATGCTGAGCGCGAAGACGCTGCTAAGCAGAATGGGGAGGGTAAGGATCATTAGCGTATCGTTACAAAGGTCTTGGTGATGTTCGTAACGGGCGAGGGTTTGCCTGAGCTTGTTCCTCCCCCGCTCTTGGCTCTTATGGCCACTTGCTCTATCTGCATTTTCTCATGTTCATTTACATCCTCGTCCTTGGCATCAGCGTAAGGTGGAGTGGATTGGCAGGACGTCAACATCCTGCTGTCTTGGGAAATCATGCCACCTCGGATAGGAATCCTACCCTCGTCAACATGTCCTCAAACAGACTTCCCAGCTATACCACACTATTGCCCAATTTATATTTCCCATTCAAAGGAAGACCGCTGATACGCCCCTGCATATTCATGTGAGGACATCGTAATTTATTTCGCTCCTGTCCACCGTCGAGGTCAAGTGAAACGTGCTCAACTCCACGCGCAGACATATTCTCCGCGTTCACATGAAACCCCCCAATCTGCATCAAGGCATTGGTCCGAAGCCCCCGCAGCGAGAAGTTCGGATTTGCCAGGGACCGGGAAATTAAAGCATGTCCTTCGGGAAAAAATAGCATGTTCCTTCACGACTGACAGGTGAGGGAAATTTCCATTTAATTCCCTTTCATCTTTTCTCACCGTCCGTCGATGGCAATAAGATGCGAGGTACCTACCCTGAGAGCAGCGGATCGGGCGCCAATCGAGATCTTCTCGATAAGGAGATACTTCTCCTCCAGGTCCTGGGGAGGCTTGGCATGGACGAGCAAGCAGTGTTAGAGTGGAAATTATTCCGCACCTTCGGAAAATAAGAGTAGAATACTTGTCCCGTTCCGAGCCAAACGAGGTTGGAATGCCCCCGCCTCGAAGGGAGGACGGGCATCCTCGGCTTTTGACGCAGCTCAGCTCGGGGTCGACTTCTGGTACAGTCGGATTGCTAGCTTTTGGATGCAGACTGAGGTACACAGGGATGAGGTCCAACGCATAGGTTGAATTTTTTTTTTTAAAAAAAAAAGGAATTAATTCTTCATCGGAACATTAGCAAGGGTTCTGATGAAGGCATGCGTGGCTTAGTCCCATTTAGGAAACAGGATTTATTGCTGCCAGCTGTTTATAACCAGCCTGGTAAATAAAGGGCGGGGGGGGGGGGAAGAGAGAGAAAGAAACAAAGAAACGGACAAACGAAGAATTCTGATGTAACACAACTGCGCACCACTAAAATAAACAACTGGCTATTAATATTATTGTTGGTATCCGCCGGGCACATATGTTGCCTAGCGGCTGGTGCCGGAACAGAAAACCGCATCCTCCGACAATTCGGGTTCCTTAGGAACCCTAGATCCGGGCAGAATTCCAGAGAGGTTTACAGATCCCGAGCGACGGCAAGCTGTAAATAGCTACAGTATCCAAAAATCCACAGTCAGTTGCAAGTCCATCTAGTGCATGCATTTATATGGTAGAATGTACCTAAAATATGATGGGGGTGTATGTACAGTATGCAGAGATCGGGAGAGTATGACTACGAGGGAGAGGGAGGGAGTGAGTGTAGCAAAGTCCGAGATGAGGTTGCGTGAGAGTGAGAGGAAGAATGCGAGGGAGTGAACAGATGAGTAAGAGATAAAGATGCACAGTCCTTGGTTTGTTTGTCCGCAAGATACCAGGTGAAAGAGAGAGTCTAGCATACAGTCCATTGTCTCCGCAGTCCATTTCCTCATGCCAGAAGCGCGATCGCACCTCCCACCAAGACCAGTGCACCCAGTGCCACAGCAGGCCGTACGCTCTGCGCGCCGCTTTTTGCCAGACTTGTCGGCTCGGAGGAGCCGCTCGTCACGTTCGCGCCGAGGACGACGTTCCCTGTCCCTGTGATCTTGGCGGTGGCGGTAGAGGCGACGGAGGCGAGGCTGTCTGAGGGGTAGACACAGGTCGTCAGGTAGTTGTCGTATGTCAGAGAGAGGGCGGTGAGGTGGCAGGTGAGGCAGGTTGGGGAGAGGGCAGCGAGGGGTGCGCAGATACAGGAAGCGGAGGTGGATGTGCAGGCCTAGAAAGGATTAGTTTTGGCTTGTGAGGAGGAGAGGGGGGACGCACGGCTAGCTGCGATACTGGTGCGGTGTCGGATGAGAGAGAACATTGCCAGCTGCATGCTGAGGAGGCCTGGCGGGCGTCGGGGTGTGAGATGGGTGAGGCGACGGCGAGGTGGGGAAGGAGGAAGAGAGCGAGTGAGAAGTGCATTGGTGGGCTGGTGTGATCGGAGGGAATGGAGGTTGGGGGGTATGTGAGAGGGAGGTGATGGAGGTGCGGAGTGAGAGTGTAACTTGAAGATAGAGTGAAATGAGCGCATATACTCATCTTATAGACGCTCTCTTCAGTACCGTCGCCATGCCCCGATCCGCACGGGCAACCACGCACCCTCTCCGTTCATCCGACCCTCTCGCACCCCCTCTTCCTTCCTCTTTCTCTTCCAGCCGCCCAACAACAGCCGCGGGTTCACCATTCACCCTTCCTTTCCTCGCCCTTCTCTCCCCTCTTAACGCTCGCCATCTTCATCTATCTTTTCTCCCACCTACCGCCTGCACTGCACGCACCTTGCACACTCCCGAAACAACCGGCATCCCAGCCCAGTCAACATCACCCAACCTGCATCACATCATCAGCAACGTCACCACGTACGCCGACACAACGGGGCCGATCCCGATCGGCAAAAAAACAACTTGCCTCCGCTGCGTCACCAGCCACCGCACGTGCATTCCACACAGGCTCGTCGATGATTGGCCATTCTCATCCAGCCTGCCTGGGCAGGGTCTTCCTCTACAATTGTTCTTTTCGTGCTTTCTTGTCTTTGTCCGCTTCGGCAGGAACAGGAACAGCAACAGAGGAAGGCTGAACTTCCTTTTCCGGTAGAGGAGCCTTCTAACATTCAATGCACGTGATCTGCTGGGCATTACAAGAACACCTCACAACTCGACGCCAAGTTGTTCTCGGAAATAACGGAACAATTTCACTTGAAGACATTAATGCGAAATAGCTCTACTTTACATATACGCATACATGTAAAGGCCCCTGAGGGATATAGGACCCAGCACATCCATCTCTCAGTACTGGCAAAGTTCCTTAGACATATCCCAAGGTAAGTAAGCCTCAGACTGACCATCTCTCGACGCATTTCCCCACATTGCCCTATCGGCTACCAGCAAAGAATCATAATGCATCCATTACCAAATCTGCCCGTGTCTGTCGCTCTTGAGCTTCTGCTCGACGCCCTAATACTCAGTCCAAAATAGAAGGAAATTCTCATCTGTCTACCACCAGATGCGATGAAACTATATCCCCCAGTCCCGCCCAAACAGACCTGCTAGACTGGAAGAAAATCCCCATCCACTCGTCCACCATCTACCTTGCTCAAGCTAGCAGTCCCAGTCCCAGCCCCAGCCCTCCGAGGAAGAGCAGCCCCAGCCCATCGCCAGCCATCCTACTGCCCGCGCTGCTCGTTCCCCCGGTTGGCAAGGTCGCTGTACTACTCCCACTCGTGCTCCCATCCCCACTCCCGCCGCTAGTGATACGCGTCCCCCCTGCCCCCGTAGCCGTAGCAGCTACTAACTTAGTCGTACTCGTACTCGTGCCTCCTATCCCGAGCCCCGTAGCGATTTGACAGTCGTTCGCCCATTGAGCGGGGGAGATACCCGTCGCCTGCAGTGTACACGTTAGGCAGGCGTTGCTGAACGTGTACGATGCCTGACAAATACAGGTCGTGCTCCCTGTTGGGCAGTCCTAGCAAGCGTAAACAGTTTAGCGTGACAGGTGAACGCAGAGAGGAAGGACGCACGATGATCTGTGCTAACCCGACTTGGTCTGACGAGCTCGAGCATGCACTGACGCATGCTGTCCCTGCACTTGCAGTCCCCTGCGCTGCGCCCGCCGTAGCCGTCGCGATCGCCGTCGTTGCTCCCTTAGTCGTCGTCCCACCGGGCATATACGCCGCACACACGGCATCCCACTGCTCCGGAGTAATATCCTCGCTCTGGAGAAGACACTGCAGACACGAGTAGGTGAGCGCATCCCCCCCTGTGCAGAGACACTGTGCGTCCGCCGACCCGCACATGGAGGTAGCGTTGATGGTCGCTACGTCCGATGGGCTGGAACATACGGGCACGCACGCGGAGGTAGAGGTACAGTTCACACCACAGGAGCTGATTTGGCGGGCGTGGTTGTGCGTCCGGAGGAGCGGTTCGGGGATGGGCAGGGGGAGCGGGGAACGCGAGAGCTGGGCAGCGCGTTGCAGTTTGGTACTGGCTAGCGCTGGGAGGACGACCGCGAGCAGGAGGAGGAAAAGACGCATCGCTCGTTACTTGGCCACCTTGTCGTTGATCGTTACTTGTCGTTAGTCGTTCCTGCAGGACCCGCTCTCCTCCTCCTCCAACGCATACTTATACCGGATTTGAACATCCCCATCCATGTCCCGGCGTCTATCTCCTGCACGAGAGCTGCGGTCCCTGCCCCTGCCTGTCCCACGAAGGGGTGCCGTAACCATGCGTTCGTCGTGTAGCGCGTGGGGAAATGAATGGACCCGGAAAAAGGAGATTAATATAGATGATGGCGATATTGAGGGAAGCTGAATAATATCCAGAGTCATGGTCGTCAGATGGTCACAGATGTCCTGATGCATTGCCCGATCCTCAAAATTCTTAATGCCATCCCCGCGCTTTTCCCGGATGGAGTGTGATTTGAACATCCTTCGTGGGCACGACAATGAGGATAAGCGCCTCAGGGCGAACAATAATAGTCCAATTTTACCAACAACAATAGATGAAGGGGGAACAATAGAAACAACAACGATCTTTTTCGAGGTTCATAAGCACATCCACTTGTTCCCCATCTGAGATGCGCTTATGCGACAGCGATCATCGCTGCGAACACGAGGCCCACGAGCCCCTCAACGACGACCTTGCCCGCACCAGAATGAGTTGCAGTAGTAGTAGCAGCTGCGCTAGAGGTGGTCGTCGTGCTGCTTGTGGTCGAAGTGGTGCTGGTAGAGGTCGTTGACTGGGTTGCAGTGGTAGGCGCCTGCCCACCAAGGGTGACACTGCTCCCCGTGGTGGAAGTCTGCGTAGCCGCAGAGCTGGCGCTGATCGCGGAGCAGTCGGCTGTCCATTGGTCGGGAGTGATGTTAGCTGCCGCGAGGGTGCAGTCGAGGCAGGTGGTGGAGAGCGTTCCGGCGGCGTTGCAGACGCAGGCATTGTCGGTGGATGCGCAGTTCTACGGGATGTGAGTTGGGAATCTAGAGTGTGAGATTGAGGCGCACGGTGATCACTGTCAAGCCATTTTGATCAGACGCAGCGCTGCACTCCGTCGCGCACCCTACGCTGCTGCTCGATGTGGGGCTGCTGGCTCCAGTAGTAGCGGCGGATGTCCCACTTGAGCCACCCCCAGCGCAAGCAGTTGCGAGATCGGATGGGGAGAGGTTCTCAGCGGTGAGGACGCAGGAGAGGCAGGTGGAAGACAGCTGCTCAGCGTTCGTGCACACACAGTTTATATCCGAGGAGCTGCATGATGCGAGCGCGCCGAGGGCGCTGAGGTCGGAGGTTGATGAGCAGGATGAGGCACAGGCGGTGAGTTGCCGTCCTACGAGAGAGCGTGCGAGGGGGTGGACGTTGGCTTTGCGGGAGATGGAGCGGGAGGCTGCGCCCTGCAGGGGAGTGGTAGCTGCTGCCAGGAGGGGGAGGGCGAGCAGGAGGAGTGCAAAGAAGGAGCGCATCGTTGACAGTAGTAAGATGGTGGTAGGGAACGAAGGAGGTCGAAGGGCGCTTGATGAGTTGTCGCCCTGAGCAGGCAGCCCTTTTGTACTTTTCCACCGCAGACCATCGCATTGACCTTCTCTCCGAATTTCCGATTCTCAGCCTCATTCATCTTCCTCGTGACAATCAAAACGCCTCACACAGTTTCCGCCCTTTATTGCAATGCCTCACTCTGTAATTGTCTCGTCAATTATCCCACGATTGCAATGCAGTTCACCTTCTGATATCAATAAATCCCCTTGCAACAAGACCATGAAACCAGCCTTCCATCTCCTCCCAGGTTTCCCGCGACCTTCCTTTGCCCGCCCTTGCCGCCACGGCCTTTCGCCCCCAATGATTGTTGTCTGCCTCCAGGCCATGAGGAAAGAACTCATGGAAAACGGAACCAGAGGTTATTTACCTCAGCAGGGGCGTGTCTCAGGGTTTCAGGGTCTGGCATCGGATTTGCATCTGCGGGATGATGCCGATCATGTGCCGGATGGAGGAACATCAACTGGGCGATAATGCTAAGAACTGGTCTTCCGCAGACAGACATCCTCATCAGTTGTATTGTTCATTCTCCCGTACCTGCACCGCTGCAAACCACGAATGCGATGCGACTCAGTCTATATATAGTACCCAGCAACACATTCACAAGATCTGCCCAGCCACGAGAACCATGGCACCAACCTATTAGCTGTGCACATCTCTCCGGATCCCGTCATTCTCTATCCATTACCTACGTGTGACGATTTACGGATGCGATCAATGATCTTTACAAGAGGGTATATATTGGAATCCACGAACGAGTCATCTGCCACAGCTCTGTCTCTTGGATCTGATGTCCTGATTTGCTGCTCTTCCTCTGCACTGCCTTGTTGACTCTTTCCCCGCTGCACATGATCCCAGACAACGTTTATTTCTCAGCTCAACTTCAGACTGTGGGTTTGACAATGGAATTTATGGATATCGCATCGCTTGGTTAGGCAATGTTTAAGTCAAGTCAACCAGTCGACTCCCCTATCCTGCTTACACGTCCCTATTACGTAGTCGGGAATTGGGAAGCGTTCTAAGACGGAGACCATAGCTGAGACAGAAAGCTGGTCAAATGCGAGGAAGGTCATTGGATTGAATTGTGTAGCTCAGTTGGCCAGTTATTGTGATTAATATTCCTCTTGTACGCAGAGCCCAAAGCCGTCGACGATGCTTAGTACAGTTTGTTAAAGAAACAGTTATCTTCATTTCCTGTTACCAGCCATCCGTTGCGAGAGAATTTACCAATGACAGTAAACACAGATCACAGATTACCTGTGGCCGGAAGGAGACCGGGGAAGGGCCCAGGCGAGCGGAACCTGTTTGTGATAGATTGACTATGGATGTGAAGATCATTAGGAAAGAAGATGATAGGCATTTGTTTCTTCAAAACCTAACTTACCACGATCCTATGTGGATCAAAGTACACAGAACTCATGTTTGAAAAGAAACAGAAAACTCGTAAGCCACATCATATATCTACCTTCAATTGAAGGAGTAACATTGAGCGGTGTAGGTCAGCCTGAACTGTGGACACTTGTCTTCTGCCTGAAAACTCAGTTTTGTGACACATCATGTTGCACTATGAACATGCTTGGCTCTATTCTTACAGATATTACGCAATATGGTCACTGCAGCCCTTGCTTCGAGTGTGTCCGGGTCCCTCTCTGGCCCATCCCGCCAAGCTGCGCTGGAAACGTCCCTCATCATCTTAATGCCAGTTTCTCTCGACTGCAAGCTTGATTTGTACCCTTCAGGAGTGGCTGCTAGGTTGACCATGTCGAATTCTATTTCTTTCGCACATTGCTGAAGGATATCACGCCTACATGACGTCAGCGCTGCCATCGTGGACGAGGGACAAAGCTCGTACTTCAACTCTCGATCAGCATTGGGTAACCCGACCCGTTGCCATAACTCATCCCTGCGAGAGTACTGTAGCATCGCAGACCCGAGGAGGCGGACAATGGCGGTGGCAGCGCTATCTCTGGATTGGTGAGGAATTTTATTCCAATGGGGCACCTCGACTTTCAGTGCGAAGACCAGGACATCAGGGGCGTTATCTGATGATTGTGATCAGTATCGGCAGACATAATCAAATTCAACAACCTACTCCAGCGCTCCTCACTTGTTGGGTCTACAGATTGCAGCGGCTGGCCAATGGATCGTGGAAGGGCGATCTCTCTTGCTCTCTTCCCCTTATCTTGTGTGGGCAGGACCGTTGTCCTGCCAATGTTGTGGTCCGATGTCTTCTGCGACGGAATCACAAGCATGTCCTCCGAGGTCGGCTTTGTACCTGTGCTATCATCTCCGTCCTTGGCATGGTCGGTGATACCGGATAGAGGATTAGGCGGTGGTGGGTCCATTGGCTGATTTTTGTCAGCTTGCGGCTTTACGAAGGGAGATTTGAACATAGGTTTGGATGCATGTCGAACCCAAGGTCTGGTGGACTTTGTCGGTCCTGAGGTATCATTAATATAATGCTTATGGTTGGCCTGGAGCAAGAACCCACCATTGCGAATAATGTCGGCAAGATTGTTCCGCGGGTGTTTTGGCCCATCTTCCGGTGCATTCACCTCGGTTTCACTCAGTGGTCGCTTTCCGTTAACCTTCGACCTTCGATTGGGTGGCTCGGCTGCTGATGGTTCCTCTGGGGGTCGCGACGCGTCAGAGAGACGGCGAGGCAGCGCTTGGATCAATCCTGGTTGGCCTGGTGGGTCACCCATAATTTCCAACACGGTGTTAGGCGGGTCATTCGTCTGCAGCGTAGAGTTCTTCTGTGCGGGGGTCGGAGCAGGTGCGGATGTTGGCTTTGTCGCTCCGGCTAAATCTACTCGTCCTAGCAACGATCTCGGAGCGGACGCGCCTGACGAACTCCCTGCTGTGGGAGGTTTGAACTTCTTTGGGAACTGCAACAGCTTGGGTTGATACGTGACGATCTCCTTGATCGTGCCCTCTCCTTCAGAAGATTCATCCTGTTCTTCTGCAGAGTCTTCCAGCTCGTCTCTCAGGCTTCTGCTCCACAGGTTTTGTAGCCGTCCCTGCGTTTCCTGCTTGATACACACGGGTTCCTCGTCTTCTGCTTCAACATCTTGATCTAGTGGAGGACTTGCAAAAGCAATGTGCTCGTCCGATGCCAGATCTTGTATCCGCTGCCTGACCTTCTCAGGATGCTTGCACACATCGCACATTTTGTCGCAATAAGTTTTGAGGACATCCCGGTCTTTGTCGTCGATGGATTCCCCAAAGTATCGACATATCGACTGCATATTGTCATTTCGGAAGACCGCCGTACAAGGAAAAGTAACGTACAACATGCCGGCACGTCTTGATATTTTCGGCCATGCGAATGAGCAGTTCGAGGCTCTTTGGTGCTCTCTGAGAGGGTGTAGCCGTTTTATTAGCCCCTTTTATTCGCTTCTGAAGATCCTGCTGAACCAAGAACATGGCCCTCCGTGCATCTTCTATAGAGTAATAAAGAATGCATTTCGATGCCTGTGGGAGGGGTTAGACTCCAAATTTTTCCCCAAGATGGTGGAGGGGCTTGCCGATCCATCTCGGCCAGCGCGACCAGTTTCCTGATAGTATCCTATTTCATGTTATTGGCGACTCTACACGGTAATGAATTGCTTACCCTCGAATGACTTCGGCAAGTCATAATGCAGAATGTATCGTACATCTGGCTTGTCGATTCCCATGCCAAATGCGACAGTCGCCACCACCACCTCCACTTTATCATCCAGCCACTCCTGTAGCGTTGTAGCCAGCACCTTCGGAGACACACCCCTATGATAGGGCTTGGCTGTAATACCCTTTCTCCTCAGAAACCCCGCTACTTGATCACATGCTGCACGCGCACGACAGTAGATAATCCCGCAACTGGCACGGCCCCGGCGCTCAGTGAGCTTGAGGATATAATCGACGAGGTCTTGCATGATCAAGTGAGGCTCAGTGTTAGCCACAAATTTGATTTCGTAAAAAAGATTCTTGCGATTGAAGGGGTGAACGACGCGAAGGAGGTGCTCGGAGGACATCTTCAGAGACGAAACAATATCGTCTTGCACACTGACAAAATACTAGGTTAATTCTTTAACATGCGATAACAACAGCTTACGCAGCGGTTGCGCTAGCGGTCAGTGCCATAATCGGCACCTCAGGATACTTTTGGCGAAAGTTTCCGAGTGTCCGATATTCGGGCCGGAAGTCCCAGCCCCACTCTGTGATACAATGTGCCTCGTCCACAATAAGTCGCATGACTTGCCGATTGTCGTACACTTTCATCATCAACTTGGAGAACTCAGCGCTCGCAAGTTTCTCGGGGGTTATGTAGAGGAGTCGGATACGCGGATGACCGCTGGAGAGGTCTTTCGTTATCTTCAACAAGGAATGAGTGAGTAATGAAATTTGGGAGGGGGGGGGGGGAGGGGACATACCCTTGATTTCTCAGCTTGTGATGTGTCCGAGCATAGAGAGGCCACATTGACGCCTTTCTCTCTGAGAGTAGTAACCTCTGGTGTCGACATTGAGCACATCATTACAGAGGAGGGACTTACACTCACGATTGCTCATCAATGCAAGTAGCGGTGACACCACAATAGACACACCGAATTGGTCTGCAATTGCCGGAATCTGAAAACACAAGCTCTTGCCCATACCAGTGGGAGCGACGACGAGCACATCTGCTCCTCGTACGGCCGCCTCGACGATCTCCTTTTGTCGTCCTTTGTAAGCGGTGTACCCGAATGTATGGGTGAGAACGCTGTCCAAACATTAGGCATTAGAGTCGCCATTTTTCAGTCATGATATATGCACACCGATGACAATCGACGAGCCCGCTTGCTGTACGTCTGAGCCGGCGAGGCTTCAGGAGCTGCCCCTCAATAACAATGTCCGCATCGTCGTTGGTTGGCGTTTGGCTTGATGACGATCTGATTGGTGTTCTTGAATTCCTAAATATTGGCCAATTGGGGACTTCGAGAGCCATGTCATCTCAAAGATATCAGCGATGGAAGTGAGGGGAAAAGGGAGAGCCAAGCGCCCTCGGACGCGTCCAGGACGCGCCTGATTTCTTTCTTCCCGTGCCGTGACGCGCCGTTCCGGCATTCACCATGCACGTGGGAGATCTATTTGATCCCGTTCAATATAGGGTGCCAGTCCCTGAGCCAACCTGACACGTCTACATATCTCACCGTGGACTGACATTATCAACAGTTTCCTCTCACTCTTCTTTGCTGGTAACTTCAGAATTGACTTGGTTTACTGGGATACGGGCTGGTCAAAATGGCTAAGGGCGGCGTCTTCAGCCAATTAAAGGGCCTTGATGCCTTTGGCAAGGTCAGCACTCCCGGGCTGCTCATGGAGTTCGTTCTCGTTCTGAGCCATAGCACGTAGACCATGGAGGATGTGAAGGTCAAGACACGGACAGGAGCATTATGTACGCTAGTTTTATGCAATCTTTTGCATATGCTCTCATTTATTTATGTACTCAGTAACTCTCATCTCTGCATGCATCATCGTGTTCTTCACTCTCATGGAGTTTGTGGACTACCGGAGAATACACCTCGCCACCTCGGTCGTGGTGGATCGAAGTCGGGGGGAGAAGCTGCTGGTTAACATGAACATTACTTTCCCGAGGGTACCGTGCTATTGTAAGTGTACCTTTCGCTTTTGTTGGGACTGCCCTGATGCGTAATATAGTGCTCAGCTTGGACGTCATGGACATATCCGGCGAGCGCCAACACGACGTGACGCATAACATGCAGCGCGTCCGTCTTTCTCCACAAGGCATCCCCATTCCGGACGTGCTTCCCGAGTCCGGTCTCTCGAATGAGATAGAAAAAGTGATCGAGGCGCGAGAAGGTGGGGAGTGCGGCTCGTGCTACGGTGGTGATCCGCCCGCGTCGGGATGCTGCAACACGTGCGAGGACGTCAGGGAAGCGTACATGCGCAGAGGATGGAGCTTCAGCAGCCCTGAGGATATCAAGCAGGTAAGCTGCGAAGCTTTGAAGGCCAAGAAAGAGACCAACGAATGCCCAGTGCGTAAATGAAGGCTGGACGGAGAAGGTCAAGTCCCAGTCCGAGGAGGGTTGCAATATTTCTGGTCGCGTCCGTGTAAACAAGGTCATTGGGAATTTCCACTTTTCCCCCGGCAAGTCCTTCCAGACAAATGCGATGCACGTGCACGATCTCGTCCCCTACTTGAAGGATGCGAACCGCCATGACTTTGGGCATGAGATACATTACTTCGGGTTTGAGAGTGACGGGGAACAGCAGGCTGAGGTTGGCAGGCTTAGTAAAAGCATCAAGACCAAGCTTGGGATCGACAAGAATCCTCTCGATGGCTTGAGGGCACATGTGCGTAGTCTTTCACGCAGAGAGACTAGACGTGTTCCTGGAATGAGCTCTAACCGGCGATCGTACCGCCCTGAACAGACGGAGAAAAGTAACTACATGTTCCAGTACTTCCTCAAGGTTGTTTCGACAAAGTACGAGATGCTTCGTGGAACTGTGGTGGGTCCTTCTGCCTGAGAATTGTGTTGTCTCGTGTCTAATCAAGCGTTAGGTCAACTCGCATCAGTACAGCGTCACGAGTTATGAGCGTGACCTGTCTCAGGGCGATAAAGCCCAGCGGGACGAGCATGGGACCATGACGAGCCATGGCGTGAGTGGAATACCTGGTATGCAGTTTCTTCAAGTAATGATCGATCTTACCCTCCCCGAAGGCGCTTTCTTCAACTTCGAAATATCTCCCATGGTCGTCGTGCACCAAGAGACACGGCAGTCCTTCGCTCACTTCCTGACTTCGTATGCCTATCGTCACATGTATATGCTATGACAGGCTGACTTAGTCTGTAGAACATGTGCCATTGTAGGCGGTGTCCTTACGGTCGCCGCCATCTTCGACAGTATGCTCTTTTCTGCCGAGCGCAAGCTGAAAAAGAGCTCCAATTCCACCTACACCAATGGGTCCGGGCTGAATGGTGGTGCATACCAGAAGGCGATGTGAGACGATGTCCTTTTCTGGAGGGTTTTGAAATGACATAGAGCCACACATGCATGCACTCTTATGGGATCCTAATTTACACCACCCTTGTATGTCATACTTAGGCTTGGAAATCGCATGTAGCCCCCCCGTAGGGCGCTTGTACATATACCCATTTTGAGGGTAGTTGCAGACAGGCGCGGTAATCCTCGTTCAACAGACTAATAAATTGCCCAGGGCATACTGTTTACATGTATAGGTTAAGGGAGCGGACAAGACTGAATTCCATACTAGATGATCTGGTCAGAATTGGAAAGCATAGAGGACACACGCCTGCGCGTGAATATGCAGGGAATCACGAAAAATGAATACCAATCTCCCAAATGAAAGAAGAACGAAGCAAGAGAAATCCGTCCTTAAACGATTATTGATTTTGGCCCCTGTCTGTCGCTTGAGGCAGGCTTCTTTGGGACCACTTTACCGCTTGTGGATGGTGCAACCTTAGACTTTGCCTGGGCTGGCGTCATTATGCCAGCCCCACCCATACTCGCACGCAGGGATGCGCTGCGGTTCATGCGTGGGGTGATACTCGGCGGCCGGGCCAACGAGGAGGCAGGCCTACTAGGAGCTTTAGCAGGTGCCTCTTCTTCTTTGGTTTTCCCACTGGTGAGGGAGGCAGAAGATGCTCGGGCCGAGAGGGAGGGACGAGTACCGGGCGCAGTCCCAGGACGAGAGGCAGGCGTTTCTGGCACATCGACGGTAGGCATTCCACGGAAAGATGATGGTGGGGCTGCGGAACCCGTACGGCCGGCAAGCTTGGGGCGAGATGGCGTTGGTCCAGTCGACCCGACCGAGCTAGGTGGTCGCACAGCAGAAGAAGAACGGGACGGTGTAGTACTAGTGTTAGATGCCACGCCCATTGACGAGGAGCTGCGCCCGCGAGAGGGGGCGGAAGGCTTGACTGCAGGTGGTGCTGGAGCAGCAGCACCTGGCACTCCACCAGTGCTGAGGCGAAGTGCAGCTGATCGATTGAGACGTGGAGCGACCGCGGGAGGTTTCGTGGATACGACCTGCAGAACACATGTATTAGAATACCGGTGTATCTTCTGGTAAACGATGCAGCATACAGAAAATGTCTGAGAACGCTTATGCCCAGGGGTGCCGTCGAACTGCACTGGCTTACGTTCCCTCGCTGTGGTAGGCGCAATCTGCAACCCTGCACGCAAAGCAGCAGCCTTGTTCTGTCTAGGCGCTGTCACCGGCGGAGCGGTGCTGGCAACGACGATAGAAACAGAGCGGTATTTGTGGCCGGGGACATCCGCAAAAGTGACGGGATCGTCGTCGGTTGTGTGGATCCGCTTGGGGCGGGTTGCCGGTAATAACTGATCACTACCCGCACGGAGGAGGGAGGCACGATTCTGCCTTGGAAGCATAGCCGCACGACCGTTACGCAAAGGTGATGTCGACTGACTTCCACTATAGTTAGAAGGAACGAGCGATTCGGGACTTGCTGGGTCAGCGAGAACCCTGTGTGATGAAGACCGGTCAGGGGTAGCGTGGGTGGACTGATTGAGCGAGAAGTCGCTCTCTGAAGCAGGCAGCGGTAATTCGCTAGCGAGATCCGCCCCACGGAAGGGTGGTGAGCCGGCGAAGAGAATCGCAATCTGCCGCTCCGCGTCGTCGGTACTACGTGACCCATAGATGGCATTATCATCGAGTGACCTGCCATAGATTGCGCGGAGGCTAGAAGACGCTCGATCAGCATGAAGGGCGATGGGCAAACGCGTGGAACGCACCTCTTGGGCGCGTCATTACGAGCAATCTCTGGATCTTCGGGTCCCATGAGCGTGTTTAGGACCTCAACGGCACGTCTTCGCTCAAGAACGTACACCCAGACGGGCCCATCAGCCAGCGAGGGCCCGTCGCGTCCGAACAAAGCCTCGAGAGCGACATCATCCGGTTGAAACTCGACTTGGCGCTCCTTGACAATCTCGAAGCCTGCTTCAATCAGACGAGGCTCGATCGTGAGACGATGCTTGACTGCAGAAGGCTTGAGGATGGCCACGGTGCGCGTGACGGCCCTCGCAGGAGATAGGCCCGGTGTTGCAGACATGGTGATGGTGAGAAAAGAAGGATAAAGTGGGAGAATCTGGAATGTGTGATTGTGGGGATATAGACAGTAATGGAATGGTAGTGATGATTGTGGTGAGATAAACAGAAATGAAATGTGGCAAAAGCTACATAACAACAGGGGTAAAGAAGGTCGCGACCGGTCTCCCACGTGACACTCTGACATTGACCATTCCTCGTCCCTCCCCCCGTTCCATCTGATCACCACACTGCATTACACCGCACTCTCTTTCAGATACATAGAACTTACATGGCGGCCCAACAGGACGCTCGTATACTCGGGTTCAGAAACCCTTATCTTGGACTTTTCAATCATCCCACACGAAGGTCTGCGGCGCGCGCTATCCGGGACATACCTCTCGGACATACTATTTTTACTGAGACAGCGGTCACCGCCGTATTGGCAGACGCACAAAGAGGGAAACGTGGGCTGGATCTCCTTCTGGTTCAATCATGATCGTGAACTGGGTGTATCAGGATGTGATGCTTGTTTCAAGGCTAATCCCAACTTGGTACAATGCCCCGATTGCAAGTAAGTCCATTGTCCCAACACACCTTCCTGTTCCCTGCTTACCGTCTGAAGGGAAGTCTGGTATTGCAATTCACAATGCACGTCGGCCAGTCCATCCTATATAAATTTCTGATCAAGCAAACTAGGCCTAAAGCGGCTACGAGACGAGCATCATATGAGGCTGTGCCCATCTATGCAGATCCTATTGAATGCCCTACAAGCCCAAGTTTCGGGCGATGTTGAAGCATGCCGATTGGCGCGCAAAGATGTTCTCCTGGTTTTACAGCTCGTCGCCCTGCTCTACTCAAACTCTCAGGCACAGGACCTCATTCCCCGTACGTTGACCGACCCACCAACACAGCCAATCGACTTCCTCAACCCAGCTTCGGTATTTGCTCATCTCCTGCCTGCCAAAAACCCACCGAGGTTCCCGGTGCCCTTCCCATTCTTCCCGCTTGTGTCAGACCCTCCCCGACCTGGCCAAAGGCACAGGGACAAAATATTGTACTACCTGGCAAGCAGATTCCATAATAATAACTTTGGATGCTGGACTAGTGATATGGAGCCACTGGCCGATGGCATATTTCCTTCCGCGAGCAGTGAGTGTTCCGAGAGCCCGACACGGTGACCTAACAAAGTTTGCAGGATTATTCAATCATTCATGCCGGTAGGATGGGTCATTTGGTCAACTCGAGGTAAGCTCACTTCTCGTGCCTAGACCCAACTGCGTCGTGGTGTACGAAATTGTCGAACAGAAGGGCTTGGTCATGGAACTCAGGGCCGTCCGACCAATCGCGAAGGGAGAAGAAGTACATGCGACTTTCTGCATCGCCTCCCTCCGCTGATGTCGTCCTAGATCACAATCTCATATGTCGATCCTGCAATTTGGTTAGGAGCAAGGCGCAGCCTCCTGAAGATGAACTATGATTTCTTGTGCGACTGCCCAAAGTGTCAGGCCGAGGAACAACAGAAGGTCTACACCACCAGCGCTTGGTTAACAAATGAAGAGCGAGTTGCCGCCAGCGTCGAGCTCATACACCACTTCCTGCCGTTCGCTCCGGATGAACAGCTGAAAGCGTTCAGCAGTAAACTAGCTATCCCGCCTCTGCCCAAAGGGCTGGGGATCGAGGAGATGCCGCGAAGTGTCTTGCCTATGTTCAACTCGACTTATTTACCAGAGACGGCGCAGAAGTTCAGCGATAACGCCCATGATGGTTCGCTCAGCAACGCAGTTTACAATGGGAAAGTTCTTTTGGGGATCTATTTCGTGCACTATACCACATATTGGCCGATGATTGGTGAGTGATGCTTCTCTCTCACCACGCCGACCACGCCATGCGGGCAGTGTAGCGCTTTGAATTGTTTTTACTTCCTGCCGAGTCCACTCCCCCTTGCCTTGTCCCAACTTTTGATAATCTCCCTCCGTGGTAATTGAAGAGGAAGCTGTCTCACGGTTGTTCACAGGACTCCATTGTTTCGAACTCAGTAAGAGCATATGGAACAGCTACACAATAACACCTCCGACCACGCTGGCCGGCCGCAAAGGACAACTAGGCGAGGCCATTTGTTGTGCAGAGTGGGCATCGCAGATCCTTCAGGTATCTGTTGCACGGAAAGGGGATGGTGGATCCAACCGACCACCGACGGAAGAGATTGCCGAGTTTCGCGACCACATTCTTGCAGAATGGGTAGCCCTTAGTCCTGGATAGCCTTTCTACACACTCTGTAACGACGCGAAGTTGCCTACATTAGCAATTCGGCAAATAATCGGACAGCAGTTCTGCCACGCTCGTCCCAAGTGCAGATGTACCGTGTTTTCTCGGCCAGCTGGTTAAAAGTAGGGACTCGGTTGATCCTGTGTTTGCTGGCAGCTGAATGTTTGATGAAATGGCTTGATTCAGTGCACGAGATTGGCCCAGCGTTAATTGACGTTATACTAGATAATGTGTTATTCACAATGGCTCCTGGCCATTCGAACAATGGACCGTACCATGTCAGCGACGAGCCATCTGCCTAGTCAAGTTATCGATATACATCTGCAGCGTGGCATTGTCCGATTTGAGTTTGTCGATATCACTTTGTACAGTCTGAACACGGGATAGCATAACTGCACGGGGAGGGATTGAATGTTAACGAATATGATGAGTCGAGGATGTACGGGCATACTTCTCAGGTCCTCTTGCGCAGCGAGAATATCTCTGTGCTCATGTTAGAGCGAGAGCGCTCGAAATACTCATTGTTGGACTTACTTGATCACCTTCTCTTTCCGAATCGTATCCTTCACCACGTCTCCTGTGGGAACGTCTGCCACAGCCCCCCACGCCGCAGTCTCCTCGTACATGTTGCTTGTTGTTCCCCTGAAAGCCATTAAACGTTGGTGCGCCCGCAAAGACTATCTGTGTGATAGGGTGATGTGGGATACCAGGAAGATTGCGCGATATCGTATGTGGGCCCGCTGATGGTAATTGCGAAGCGCTGCGGACGCAAGTGCCAATAATCAAGGGATTTGTGCTGACAATCAGGGACTGCAAAACCCAATGCACAGCCGCATCAATCTATCCATCCTTCATTGTCCTTGCGGAATCATGCCATCCAGCAGGGTCATTAAACATCGCTTGATTTCATCATCGCTTGGAGGAAATTGGTATGGGTCGCGGCGGACCAACCTGAGCAGAAACTGCGAAATTCTTGCAGGAAGCGCACCCGAGGGAGAAGCGATAAACAAGGTGCGTATCGCGAGGATCGAGCAGTCGAAACCCATCCAAACCTTACGCTTGTTCGTCACTTAAGCATGTTGTCTTCTGATTGCTTTCGCCTTGTAGACAAGATTCGAAGTCCTTCCTAAGCGACAATGTGGCCGTATTCGGGACCACGCACTCGATCTAGACTCTTACCAGTATTGAGTGGAGGCACACTTCGTTTTACCATGCTTTGGGCGTATCCGAGAAACACTAATTTTGAGGGCACGTTGCGGTGCATAGTCATCCGTCCGTCGGTGGCCCACGAAACATTGATGCTCATATGGAGACGAGGGAAGTGTCTCTGTGCAGACATCTATTCCGCTCGCCACTATAATCAAGCCGTGTTACAACCTGGGAATTCCTCCATACACAAAGAGAACACAGGCCATGGCATGTTTTTGTCTTGAAAGCTTCAGTGCATCAGAGAGTGAAAATCGTGGCCAGTCGGAAGGTCCTGTTCGCTTCTCTGCACCCGGCTGGGAGGGACACGGATCAAGTTGTATCATGTTAAGTCAAGCGGCCCCTGTTAATTTTTGAAGAAGACCTGCAAAAATGCGGACCTCGAGGATTATGTTTTGCCTTCGCCAGTGATAGCGGACCGAAGATGTCCAATTGAATGAACTTAGTCATGGTTCGGTGATATCAGGCACATAAGGCCACAATGGGTACCTTGAATGAATGTGAATCGCTGTATGCACACTGGCATAGCGACTTCTAACCGGTGGGAAGAGTAGTCGCGCCTGGAGATCACGTCCGTCTTCCTGTACTCTAGGCATCAATGCCTGGGCCATTGCCATTATATGTATAAACAGAAGGCATCCAACTGACAATGCCATACATGGTGCAACACGTAAGGTTTCTTCCCACCAGTGCACGCTGTTGACCCAGAGCCTAGAAGCCGCCCGGCCGCCGAGCGCCCTCGATCTTAGAACCGTACGTTTGAATGCAAAGAAGAATAAAGTGCTGGTATGGATAGTCCTACCAGCCGTTGCCGCCGGGAGACGCGCACTAACTTGTTCTGGCAGCCACACGAGAGTGATGGAGGTATGTCATCTCGCGTGACTTGTGCAGAGAAATTGGAGTGGTACTCGGTCATTCCTGCAGGCGGGACAGGAACTACCGAGTAGGACACTAGTATTCGTGCCACTTCTGTCTAGCCGAAGTGCGTATCCTCCCGATGAACAGGATGGAAGATATCGTGTATCATGAAGAACCACTCTTGTGGTATAGAATTGGCCGCCTGATCCGCTGAAGAATATTTTGCAACACGTTCCTCCATTCATCGCGCCCGCTTGCCTTTTCCAGATGGACGCCGGTCAAACTACTCGCGTATTATCGCACGCGTTTCGCCCTGAATAAGCGAATGAGCAACAAAAAAGCCTAGGTTGAATGTTCTTTGTGGGAACAAAGCAAAGGCATGGTAACACGAGATCAGGTTCTGGAACTGAAGCAGCCCGCTGTGAATTGTGATCAGAGATTTCGCCACGATGCCCTAGCTGTCCCTAGGATTTTGTCCCGCTTGAATTGTGTCACAGAAAAAGCAGGAAGAGACTGTCACCCAAGGAAAGAAGATTTCTGCTGGCACATGTTTCCTGTGGACTTCATGACAAACAGGGGCGATAAAGAATCGCCAACCGGGGAGCCACGGATATCACTGCAGTTTTAGGGATGTAACAAGAGAAGTAGACAGACAAACGCTCTCGTTGGCTCATACGTGACTTCCGGAATAGTAGACTTTGTGAGAGAGTGGCTGCTGATGTGTTCTGTTGGACATGTCGCCTCATGACGGAGTCAAATTGCTTCCGAAAATACCGATTTCATTTCGATCGCTGGACAACCCTGACAACGACGTAGGCGGACTGCTTCGTTGCTGTTCACCTGCCTTCCAGGAAGGCAACCAGTTGCTCTGTGCAATTTCCATTTCCTTCTTCTTTCACTCTATTATTGGCTCCGAAAGTATAATGTCCAACTTTCTGTACGTCAAACTCATACATACCTCTTTCTTTTATCAAATTTTCTGATGTGGAGTCTGTCTAGTCGAGGTCTTGCGCGAAATCCGACCAGACAGCCGCAGCCAGCGCGCAGGTCGCCTACAACACCTTCTGCAGGCCAATTCCCGGACATACCTGGTCAGAATCAGTACCATGGAGTGTCTCCGAGTTCTCCTGGAAAGCCGCTTTATCTGTGTCAACCCTTTGTCAAGGCCGCTTTGGTGAAGGGCAGTTTCAAGACGATCGTCATGCAGCCGAAGTACTCGGAGAGGCTAGAGTGGATAGCGGTCAACAGTGTGTCATTCTGCCCTTGTCTCGGTGATTGAGCCATGAATGATGACGCGTGCTACTCCAGTCTTCGACTTCTTCAACAATCTCAATTTGTTTTACGGTGTACTAACGGAATGCTGCACCACCGCCACTTGTCCGACCATGTCGGTGGGCCCAATGTCCGTTCCCCTTACTAGCGATTCCGGGCCAAATCTCATATGTGTACCCTATCATAGGCTCGATTATACCTGGGTTGATCACAACAAGCGACAAATCAGACTACCTGCACCAACGTACATCGACTATGTGATGACCTGGGTTCAGAATCTCTTGGATGATGAAGGCACTTTTCCGACCAAAGCCGGTGCGTTCCTTTTTGTGGCATCATTGCTCTCGTCAATCAGCGCCCCCGCGGGCCGCGCGGCAAGCTCATCGTGCCGAGCACCTTCGACAAGCATTGTACTGATGCCCAATTCTGCAGGACGTGAATTCGCGCCCAGCTTTCCAACCACAGCCCGTCACGTTTTCAAACAGCTCCTTCGTGTATTTGCCCATATCTATCATGCGCATTATCCGGCCTTGCTCCATCTGCATTCTGAGGGTCACTTCAACTCTCTGTTCGCTCATTTCTTGGCTTTCGGCTTCGAGTATCAACAACTGGACATCAGAGATTTCAAAGGAGTTGGCGTAGCTGCTCTGCTGGATAAGTGGAGGGAGATGGGAGTGTTGGATGGATTGAATGTGCCGCCGAGTGGTGGATCTATGTGAAAGGAGAGTCGGAATGTGAGGCTGCTAGACAAGGAGGAACAAGATGGTCTCCGCGGGCCGGACGCAAAGGTTGTTTCTGCACCGCCCTGTCAGCCTGTGTTTGCCGCATGCCAGTACCTGTGAGAAATATAGTGAACCTGTACGAGTGACTATGCATAGTTGTGTTGGCAGACTGTCCTGATTCGTTTGATCAGGACCCCTGTGCCTGGGACGCAGCGCACCGCTGCCAAGGCACGGGATGGGATGCAAAGAGTAAGCAGAAGAAAAGCGTGGATATTGGAAACCCACCGCCAGCGCCTCTTCCGTCATCCATCATCAGACTAGCCTTGCCAGTCTGTCGGATTGCCTAATCCACAGGCGCCATGGAAAAGTAAAGAAGCCGTATCTCTTGCGGGCATGTCGCCTCTTTTTTTCTCGCCTCTTCTCCTTTCGATTCGGATGACTATATTCAGGAGAAACCCGGAAAGAGAAGGTAGTCGTACCAGAACACCCCTTTTCTCAAATCGGAACAGGCCATGCCGCATACTTTCCTTCCTCTTCTGTCTCCTACCCTGCTGTCCTCACCCCGCTTCTCTTCTCATGCCCGGTTGTACTTTGTGCTTATGTTGTGGCTGCTCCTCGAGCTTCATCGGCGGTCATCTTCCTCATGGCGAAACCCACATGGACCCCTCCAAGCGGCGTCATGGCGCCCTCCGCCTTCAATCAAAAATCTCTTGAGGTCTGCGATCTGGCAGCAGAACGCTGTCCCTTGTCTTCTCACCCATCTCCCCCGGTGAACACCAATTTCCCCCATCACCGACCCCAAGCAATGTCGTCCCTTCCGTACCCGGCCATGCCCTCCCCGCCTCAACAGCTGCAACATCTTGAGTCTTTCCGAGAACGCTCTCTTCAACAGGCCTTTACTGCGCCAACAAGAAAACAGAACACGGTGAGTCTGTTCGCTCACTATGGGGAGGGATGCGGGCAGAGGGGGTGCGGGCCGCTTCTATGCGCTTTCTGAGAAGTGTTTGCAGCAGTTTCTGATTGTCCTGACCTGCTGTCATTCCAGGCGTGCGACGGATGTCGGGCGAGAAAAGTTAAGTGCGTGCATCCTATTGGACAACCAAAAGTTCGTCCCCATTCTTACCCCACAGTTCTACGGAGCCGTGGTGCTGACATCGGGCCCTGCAACTAACAGTGTGACCACTGTACCCTCAAGAGAATGTCTTGCACGTACGTATTGTTTGGTGTTGCCCATGTACATTGGCTTGATGGTCACACGCTCAGGCACGTTATTCAAGCCGCTACCCAAGAACGCAAAAGACAGAAGGCGGCACAACATACAAAGTCTAGAACAGCCGCGGCGTCCCCAACGCCAGGGCAGGGGACGCCACAGCAAAGCCCATCTCGACGGACGTCCTTCAACGGAACGACGATTGCAATAGGTTCACCGGCCCCTACACATCAGTCCTTGGAGTCTGGATCGTCTGGGATGGTGGAGGCCATTGGCTCCCGTCAAAGCTCCCCAGGCTCAACTTCGACAACTTCGACAGTGCAGTTGATAGCATGGCTGCTTGCGCCGGATGGCGAGGCGTCTACGCCGCATTCGCAGGGGTTGTCAGGCTGGCGTGGTCGACAAGGCCAGTCCATGCCAGCGTCCGAGTCGATCACTGGCGAGCTCTCCCCAGTGGACCAACTGCTTGTGGAGGATTACATGCGCAACGAGTAAGTGTTCCGCTGTATCGCCTCGACCATTAACCAACCGAGTCGTATTTGGTAGATTTGCACTGGACCTAACTGAGACTTATTTCCAAGTCAGCGGCTTTGAACTTGACCTGTGCCCAGACTAACTAGCTAGTAGATTGTTCACATCCGCATCCCTTTGCTGAATCCTGACCTCTTCCGGGCCCGTCTCCGTGCCTCGGTTCCCTCTACCTCCCTTCCCATACCACCAGGCTATTCTTCGATTGCGGAAGCGCTCGGACCTCCCTCGCCCGCTCTGCTTGCCACCCTGATGGCCTGCGGAGCTAAGTTCTCCGATCACCATCTCATGCAATTGGATCGAGAGACGAACGGAGGCAGCAGCCGCATTCAATCCCGTCTCCTTGAGCGAGCCGTGGAGATTGCCGAAGCCGAGAAGGTATTCCGCACTGCGACTCTTGAGAACGTAACCCTTTCTATGATACTGGAGGGGATGGATCCATGTAAGACGTTTATAGTTGTTTTGACGAATTGCTCAATCAGTTCCTCCAAGTAACCTTAGGACGACCCGACCGGCCTGACGGTGAGTTTGTTCACGCCACTGACTTGTACCTTCCAATGTGAACATACCATTTTTACTAGGCCCAGGTGGGTTTTGGTTGAAAGTGGCCGCTGACCACATCTTTGCCCTTGGATATAACAAGGATTCAGTCGTTTCGGCAATTCCTGATGTAGAAACTAAAGGACGTGCCTACTTCGCTTGGTGGATAACATATGTAAGCACATCCCTCGGAGCCAATCGATTCTGGGCTCACTCATTTATCTCAGCTCACAGATGCCTATTCAGCGGCCTTCTTCCGGAGAAAACCTGCTTTGTGAGTGCTTTTGGTCCCCAAAGGAAGATATGGGGCTGACTCCTTTTAAAAACAGGAGTGACCATGATCACAGCCATGCGCCTCCTGTTGCCATTGACACAACTCAATACAGCGATCATTCGGAGTTTGCAGTGAGTGACTTTGGTCCCCAGCAATCCAGGGTCGTCATTGGACATTCCGCAGATCTGGCTATCGGCAGTTTATGATCTTGCGGTTGCGGCCCGGAAGCTCGCTGTGACTGCCTTCTCCGCTCGATCACAGACCCGTGGCATTGTGGCAACAGAGCTCCGTGAGGTAGCAGCACTTCTATATCGCTGGCGGGACAACCACCTTGCTCGGGTTGGTGTTCCTACCACCATGCAGGTGGACTGGGATTACCTAAAAGCCATCACCTGCTGTGCGTCCCATTATATTACATGTACTCGTGTGGGCCTCATGAAATGCATTAGGCGTGAGTGATGCGAACTACCACGTGATGTGGATCATTGGTCACCTCGCAATACTTGACTTTGATATCAGTCCGGGCGGGTCCAACGTCGCTCAACCCAATACCCCCCCGGTGGATACAGATTCCACCCGTCTTGTGCAGGACTTGAAAGCGGAATTTGCATACGAGGCTCTGCATGCTGCCACACGCATTTCAGCGCTTGTACGTGATATTTTCTTGGATTCAGAGGAAGGTAGACTAATAGCCCTGTAGACAAGTTTGCTCACGTCCCACGGCTACCTTAGACTGGACTACAACGTGCTCCATTATGCCATTTATGCGGCTGGTCTAACTCTGGCCCGGGAAGGAGCACCGGAGACGGTCAATTGCATCGCAGGGGTGAGCTCTCTTCATAGAGCGTTGAGCTACAAAGTTAACGTGTGATGTAGCTGCGCCAGTATAGCTCAGCATATCCGGATGCTGGACCCGAAGCAGATCATATATCAACAATTTTTGCTCAGACGACGATGACACAGCACCAGACTTCTGCTCGTCACGCAACTGGCCTACAATTTATGCCCTTGAACACCACCACTGTCTCTTCCCTGCCCCCCTTACGCTCAGCTGAATCCACCGCCATTGATCTAAACGACCCAGTCATGAGCGGTCCCTCCCTAGGTCTGAATTCGGAAATTGGTGCGAATCACCAATCCAGCTCTTTGCCCTCTGCTCCATTCCTTGACTTCGGACCAAACGTTTCTCTCCTTCAGCCACCTGATCTTGCCAGTGCGGTTGCAGAGCCATTTTTGCGATTGGGACTGTCCGTCGCTCCTTCAACACAAACACAACGTGGCCAGGCGTCGATCAATGACGCCAGCACTACCACCCAACGGCTGCAAGACGAGATAATGGAAGGAGATGTGCCGGAACATCTCACTAACGACGCTTTCGATCATTTGCTTTTCGAATAGGAATAGGAATAACCCTTCTGTGCCAGAAGATGTAATCAGCTGTCGGACGCCGTCTGCTGCTCTCATGTGCGTGATTCTCAGTAACAGATAATGTATCGGCTCCATCTCCCACTATCGTCCTCAAAGCCGTCTTCGCGCTATGATAGATACTGATACTGTACGATGCGCACACCCGGTAGCACGCTCAGAGCGTGCCCGGATAGGTTACTTCTATTGCCTGAAGGCTTCGATAGTTTCGAGGGGCCAAGTAAACTAGACAATTCTCATACTCAGATCTTGTTCCAGTTGACCTATAGTTTCTAGAGCACTGATGACTGCGTTAAGAAACGTAAACCGGGACACTGGTCTGAGAATGATCTGGCCGAGGGCTATTTTCTCAAGATATTCAGGATCATCCAATTCTTCCATACAAGATGCACTGACGGCCGCGTGGCACCTGTACTTCTCTCGCCAGCGGCTCTGGCCTGCAGGATCTTATATATTCCACAGTCTTGCGGCTTCTTTCCTTCTCTTGAGCACTTGCTGGCTCTCGATTACGACCTCGAAGTGTTCCAAATATGGAGATCAGTATCCAGGCAGTCCTTCCACGGTACCGAAAGCACAGGATCCATGTGTTAATCACCGGCTGTTCTCCCGCATGATGATACAAGCCTTACCGTTTTCGGAGTCGTGCTAAGATTCCTCGACATGGTACCGGTCTACATATGGGGGCATACGTGACCAGCAAATGGGGGTGCCATCATATCAACGCGATTCGTACAATGATAAGATTTAGTACTTGTCCTCCCCCTACTGTCCCACGAGATAGCTCTCGATCTGTGACGTACAGCAGAAGCCAGGCGGTACGATAACAATGAATCGGGCTGAAATCTGACCGCTCGTAATGCAGGCCCTCATTCATGCTTTCGAAGTCCAGCAACCACTGACGATAACGTTGCCCCTTTACTCTGGACTGGCCCGTTCCCTTCCACTCTATCCGCGCAAACCATCACCGAGAGCATTCGAGCGACTTGATCCCACTTGGATGCGTCACTTTCAGTTCGATCATCCCCATCTTCTTCCTGATCTGACGAACAGGTCTGTGCACATTGGACACGTGCACGTGGCCAAAGAAGACGTATATAGAGGGCGACCGTGATCGGGCAATCGATAGTGGCCCGGCCTACTTTCAGTTCTCGAAGCTTGGTGGATGGTAATAGATTGGATGGTGGAAACGGGACTGCGTTCTTGGCGCAAATGTAGCTCAATTCGAGCTCCTTCATATTGGGACAGTTTTGGGCCAAATATCCACAGGAAAGAAGTGTTAGTCCAGAGGCGAATGCTAACCCCGATTCGTGGCTTGACGGCACCGCAGGAATATTAGAGAACCAAGTAATTGACAAGCATGTGAGTCGTGGCCAAGCAAGGGAAAGCAATCGCACATCTGCATCTCCGAAATCCAGTTCAAGGTCGGCATGGGAATCAACACTACACTTGAGGCACTGTAGGTTGTGGCATCGATAAAGTGGTGCGAAAGTTTTCCACTCTAGGGTTCCCTCGTCGTCTTCGTCGTCCTCCAGCGTCTCCACTAGCTGTGCATGTAGGGATAGAAGCGTCACAGCAAATTCCGGGATGAAGGTGAAGACAGTCTTGAAGACAGGAGACGAGAAAGTTTTCTCAGTAAGCCGGAGGGCGAGATGTCTTAGTGGCACGGTACGCAGGGCGATGAGCAAGGGGAGCGCAACAGTGCTGGTGGTCTCGAGGTCTAGGGCGTGCAGCGAGACGAAGCTACCGGTTTGGATAGAAGCGGCAAACATAGTCCTCTCAAGGGAAGTATAGTCTTCGTCGTTTCCCGCATCTGCTAGACCGAGACATCTTAGGGTCGGCAAACGTCCGAGGGCCTGCACGAGGTTTGGCTGAAATGTGATGAAGTCTGACTCGAAATGTTCGAGAGCAGTGCCTTCTATCAAACTCGTAAGTTCCGGGAAAGACACAACGTTCGGATATTTAAATCCGTAGAGCTTGAAGTATTTGAGCGAAAGACAGCGCCAACGCAGTTTATGTAGGAATGCACCTATATGTACGTCCCACTCCAGCGAGTCGACTCGATCATCCATGGTACAAGACGCGGTGAGTTGTTGAAGAGAAGGGCAAGTAAATGCCGCCACAACTCCTAGATGCTCAGTGGATGAAAGCTGAAAGCTAAGAACGCGTAGATTCGGTAACATGGCTTGGCTAGAGATTCGAGTAGAAGCGATAAACTGCAAATGACGCGTCAGGCGGACACTGTCGGCCCCAGGCATAGCGCCGAAATTGAGCGCCAGCGAGCGAACCATAGAAGCATATAAATCGAAGCGCGCCCATCGATGTTCGATACAGAGGGGCTGAGCGGATGTTAGAGTGCTATATGCGCACGGCATCTGGGCCACAGTACCTGATAGTCAACGCCGATGGCGAGGTTGATGAGATTTTCTAGGCCAACTTGATCCAGTTCATTCCACAAATAGCTGGAGGCAGCAACATGAAAAGATTTAGCAGTTCGAGCAACTGCCGCGAGTGTGGAGCGGTCTAGCTTCTCCAGGATAAGATGTACGAGCTCTGGGATGAGAAAGGCACTCGTCCAAGCGCGTGGCAAGACGTCGATCTTCACAGGATACATGGCACCTCGCGTGACCATGAGCTGCATTCTACAGAGTCGACGTGCTGTTGAAATAGGCTAAGAGTGATAAGTAAGAGCAAATCAACCGGCGTTCTTGTTGACAGACGCAGAATGAAAATGGAGAGACGTTGCTCTTGTTTGGGCACGGTGGCTGTGGATAATTAAACCCCTGTTTCTCCTCCGTTCACTGGTCATCCCTGACCACTGACAGCATCCATGGGTCGAAGCGCAAAACTTCACAAACGTGTGGTATGAGTTGGGGCTTTTGGAAACAGCGTTCTCAACTAACCCAGCTTTACAGAAGAAGAGCAAGTCCTCTACACATTCCCACGCGGTCCTCAATTCTATCCCGGCCACCACCGCCGTCCCGGCCACCGCGAAACGGCGGTCTACCACCGGCCTTAAAGCGAAGGCAAAAACCAGTTTAGGGTCACCTAATGCTGGCCAGCTTCTTGGCGGAGCAGATTACGTCACGTTGGCAGTGGGTGGAAGGCGGAGAGCGAAGAAGGAGGCAGAAATGCTTGCGAGCACATCAGGAAATCTTGAGGGGCATAGCGATTCTATCCGGTCGTCAAGATGACGCGAATGCCACCGGTTCATTGTCGCGATGATTCTTGTTTGATAAGTAATCTTCATTGTAAAGCAGTATTACTCTAATACCTACCGGGAACATTCGTGGCACCATCAATGTCATTGAACACTCCGGCCGGCAGACTCTTCTACCCCAGTGCCAAGCCCTAACTAATTATAACCGGTGCGGGGGGCTCGGAAGCAAACCCGCTTCTGACCCCTGCTCTGCACCTGTGTGTTACGTCAACTCACCTAGTCGTTGTTCTGGATCGAGGCATCTCCTCTTATCCCCCTCATCTAGTCTAGCTCACCTGTCAACAGCGACCGGTGCATCCAATGTACCGGACGTGCCTTTATGTTACCAAGCGGCACAACAACAGTAAAACGACAGTCGCTAGAGACGCGTTCCACCTGCTTACTTCCTCAATTCTATTCGGCTGGCAATACATCGCTAGAATCCCTGGACATTCTGGTCAGGGCACGTGAGACATACCCTCGCACTGAAAATCGAAACTTCCACTGTTTCGCCTCCTCTTGCGCCCTTTCTTGAGGACGCGGAGACAGGGGCTAACTGTACTCACATCGAACATGGACGAGGCACGCGACCACCTCCTCATGATGGGTGGTTGTACTCATTCTCCCTCTTCGACTTCTGTTTCCCTTCCTTTTCTCTCCCTCGCTCTATCCCACCACCACGGCCGTTCAGAAACTCCCTCACTCATACTGTGACGAGGTGGCTTGCTTATCCTCGCATCACGTCGATTACACCACATTCTTTTTCCGATCTTTCATCATTTTCTTCGCAGAACGGTAAATGCTGCAAGATTGTGTGATCCACCACTCGAATCGTTATACCATGGCCGAAATCCAGCGCCCCTTGACAGCTGAAACTGTGCCACGTATCGGAAGAGCGCGATTGCTTCGCGCACTCACGGTGGGAAAACCGCGTGCGAAGGCTCCGCAGACGGTCAGAACGTTGGGGGAAGAGCATACCAGCCATGTTCAAGGATCAAGTACGAACGGTGACGCACTCTCCCACAACAAGCGAGTGCTGGTTCCTCCCACGCCTATTGCCAGCGATGCGGCATCTTTCAACAGTGCCGACGTGGAGAATGTTTCCCACATGTGAGTGGTTTTTTTCTCAGCCACCTGATCAAGTCACTAACGAGGCCAAATAGTTCTCCTGCACGTCCCGCAGACCGGGCTCCTTCGACGAAAGACTGCCCTCCTATCCCAACAGATTCTGCTTCAATGAAAACCAAGCAGGGCTCTTCACCTACTTTTTTGAAGCGCTTCAAGACACGGTTACGCAGTATGTCCCGCGGCAAAGATGAGGTTCCTGAAGCGAAGGTGGATGCACCGCCCATCCCCAATATGGGTGTACCAAAGAATCCCAGCATCACACTGGTTGTCCAAGCGCCTACCTCGAGACCTCATGGTCCAGTGCGTCGCATGTCGAAAGCAAGTTTACTCGCCGCTTTCAGTAACAAGTCGACGGCGTCCCTTGTCAAAAACGCATCTGCGGAAACACAAACGTCTGATAGCAAAGCACCCCCTCCATATCGCTCCGCTCTTTCCGATGCTGTGCCTCTCCCCGAGGGGAGAGGAGAGGAGGTTGCCCAAGGAAAGGACGTCGATCCCACTCTCGTGCCTCTTCCGGAGTCACCCATCATTTCATCATTGGAAGTCGATGGCATGATGGAGTCGCCTACACAGGAGAAGCATAATGAGTTGGAGTTGGGAGGCACCGTAACCAGCCGCCGCAAAATCATCTTGCAGGAATCTCCCGATATCATTCGCAGTCGTCAATCGCCAGAATCCCCGGTTAGCAAGCGTAGCGCGATACAGAGTGGCAGCAGATCGAGCAAGTTTTTTGTAGGAGATTCCGACGACGAGGAGGACGTGGAGGAGGTAAAACAGACGACATTGCCGTCGGATTCACCGCCCAGTAGCCAAAGTCCCGTATCACGAAGCGCAAGGATTGGCGGCTCGCCTGCCGAACGCCCTACAAGGCGTCCAACCAAACGTGGCACAGCTTCACCTACGGAAAGAGGTAAGACAAGGTTCTCCATGTGGAGGAAAGGGGCAGATGTGGCAGTACGTGATATTTCTAGATTCTTTATCGCCTCCTAATTCATCACAGGCTACTCTTTCTGATCTCCACCCGCACAAACGTGGTCCATCAATGGACAGCACATCCTCGAGAGATAGTAACAGTGCACGATACAGGGTGAGCCCTGTTAGTCCCACTATGTATAGTGGGGGCTTCGTACATCAGGAGGAGAGGATCAAGGACCCAGAAAGTAGGGCCCTGACCGAGATTGCATTCATGTAAGGCATTTGTGCTATCACGCTCTGCCTTAGTTTGGCAAATATTGACTCCATGAGCTGTTTCATAACCATTCACCGTCTGATGGAAACGATGCCGTATCGCCTATATTGTCAACCCGCAAAATGGCTGTGCATTGTCAAACATCGCCACCTATGCTCCCGTGGCGTTATTGTCCAAATAGTATCTGTGACAATTCACCCGTCCGTCCATCCGATCATTATTTTCATGCTCAGTCCAACCCGCTTGTGCACCGGCCCGTTCACCCTGGAGGTTTTGCGAGAACAAGCCGGCCATGAGGGGGCCGGTTAGTTGGCCCCTTCGAGGCATGGTGCGGATGTTCCGGTGAATATTCTGATCAACAGGCACGTGAACAATGACCTTTTCGTCTTGTTTTTCGCATGGTACTTCGCTTTTCAGCAATGCAGTTATGATGTGAAACGGTTGGACAGTGTTTCACATACTCGATCAGTGCCCAACTTGATCAAGAAGGTTGAGGTGGCGCGTTGATGACCGTCATCAATGCGATCAGTGAATGTCATCTCGGTCATGGCGTCCCAGTATATTAATCGTCTTGCTGAGCCGCCAGTCTCTCTTCCGCCCCTCAGAGACTGTCGAACACACTTACTGCGCACCCAGTCTTGTTCGTGAAGATGCTCGGCCTCGACGCTGCGACGATTGCGGGACTCTTTACCACATGCCTCCTCTATGGTTGTTGTCTTATTCGAGGCCTTTTGCGTTTCTGACGCCTTGACCTAGGCGTCTATCTAACTTTATTCGTTGGTTCATTGTACATCTTATTCTATCGACGTTCCGTGGGACAACAGAACCGAGTATTATTGGCTGCATCCATCATCCTATTCATCATCATCACGTTCATGTTGGGCTTAACGCTGTCCAACGTCCTTGATGCGTTCGTTTACTTAGGCCAAGCCGATCCGATAGCATTTTTGGAGGTGCCCTTCTACTGGAAAAGCTTAACCCTTCAAATACTTGGGCTGTTTATCTGTCTGTTTGCAGATGCCATACTGGTACGCAGAAGTCAGCAGGGACAAAAAATGGTTTCTCATCTCTGGTATCGGTAGATCTATCGAGGCTGGTTGATATGGGGCCAGAGCTGGACAGCCATCGCCTTACCTGTTGTCATGTTTATGACCAGTATTGGTGAGGAAGACATCCTAGGATCTTGTTTGGTGCTCAATCGATCTTCAGCCGTGTTCATATTCATTGTGGTCGAACTGACCCGAACTGCAACGTACTTGCCATCTGACGCACTCAAGTTATATCACGGCCTCGACGCTTTCATCGTTCTCACTATGGTGCAGAATGTTACTGTCACCAGTATGATCGCCTACAGGCTATGGCGAATGGATGCAGCAACTGCCACCTATCGGAGTTTCACAGGCTTACTCCCTATTGTGTGGATCATGGTAGAATCCGGACTCCTATACACGGCGACTCTTCTGGTATTTTTGGTTGTCAACTTTGTCGCCCCTTGGGTATCAGTCATCATGTCTGCAATTGTACGCATCCAATTCCGCCTCCCCTCACATGCAAAATCTCACTATTGCTCACTGCAGTTGTGTGGGACAATTGTGCATGATCACCACTTACTTCGACTGTTACTGACCAACTGCAGGGCATCACGTTCTCATCCATCATTGTCCGTTGCGGTATCTCATCGTGGAAACGATCAATTCGTTCGGATGACGAATCCCACAACATGCAGCCTATCCCTATTAACATCAGTCGACGGACCGAGGTGGATGTCATGAAAGAAGCAAATGTTAGCATGGGTACCCGTACGGCGTCAACGGACAGTCTCCCAAAGCGAGACCCGGCCTCAAAGGATAGTAAATTCGGTCAATATTCCGTTTAGCCCCGAATCTTGACGTCCTTGTGTACGAAAGCCGTGGCTAGTGGTTGATCGAGAATGTTACATTCCCTTCGTTTTTTTTGGGGGGGGTCTCAAATGATCGCATGGGTTACAACGGGCCAGAGTACCAAAGCCTAGTCATTTCACACTGTCCTGCACGAGTGCCGATGAGATCAGACACCTAACGGAGTTGTCCCTCCCTCTTATTCTATTACTCTCTTGGGCTGGCCATCCAAGAAGGCGAGGATGTTTTCAACGGTATCCCGGAAGAAGACCTGTTCATCATGAAAGATGTACGTCATTGTGCCAGCAAATAACTCACAGCATAGTTGCTATCTGCAACGTAACCCATGTGAGGGGAAAGTACGACGTTGTCCAGCTTTCGAACAGGATGCTCGAGGGGGAGAGGTTCTTCGTCGTACACATCGAGGGCAGCTCCAGCTATTTTCTTTTGTTCCAGAGCTTCAAGCAATGCAGCTTCATTCACCAGAGGGCCCCGTGAAGTGTTGACAAGTAGCGCACTTGGTTTCATGTGTGAAAATGATTCCCGGTTGATGAGGTTGCGCGTGGAAGGTGACAAGACCATATGAATCGAGATAATGTCCGACTGCTCCAACAGTTCATTCAGAGAAGGGACATAAGTCACAGGCACAGGTAACGCTGCCACTCGTTTTGGGGTCAAATTAGGGCTCCAGGCACTGATTTTCATGCCAAAGAGATTCGCGATCTGGACAGGCGGGCATGTCAGGCTTTGCGACAATGCACTCTTTTGGTAACTGCGTACCTCAGCTACTTTTGTGCCCAGTTTACCCACACCAATGAGACCAAGCGTCCTTCCGAATAATCCTAGTGGAAGGGAACCTGTCTGCCATGGAACGCCTCCATTGGCGACATGGAAGTGATCGCGGGGTATGTTGCGAGCAGCAGCAAGAAGCAGGGCCCATGTGTGTTCCACTGTTGAATTGCCGTAGCTCTGAGTGCCGCAAACCATTATATTGTTCGCTTTGCACGCTGCCAGGTCAAATGCTTGCTTCATGTGTCAGCCTTGACTATGACCAAACACACGACAGCATACCAGCGTTCCTTGCGGCGGTTGTAATTAACAGCTTTAGGTTGGGGAGATTGTTGAGTATTTCAGCCGGAAACTTGGTCCTTTCCCTCATGGCACATATCACGTTGTACGGTTTGAGGCGTTCGATGAGCTTTTCAGGTTGGTTCGTTGGGATGGTGTTATCAAAAACATCGATCTGAGCCTGAGCTTTCAAAGGGGACCAATCCGCTGACTGGAGCGCGACATGTTGGTAGTCGTCTAGGACTGCAACTCGGATTGGAGAGTCCATACTGCGGTGGACGTGTTGATTTGGATAGATGAGGAGCCAAGAAGAACTAAACGCTCGCAGCATTTTAACTCCAAGAGAAGTCCATGTATTTGGCTGTATGGAGACACGGCCGATCAGGGCCGACGCCCACAAAACGCGGCCCGGTATCTTTCCGGCGCTCCGCTTGAGAGCAAGGGCATTCATCTGTTCTTCATGTCTGTATGTCTCCACTCCTATTTCCACCCATCACACGATCGCAAGTTCTGGCGTGTCAAGTTTCTTCCTGGTATCCAATATTCGCTTCCATCACCATCAAAACCATCATTATCCGACCGCTGAGTTCCGGGTTTCGTGATTATCTTCTTGCGGATGGCGTTTATATACCGACGGGCGCAGAGGATAGGTACGAGATCCATGGTGGATGTCTGTGGTACACCTGCTGAGCTGACACGTTTTCTCAGAACATATCTATCAAATGAGGAGTCAGACGAGGATGACGAAGGTCCATCTTACACTTTCCCCGAACTCGATGCCCAGATTCGTCAAGCCATTGCCTTGTTTGGTGCAGTGTTCCCCAAGCTAAATTGGAGCTCTCCCAAAGTTAGCTCCTTTCTGGCTTCCAATGGCTGCATGCATTCACAGCAGTATGTAGGACGCAGCATGGATGCTCCCCAGATCCTCACCTCTAAAGTGTACCTCGCCAGCCGATGTGTATCTGCTCCTGAAGTCATCTGACTTCGTTAATTTTGACCTCGATCCTGTCATCGTGTTTGAGGGTTGCGAAGCTGACCAAGAAGGGAAATCAATGAATTATGAGCTTGAATTATCGCTGCGAAAATGGTACACCTTTGATACAAGTCGAGAATTCCGTTGTTTCGTTCGAGATAATGTTCTACTGGGTGCGTTAGTTATCTGACCCGTTTCGCTGATGCGCCATGATCTTTTATTCATTGTAATCATGCAGGTATATCACAACGGGATCCAAATTACTATAACTTCCTCAACAGTTCCGAAATACAAGTGACCGTCCGTAACACAATTGAGCGCTTATGGCGAGAAAATTTAATGATGAAATGCCCAGTTGGATCGCACTGTGAGCCCCAACTTTTTGCCACCCTGACGCTCGATAAACGATGCTTCTTCAGATGTGTTCGACGTACTTCTTACACGCGATTTTCGTCGGGCACACTTGATCGACATCAATCCCTTTGCGCGTCGCACCGATCCGCTGCTCTTCACATACCAAGAGCTTCTTGATCTTGCCATGGGTGCATCATATCCGCCAAAAATTGCCGTCGTCAATTCACAAGGCCACGCAGAGGCTACCCGAAACGCCCCAGCATACCAACACAACATGTTACCTTTTGAAGCGCTACACTTTTCTGCTGGGCGAACACCGGAGAATTTCAGTGACGCACTTGCTGCAGAGATTATTGCAAGCCAGAAAGAGCACGACGGACGATTACTCTAGACCAAATCAGATAAAAAGGGGAGTACGGGGGTTGTTCAATAGATTGCAAAAGAGCTATCTGATCTCGAAAAATTGTCTAAGCGTGGATGCCAGGACATCCGGAAGGGATTGAACATCTCTGAGAACGATGTAATATGTGAATGGGAACGTGTCCATATATCTGGTCATTTTGATTTCCATGCGTCCATCAACTTCCATGTAAGCGCCCTGCATCATGGACATAATTGAGTTTTCGTTGAGCTGCAGCTTCTGCCCGTGCAAGGAATCAAGCACAATGAAGACAATGACGATCTTTTCTTCTTCTGCTCTCCGAACCAGCGATCGCAAGCGCTCATGGCCTTGGCATACGCCATCGGATATGATGATCTCGAGTTGCCACAAATCGTTGGCAATGACCGATTGTTGCGTTGAGCGTACACGAGCTTTGCAGAGCATTGCAATGCTCTCCTCCAACAGATTATGCACATTGGTGCCAGTCTGCAAGAAGCCGAAGCGAGACAGCATGTATTCCCCAACGTGTTCTGTCACGGGCCCTTGTTCAAATCCGTGAACGATTTCTACATCTTCCCCGAAACGAATGACCCCAACATCGCCCACTTCCAGTTTCCCCAAAGCAGTTGTCACCAAGGCAAGAGTGTGAAACGCGAGAGATATCGATTTAGATTCGGCCATCGAGCGGGAATCATCCAGCGCAATCAACACCTGATATTCTCTTCGGCTGGGTTTGGTGCGTCGTAGCCATATTTTGTCTTTGGTGAAGTCACTCGCGATGTATGGGATGATCCTCTTCATGTTCAAACGCTTGCCGGTTTTATAATCGCCCTGAAGCCGAGTGGCACGCGTGGGCTCGAGAATAAGTCGGAGCTGCTCACACAAAGAGAATGCCAGATCATGTGTTGCATCAACGTATGTTGGCCAGTGTCCTGAGAAGACGGCTCCTTCGTTCAGCTGGCCTTTGAAAGTGGGGATAACCTGGTCACCAGGAGCAGACCGAAGTGGTGCAGGGTCAATATCCGGTTCGTTCTCACACTCATTGTCGCTGATGCCCTGATCCTGGGCTGGCCAAAGTTCGCGTCCGCCGTCGACCAACATCTCATCAGGATCCACGTGCATCAGAGGCTCGGCGTGTTCTGTTACATCTTGCGAGTGGATATCAATCTCGATATCATCCTCCAGGTTCAGTTGCTCGAAAGGAATGCCCTCGTCCTGACGTCGTGATCCAAGCGCTTGTTGGTCTGATACCCTCTCATCCTTCTCGTGCGCCCATTCAAGCGGACCGGAGCTAGATATATCCTGGAATTCGGCTCGCTGAATTGGGGTTTGAAATTCCCTGTACGTGCGAAGTGCTGGCTGGCTTGTGTCACCAGTTTGACGCTCGTCGTTGCTCGTCTGATCCGCTCCGGAAGGCTTGCCGTCTTCTTCAGCTCCATATGACTGCGGGACTGAATCTTTCTGAGCCGGCCGCTGATTGTTGCAGCCTTCTTGCGGGACGGATAAAGATGCGGAGGAAACAGCGTGAGCCTCTGCGCCATCCTCCAGCTCTACTTGTTCTCCGCGAGATGTAGCAGGTCCTACATGCATATCGGTGTTTGCCGAATCTAGGCTATCTTCGGAGGTACCGGGAAATCCTGTCTGAGCTCCTGCTCCCTTCCCGTGATCTGCTTCACCTGCAGTACCTATTTCTGGAACTTGCGCAGAGTGATCCTCAGAAACCGCGTCCTCGGAACCACCCTTATCGAATGGCATGTCCTCGATTTGGGATATTGACAGATGGGTTCCATCGGACTCACTTCGTGCATCATCGGCGGCTACGTCTTCATCGGCAACGCCAGTCTCGGTCACAGATGCCTGATCTTGCTCTAGATTCAGCTCCTCAGGAAGGTCGAGAGCATCTCCCAAAGGTATGTCATTGTGGTCTAATGACCCATTCATTCCGTCTTCGTTATTGGCAGCATCATCGTAGTCCTGTTGCTGGAGATCTGGCATAGTAGTACCGTCGTCCGGTGACAGACTAGGCTGCCTATCGTGATTGTCCCGATCATCTGGCTCACGCTGAGCGCCAATGTTATCATTGGGGGCCGAATGATTGGGGGCTTTCCGAGGAAGTTGATCATCATCGGCTTTGGTTTGCGTGTTCTTATCACCCCAGATCTTCTCATCCAAAACGGAAGGATCCATCCGATCCAAACCACCAACAGTCTCATCAAGGTCCGAATCAGGTCGTTCAGAATCTGAATCGTTATCCTCACCCTCAGAAGACATCATCACATCATTGAGGGCGCCCTCAAAATCTTGTTCCATCTCGAAGGCATCGCTCTCGTGTGCTTGTTCCTCGCCCTGTTCAGCAGTGCCATGCACAGGAGTATTCCTTTGAGTTCCTTCTACTTGACTTTCATCTTCAACCTCGGCAGACGCATCTTCAGCACCAGTTCCCTCTCCGATCCCCGTTCCCTCAGGTTCCGCTCTCGAATTGGCTGTTGCTTCATGAGCTGGGTCTTCCTGGGGTCCGCAAAAGCCCTTTAAAGCAATAGATCTGATCACATTATGTAGCACATATGCAAGCTTGAAAGTAGCCTTGTTATGTCGAGCGGCCTCCCATATGGCCAGGGATGTCATCTGCAAATATTCCTCCAGAAAGGGCATTGCTTGTCTCAATGGGTCGAGGGTTGAATCCAAGTGCCCTGTTACTGAGAGCAGCGAGAATAAGGTCTGCTGAATCTTCGCCAGCTGGAACAAGTCAACGATGTGCTTGAGGTTCTGGAATATCGTCTGGACACCGCCAGAAGCATCACCACGTGGCTCATCAGCATGTTGCGCTAGTTGCTGGGCGGTGAGGAGTACATCTGCAATTATCTCACTGCTCAGAGCTTGCGATGTGGTCGCCTCAGACTGAACAGATGCGGTCTGGCTTTCGATATCGTGAAGTGCGCAAAGAGAAGCGCTCAGCCACTGCTCAGCTGGCTCAATCATGGTTGCGTATTCGGGGTATTCCTTCCACATCCTCTTGAGGAGGGTACATGTCTCGAGCATCGCTACCCGAGCCGCTTCACAGTCAGAGATCTCATCTGCCACGTGTCTCAGAATTTTTTATGCTCTAAGCCTAAGAAATGACACTTACCACTGAGCAAAATCGCAGGTACTGTCCTTATCATGGCCTTAGAAATCGAAGTGAGACGCTGCACCAGAAGTTCATGGGCTTCAGCAAGCGCAAGAACCCGATGCTGTACAACAGGTTCTCCCGTCCGCGGGAGGCAAACCCTGTTCAGGAGGTGCATGCCTTTCAGGATTTCTCGCAGCACCGAAAGTACATCGTCTGCCACAGTAGACAGAGAACGGACGTAGTGTTCCGCCGGTTTTCCACACCTTATGTACGCCTTTGAATGAGATGAGATGGTTGTGGTTAAGCGGGAGAGGACCCTCTGTATATTACGATGCGTGTGATACGTTTGTGCCAGTCTGCCTGATTGTCAGCGTTGATGTAGAAAAGGCCATTGAAAGGGACTTACAGACGTCGTCCTTTCAGTCCCTGATCAAACGTAGATTCGGCAAAGCCTATTGCGCGTTCCAGATCTCGAGTAGATATGTCTTTGTGATGCTTGCTCAATACGTTGCGCAACAGTGGAATCATTCCGCACAATCTATAGAAGTATGTGTCGGTCTTCCGGAGCAACTCCACCGTGGGATCGCATGACTCTTCTGAGCCGACAACATCACAGTATGCTAGAAGGTGATGCCTTTGTTTCTGGATTTCGAGCACTCTGGTGGACAAGCGTGATGAGAGCCCCAATGATTTCAGGGCCTTTAATGCGTCATAACACGCTTTGCGTTTTCGAGCAACTAGAGCCTTCTTCGTCGCTTCGCCGACGGCAGTGGAGGTCTCCGCCACGAACTCCTCCATAGTGCCGATCAGCGTGGAGCTTAGCTGCTCAACATGTGTTGATGAGTGTTGGCTGATGAAGTTGCTCAGACATGATGACCTCAACGTTCGCAGACGTGCGATCAATGTAGATAACTGAAGAATCGAGGTCCCGCCCATCGTCAGAGCACCATTTGGTATGTACAGCTGAGGTTCTGAGTGCTTGCTGAGCACCCTTGGTTCCTCTTCGGAGATTTCCCCGGAGTTTTTGTGGTTTTGATCGAATATAGACATCATTGAAGTCACTGGCTGTCGCAATATTTTTCTGAACTTCCGAACAGTTTGATAGAGATGTCGATGCGTTTTCTTGGCACTTTGCTTGAGAGCGTCCACATTCACATCCTTCCAACTTGCCAACTGAACAAAGTTGCGGATATCATCTTCTAAAGGCTTCCTCTCCTTCAGCATGGACTCCTGAACAGTATTGCGAAACTGCTCGTAGTATACTGCAAGAGACCCCACGAGAACAGCTGCTTCGGTATATCGGAACTGCGTGTGGGCAATGCGCTTGAGGTAGACGCCAAACGAAGCAATGAGATCCAGTCGTGCCTCGAACTGTCCTGCGGGACTGTTTGTAAGAAAATCGTCCAAGAGAGAGCACAGCTCCTTTAGATCCACTTGACCATTGAAACCAGTAGAGGGCCTGGTCACAGCTCCATAAATCAGGAACCACCATTGTGACGTTTCCCGGGAGAATAACCGCTCTTCAGAATCAAGAAGCGTCGCCCAGCACGCTAATTCCATTCTTCTCCATTCAACGATCAACGAAACAAGCCTTTTCTGGAAAGCTAATAAGGAGTTTTCGCGATTGGCAAACTCCTCCCATGCACCGATATGATGGACGAGGCTTTCGAGACTCGGCAATATCCGAGCCAGAGAAGATTCTAATGACTGAGCGAGCACTGTTCTGCAGCGAGGCTGAATCTCGCGGAGCAGCGCTTGTTCTGGCCATAGGGGCAAAAGGTGAACCAGCCTTGCATCGAGCTCCGACAGTATTAGGAAAACCTTCTCCAGCTCGGGTATATTCTTGCCCCAGTAGAAATCGCTGTTTCTTGAATGTACATGCTCGTCATACGACAGGCTCGACAACGCGTCGTTCAGATAGTTGAGCCTGAACAGTTGGCTCCCTGCATCCAGGGCATCGGGAAGCTGACAAAAATCGATACCAGCCAGCTGCTCTGAATGAATCTCGGCCACAAGAGTTTTGACAACATCCACAGCCATGGTGGAGGCATGTTTCGAGCTGGCAAAAAGAATTTGGTGGATCGTCCATATTCGAAGACTGGTATTCGTTCCCCAGCCTGACGCGTGAAAATGTGAGGTGGAGCCAGCTTCTGGTTTCAGGAAAACATCCACTTCGAAGTCAGGAAAGAGCAAGTGGAGTTCCCTTTCCATTGTTTGCTCCTCTGATTCATCGTGGTTGATTTCATTTTCTGATCGATAACGGTACAAACTTTGTTTGTTCAAACGTTCGGCTTCGTTTTTGTCTTGTTGGTCTGACCAACGGGAGTAGAGCAGTTCATATAACGGCTCGATGAGATCGATGTCTGGTTGTAATAGTGGATGGAGATAGCTCCTCGTGGCCATGAGGCATATAGTCAAGAGGATGTCGTTTGTCACGAGCAAGTTGGGTGGAACATGAGGAATACGACGGGATCCATCGCAGACCCGAGATATTGTTGCTGCTGCAGGGAATTGGGTCAATAAAAGGGGAGTCGTCACCGGGGCCGTCCCCGTCTTTGTCTCCTCCAGCGTTGCAACCCGTGAGGCAAGCTTGATGCCGACTTGCAGCGAACGCATGCACAAAATGGCCCCAAACACAAGATCGAATAGGGGTGCATACACCTCGCGAATTCTTTGCACAAACGCATCGATTGAATGATCGATCACCTCTGCCATGCGCAATGTTTGAGGTCCCGCAGCTTCTTCTGTCAAGTCGTGGAGGAGTCGATCTACCCGTGTTGTATCTAGAACTTGCTGCATGAACTGCTCGATCTCGCCGAAAAAGGCGTTGATAATGTTTGGATCGGAGGAGCGAGTGATAGGTGGAGGATCGATTGCTGCGAGGTCCTGTTCTGTCTTGCTTAGTCTTTGCATGAGACTATCGATCCGCGAATTGGTGCCATGTCCATTAGCAAACCATTCGCTCCGTCGGTGGAGTCCCAACTGTGCTCTTAGTGTTTTCATACGTTCCTCCAGGAATTCCATTTGGGAGGTGATATTGACCAGAGGGTCGGTGGGTTTATCTGGCAAATACAACTCTCGTAATCCCCGGGAAAGGGCGACCCAAGCCTTCGCTAAGTGAAGGAGATTCGCTGAGTCTGAGCTTGGCAGTCGGAAAAGTGGCGAAATTGCCGGCTGAATGAAGGATGCAAGGACATTGAAGAGCTTGCCATTGCCGGTCTGCTGGAGAGCATCGAGCCATGCTTTGCCGCGGCTCTCAAGAGACCCTCCCAGAGAGGAAAACCGAAGAGCATCAAGGAGGTCACGATGCTGTGGAGACGCAACTCCACCACACAACTATCGCCCGACGGGAGTAAGCGATGTTTTACGGAAAGTTACATAAATATTTCACTCACAAACTGAATGAAGGCCACGATGACTTGTCGCATTTGATTTGAACGGCTCGGGGGATTTGAGAGGGTGACAAGTGCAACAGCTTTCACCCGCTTCTCTAATGCTGCCTTCACCTTCTTCAGGGATGCGATTGTGCATGGCTCTGCCCTGCTCCGAATGAGTTCATCGTAGTGTGCCCGACATATGCGACTCACGAAGCCTTGACCGTATTATGGAGTTCGATCGAGCTAAACACAAGAGCTGGGTTGAGATCGCGCTGATTATGAATGAGCTGATACACATCAAACTTGGGCATATGACATACTTGATGTTCGCGACCGGTCCAAAAGGCTTTCAATGAGTCGAGCCATTGGAATATCAGATGCGGTATATAGGAGAAGTTCGGTATTGTGTCTTCAAGCACTCTATCAGTAAAGGGCGGATCCATTTAGAACGGACGACGCACTGCGATGGTAACACGTGAAGACATTTGTCCACGTGAACAACTGCGAGATTGGGTCACTCCTACTGTTGAATGGGAAGTCTACATTTATAAGAGACGTGCCCTGTGTGTATTGTCATCTAGAAGGGATGCATATAAGAAGGAAAAAAAAATCACCTCAGAGTTAGGGAACAAGGCAACGTATTCCAGGGCAGAGAGGACGACAGTCCATGTGTCACAGACTTCGTAGCGGTCGCTACCAGGCACCTATGTACAATTTTCCATTAGCAGCAGTATGGGATGACAGTGAGCTTACTAACATCTTCCTCCTGCCTCAATGAATTTGTGTCATCTACCTGTTTGTACCCGAAGACGTCGTGACTATTTGGGCGTCCAAGACTCATTTCCCGCGGACCATCCCGCATAGAAGACACTTCGGCTCCCTCAGCTCGGCGATCTGCACTTGATACATCTGAATGGAGGAAAGGAGAGCACTCAATGCCATAACTGAAGCCTGTTCGCGCAAATCCATTCCACAAGCTAAACCACAGTGCGAACATCCCAGTACCCCTGTGCAACCGAACGCTGTTCTCCACAAAAAGCAGAGTCCTCGACGTATTAGCAAAGGCTGGGTTCGACATGAGTGCATTGTGCCTCAACCATCCAGTGATAACGGCAATGACGGAATAATTTGCTGCTGTGTTTAATAATGCTATTTGCAGCGCGTGGATGAAATCCACCAAATCCAGGAGGAGCTGGGTGACTTCCTGGTCGAATGTCAGCATAGAATGTCAGTATAAGAAAGTAGGCAGATAGCTGGCAGCACCTTCGTATCGGAAAAGGATCGAATATCAGTTAAGCACAACCGCACAAAGGAAAGCACATCGTCAATGGCCGTCACTGACAGCTGGGCCGCACTCCGCATGAATAGCGCTCCTGGAGTGGTGCTAGACGATTGCAAGAGCTTAGTCACGACATGATTATCTTCCGTCTGGGAAGTCGTGGACACCATTAAAGGGACAATATCGGAGCAAAATGTCTCCCTTTCAAGTGCCAGAGTAGAAAGCAAGTCGTCGAAGATCGGATTTAGAGCAGGGTCAAATGGCTGCCAATACAGATCAGAGACAATCATGGACGAACACATCTCTTCACTTACCAGATTCGCGATGAAAGAGGAGGACAAAGACAATTTAGTAGCAAGCACAAGTCTGTCTCGACTCATGAAATCTTCAACGAAGGACGGATAAGGCACGAGGTCACGTGTGTTGCCGGGTTGCAACAGAACACACATGCGTCGGAAGAGAGAGTGAGAGTCGCGCCGTGTAGCTTGCCCCAAGTATACTACCCGAGCTCGAACTTCTCCAGAGATGCTGAGAGCATCGATGGGAAGGATTTGTCGGGCTAATTTGCTGTGGGTGATCGCAAGTGAATCGTACAGAAACAAAGTAGCTGGGAGCCGGCTTTCTCCATCAGCAGGGGCCAAAAGCAAGCCCAAACGCAATCTCTTCCCTTGTAGAACGAAGCTGAAATTTTCCTCTGTTGTAGGAAGCGTGGGCAGACATCGAACAACGTGTTGAATCCGAGAACGATCTCTTTCTTCGTCGAATGGCGAGCGAACGAATATCTCCACCCCACGGTTACGCATCGCCCGTGACAACTCCCCGTACTGCGGGTCAATAACCATGATGATACGAAATTCCGGATGAGGCTGTATCTCCTGGACACTTCCATCAACCAGCCCGCGCTCGTTGAGAAGGAGTTTGCCGTTGTTCTCCAGCACAGAATTGAGCCGGTCCAAAACTGCTGAGTTGCAAAGATTTGCATTGTCTATCATGAGCCAGTGCCCTTCACGCATGGCGCGGACTACGGGTCCATCGATCCACTTGAATCGGCCCTTATAATTCGTGGGTGTGGATTCTTGCTGTAGATCCTGAATAAGTTTCTCCACCACGGGATCTGCGCGGCGCTCAGAAAGCCATGAAACCATCTGGAAACAATGCGCAACGATCGTAGAGAACCTACGATCGGCGATGGGGCCTCCGTCGGACCTTAGGATCACTTGGAGTTCGTTGCACATGTCTTCTACGAAAAGACGATCATGGGGATGACTTACGACGTGCTCGCGAAGCAAGGCTTGAGTTCTTGAGCTGAGATCGAGACACTCCGCTTCGAGGGTCCATTGTTCATATCCACCGAGCAGGTCGCCGGCATCTGAAGCCGAATTTATACTGAGATCATGCAGCGGAACCCCGGATGCGCGTGCCAGTAAACGTATCAGGGTTGACTTTCCGGAATTGCGATCGCCTGTGAGAATGACCATCCAAGCTTGGCGAACAGCGGTTGCGACATGCTCGAGGACTTCCATCTGAGTGTCTAGGATAGCAAACATGTTGTCAGAAGAGCTGAAAGCCAGCCTTGGAAATACAACGTGGCCAAATTGAACATGGCGCTCTGTAGACTCAAACCAGCGACGTCCAGCTACGTGTTGCAATCCTTCCTTCCCAAATATGTCCGCAAATATGTCAGTCATACGCTCTACATCGCCGAGTGCTCTCAGTCGAGCGAGATAGATCAAGCGGAAAGAACGCCGGCAAGCTATGTCCAAAGATCCAGAGGGCAGACTGTGTTGGTATAGCCCCAGCCATCGAAGCAAGTCGCGAAGATTGAAGTCCCATGGCGCGCCCTGGCTGCTGAAACTCCCGTTTGCGATCTCTTGAGATACGATTCGATTGAAACGTATCAATCGCTCTAAGTGGTCAACTGACACCTCGGGGTAAAGATGATGGCAAATAGCATGATAATCGGAATCGGTTAGCTCTGATATATAAACTTGAGTGAATCGATTGAGGAATGATTTTGGAAGACCTTTGCGATCACCGCCTTGTTGGAGAGGATTCTGAGCAGCAAATACCCGGAAATCAGGGTGACAATGAAACGTCCTTCCGAGCTCTGGAATGTAAGCCTGTCCACGATAATCCAGCACGGCATTAAGTCCTTCAAGCACAGGTTGCGGGGCCAGGTTCATTTCATCCAGTAGTACCCACTCGCCAAGCTCCATAGCTCGAAGAAACGAGGCACTCTTCCAGCCGAATTCCCCAGAATGACCTCCCTCAATTGGAAGATCCGAACCAAACAAATCGGTAAGCTCTGTTTGGTCGGAAAGATTGATGCGACAGAGACTGCGGCCAGCTGCCATGGCTAGCGCGATTATCAGACTCGTCTTGCCAACACCGGGACTGCCTTCGAGAAGGATCGGCTTGGGCAGCTGTGCTGCTCTGAGGAGTCGCATCGCATTCTCCTGCGTTGTGGGAGCGACGAAGCTGAAGGCCGTTGAAGAGGACAGCAACGGTCCTTTTAACAATCCAAAACACCCGATCCGAAATTCTCGGAAATCGTCGTTCAAAACAGGTGTGAAGGTTGCTAAGTCACTCGGGCGCAGTGGCACTAGTTCCTGCAGCTTGTCCATTGTGGTGGCAATGGATGCATACGGCTTGGGGCCTTGATTTCGGGCACCCTCGGAGAAACCCAGCGCATCTACAAACGTCATGCGAGCTGCGTGATGCTGTGTGCTCGTGAGCGGCCGGCCACATGCAAGGAGGGAAACACCTACAAACAAAGCTGCCAATGATAGCCGAGTGTCTCTCTCTAGGGTGAGCTTGTTCATAAACTGGATCCACGCCTTTGAAATCATCGGCTTAGCAGCAGGAAAACAGAGACAAGCTTCAACATACCAAAATGTCTCTCAACCCGAACCTGTGCTTCACATCAAATGACCTCTCAATCCACTCCCAAAAGCTCAACAGTGCATCTGTATAGACATCGAGCTCGGAACTCGCCCAGCTGCGAGCAATAATGAGACGACGATCAAGGTGATTGTCTAGATTGGGCACATAGATCTCGGTAAATCGATTACGAAGGGCGGGAGAGAGTTCTTTCTTCCCATAGTCCCCCCCAGGGTTCATGGTTGCCAGAAATTGGAAATCCACGTGGGCTTGAACAGTCAAATTTTCGATGTCCCCGCCACCCATTTCTGCTAGAACCAATGTTCGAGAAGGTTCCAACACACTGTTCAAGCGCTCAAGAACAGAATCATCGGCCAAAGATATCTCATCAAGTAAGAAAAAGCCTCCACGTCGCATGGCCTCAAGCAATGGACCATCTTTCCACTCTACCCAAGAGTCGAAATACAGTAGCTCCTGGGTGATTTGCGAAAGCATGGAAGCAACTCCGGAAGGCAGATCAGATTGACGCTGCATAGATTGGATGGTCTCTCGAAGATTCTCCGAGTTTAGAGAACCATATTGGGACGCACTGTATCCAGCTTCCTCCATCTGGACTCTGAGTTCAGTCATCATTCGGTCACGTCGGAGTGTTTTGTCTCGTATGGGTCGGAGGCCACCTATCAGGTCGCTTGTCTCCGTGTTCAAATGACAATTGACCGTATAAAGAGGTCTGCCAAAAACAGAAGCCAGTAGATCACAGACGGTTGTCTTCCCGGTCCCTGTTTCACCGACCAAAAGGACAGGCTCACTGTGACGAACAGCTTCACTCAGAAGAGTCCAAAGCCTCTGCGTAGCTGATGTCAGAACCAGTCGTTGGGTGACGAAGGGTGTACTTGAAGGAGGTCCGTAGAGCAAGGAGGGCACTATTGTCACTCTAAGCACCTCTTCCAAGACTTGTTTCACGACATCCTTGTCGTCTGCGTGTCTTGTTCGCTCCGCCAACAACATGAAGCCATGCTCCGCCAGCTCCTGCACGCTGGAAGCACCACGATCGGCCCAACGGAAGAGATCTCGCAGAGTTGCAAAACTCTGTTTTGTTTCAAAGATTCGGCTGGCCTGACGACGTCGCTGAAGCTCTTTGAACACAGAAACGATACGCTGGGCGTAGGAGGGGGGGATCTTGCTCCTTTGGCACAAGATGATTTCCAGTTCTTCTTCCGGTACATCATCGAAGTGCATTTCAACGAATCGATTGCGAAAAGCCCGAGAAAGGGGCTTGCGGCCTGCGTATAAGCCTGGTGGGTTTTGGGTGGCAAACAAAACGAAATGCGGATGAGGATGTACGACTTCGCCTGTTTCAGGAATAATCAGTTCTCGATTATCGTCCAGCAGTCGATTCAGTGCCTCTAATACGTCACTAGGGGCCAGATTCAGTTCATCCAAAACGATCCAGTCGCCTTGGCGCAAGGCACGGATCAAGAGTCCATCCTTGTAAATGAGCTTCCCGGAGGAAGCGTCCGAAACATAACTGCCCAGGTACTCCTGAATGTCGGTATGTTCATGATTGTTGATCCGAACAAATCTATGGCCTGTTCTCCGGGCTAGATATTCTATGGAGCTCGTCTTTCCGCTCGATGTTGGTCCTTGTATCAGAACAGGCAGCCCCTTTGCGCTCACAATTCGCGCCAGGTCCCCAAGTTTCGCCCGAACAGAAGGGGTTAGAATATAACCTCCGTCGATCTCAGGAATCGGGACAGGTCCCTTCTCTACATAGAAGGGCAGAAATTCATCTGTATAGGATGGTCCAGGTATGGTTGGAACTTGGCGCAGAAGTGACTTCGGATTTTTCAGCCTTCCCAGTAAACTGTCTTCCATTGCTTGGCGAACTACCCTGGAACTCGTTTGGTCAAGGCTCATTGCGAAGCACATCAGAAACCCCTCCCAAAGTGCGCGGCGCAAGCCGAAGATTTGATTTTGATCGGCAGCGTAAGTCATTGCTCGTGTAAGAGTCCTCATGTTATAATGTGGAGCCTGGTTGGTACCGTCAGCCAGGTTGCCATTTAATACCATATCTTTGATTTTGAGATATAGTTCAGCAACATCCAGGAGACATGATCGGTCACCCAGTGCGTGTCCGCCAAGATACTGCTCCACCACGGCAAGCAGCACACCCTTGTCAGTCTCTGGCGGTGGAACGAAGATCTCCGTGAAGTGCTTTCGAAGTCGGTGAGGTAGGTCTCTCTTGCCAACATCAGTGGCAGGATTCATACAGGCGAAGAGTCGGAAATCCACATGACGAGGAACTGGCTCCAGTTCGCCCTTCTCCGTGAGCGTGAGAGAGCCAGTTGGTCCCTCGAGGATGCTAAGAATGCTCTCGAGCACCTCGGGCGACGCTAAATTTATCTCGTCTAGAAGAATCCTGTAGACGGGAGCATCGTAGTTAGGACAACCCAATGTCAACCAGTATGCAAGACTGTTCTCACCATTCACCGCTCCTCAATGCTCTCACTAGTGGTCCTTCTACGAAGGAAAACACAAACCGGGCGTTCGGATCAAGATGTTGAATTTCAAACGCATTTACATCTGCCACAAACTCTGTCCATAGGCTTGCAGAATCGGATGCCTCTTGATCAAATATTTTGTCAACTCTTCGTCGCTTCTTTGGCTTTGAAGATTCCTGCCCTTGGTGCGAGCTGAAGACACTTACTAATCAGTTTCGGCAGGGAAGCGGTGACGAACATAGATACATACTCATTGTCACCTTCGGCCTCCTTCCGGCTGACTCGCTCAAGTGCAAGCCTGGCTGACTCTCGCCAGAGACTGCAAAGGCGCAGCCACCTACCTTGAAAAAAGGCCTTGCGCACGGAGTCAACAAAATCGGAATTTCGCTTTCGGCTGAATGTACTTGAAAAAATATCCATGTAGCGACCCTGCAGCGTAATAGCGGGCAAACGAGGATCAATTGGCTTTAGCCCGCCGACTATGTCCACCGTCTCCGTCTGTGTCGATAAATTCAGTGCGATCAAGGAGTGGCCGAACATAGAAGCAAGGTGTTGAACGACGGTGGTTTTGCCAGTTCCTGTCTCTCCGACCAACAAGACCGCCTCCATTGCAGACACTGCAACAGCCAGCTGTTCGAGCAGTCGCAGTGAATGTCGATGAAAAGCAAATGGTCGGTGGGACTTTAGGACAACATGACGATGAATCCGTTGAGTAGAAACTCGACCAATAACAAGGGCGGTTGAACCATCCAGTGCAGAAGACTGAAGCTCCGGAATACGCTGAGAAAGCACCCATTGAATGCGTTCGCTAGATAGGCCTAAACAAGCTGCAATCGTGTCGATAATTTCTCTGGGCTGTCCCTCTTGTAATGAATGTGACACGTGTCCAACGAAAATATCAAGTGCTTCCAAGAAAATTTCCTCCCGCGCTGCATGGCTGAGTGCGATTTTTTCATGGGAAACGGGTTTCCGACTAAGTTCAGCTTTGACGGTGGCGAGGCATGAAACACGGCGGCACAAGCGGTTGAGTGCTAACAGATCGATATCCTTGGCATCTCCTTGCAGGACAGAGATAGCTTCGCGAGCCGTGTTCCAAATGAGAATAATGAGAGGGATCAAGTCATCGTGCAAATTTGGAAAGCCTTCGTGTATGATGAGCGGAAGCTCATCAAGAGTTGGGACCGGAAGGGCTATTTCGGAGAAATGCTGATGACCCAAGAACCTTGGTGCCGAGAATGGCCGAGAATTACCGGCAGTGGGGATGATCGGGACAAAGGATGGTACGGAGCGTGTAGCAAAAACCATGAACTCATTGTCTGCGAACACTCGACCACGGCCCGGCACGTCCACAGATGGTTGGGATCCTATCCGGCGGCGAGAGCCCATACTCTCCAATAGTGGAAGAAGGGTGCTGAGGACATCCTGTGCTGCCCTGTCTATATCTTCTAATACCAGCCACTTGCCGAGCTTCATAGCACGGACAAGCGGTCCATCAACCCAATCAAATAATCCAGGGACAACTGATGAGGAGGTATAGGTGCCCAAAAGTGATTTGGCATCCAGAGAGGTGTCCGCCAAATGTATGGACACGATCTGAGAAGCGCTGCCGTGAACCATTTGTGCCAAATGTTGGAGCATGATTGTTTTACCCGCAGATGGCGATGAAGACAGGAGGCAGGGCAATTTCTGAGAATAGTGGAGAGCAAGATCTCGTAGACAGGGATAGGCAGACTTTGTCACGACGAAATTTGTTGCAATGGGCGAGATGACTGGCTCGAAAGGTGCAGCTTGTCGAAGGACCAACACGCCACATATTGACATTATGCTCCCTGCGAGGTCTGTATCGTTCAAAAGCCTTCCATGCTCGTGATCAGCCTGGTTCCATTTGTAGAAGCCGGGATCGTCCTGCAATGCTGCCCGTAATTCCAATATTCTCTTGCGTTCCGACACAGGAAGCAGCCATCCGTCTTGCACAGATAGATCCAGAGCGTTCATTCCACAACCACAGACATGACCTACATGCACTGTAGCGTCGCGGACAGCAAAGTCGCCTAAGCAGGTGGTCACAAGATCGTCCCGCTCAGACTCACTGAGCCCGCCGTGTAGGGCGAAACAAAGCACAGACAAGAGCCGGGTTCCTCGATCAGGATGGCTTTCCATCATGGACTTCAGAAGCTTTTGAGACAGTTGCAAGCAACGAGATAGCCCTGGATTGACCACAAGGAGCCGATAATAAGTGAGCAGCACGGCATGGCAACGCTCTACTGCTAGCGGCATCTCCATGTTTTCACCTGAGGTCAATACGACCTCAGCCGATGGCGCCGTATCTAGTAGACGGATGAGAATGCTGAAGAATGGGTAAGTTCAAATTTGCAGCACGGAAGCCAGGTCACGTACGGATAGAGCTCCTCGTGGACCTCAAGCAGGTAAGCTATGCAGAAGAGGCGGTCCAAGGTGAACGGATTGGCCGAGTTAAGCCATCGAGACGCCAGGTCAATCAATATGGGCCGAAATAGTCTTGCTACAAGCCATGTTAGTTCTGGCGTCGCGAGAGCGTCGGAGAGACAATGCAAGAGTGAGGTTGGATCAATGCGAACTGCAGAGAGGAGCTGCTCGATGACAACAAGCACTGTTGCACATTTCGGCCGAATGTCGTCCGTAATGTAGCACAAGAGTTCTCGAGCCTGTTTGATATAGTTGATGTTGAGAGGATCGATTGCTGCCATTACAAGGCTGAGGGTGCCGAACACCGTCTAGTAAAAGGTATGTTCGTTCGAGTTTGTTTTCCAATTTTTGTGCGTTCACTAGTGGCTATGCTTCATTAAAAGGCTCCGCATCTTCCAAGGGTCCATTTTTTTGGTGCTATTAGTACTTGTCATTAGACGTCTCACACCACCATCGTCACACCTTCAGAGAAGAGAAGCATACAACATGGTCAAGGTGTCCATCGAGAACGAACCCGAGCGGCAGCCTGGAGAAATGAATTCGCCCTATGCCAGTTCAGAAGCGTCCTCTTCAGTCAGTTCCCTCGTTTCCGATCTTCCCGCGGAGTCGGAAACTCTCACTGAACGCATCGCGGCACTTGTCGATATTGTGCCTCCCAGTACACGACGAGCAGTTGCCCAGCGTATTTATTCTGCTGCATCTTATGTTCGACGAGGGGGCAAGATTGCTGGCACTGTCGTTTGGGTCATCACGACATCGGCGCTGTTGATTGGTTTGCCTTTGGCTCTCAGTCTGGAGGATGAAGCGAAATTTGTCGCTCAAGAGCGGGAAGTTCTAGCTCAGCAACAGGGACAGCAGGTGTGTCTCTTCTGGGCAAATATGTCTTTATCATCTCACTAACCTGCAATAAGATGCTTGCGCCCGGCGTGTTCCCTTCCCAAACGGGATCCCAAATGCCGCCACAGAAGAGCCAAGGTGTCGTCCCCCCTGGTTTTTAGATCAAAATATAATCAGCTTCTTAGTTGCCCAGGCCTCGCAAAAGCGCACCCCTCCATGAAGTCACATGTACTGTTTTGCTTTATTGATTAGCCAAACCCGTGCTGTTCCAGGCCTATGATAACCATATTCACTACGATAAATTTCAGCACCTCTAGTAGAGAGAGCCTCCAAAACAATTATTAACTTAGAGCCCGTTCGGCAACCAGGTAGCATTATCTCTACCTCGATCTATATTCCCTATCTTGACGACAGGTAGAGATCAGCACTATCTGCGAGATTGACACGTTGTTGACGCGTTCGGTGGACTTGCACTATTTGGTCACATTTTTGGCTGACGAAGCCATTTTCAGGGTCTGGAGGAGCGATTGAGGCGAGAGATAGAGCTCTGAGCTCTAACTCAGATAGAGGGGGGTCTATCTCTGAAGTAGAGCGCATACCGAACGCGCCCCAACTCAACCTCGATCTCGAGTTGGAATCTGGCCGGGATTGCATCGGAATACCTGTTCTATCTCGTTACACGCACTCTAACCCTCTGTAAGGGTCCCCCTTACTCGTCTATTAGGCCCTACTTGTTTGTGGGCCTGGTCTACTTGGGGGGTGGCACGAGCAGAGCTCGCACGGCCGATCCCCCCCAAAGGGCACAATGTAGATCTCGAGTTTCACAAGTGTCATATAATGAAAAAATCTGACATTT